AACCACGACGAATGTGCCAAGCTGTTTCGCCGATGATTTACTCTTTCACCATGAATCGTGATCACGCTCTATGCTACTGCTAGACAAGAACCGAACTCCTGTTGGTATGCAATTTTTAGCGCACCGTTGCCATGGTTGCGGTGCATGCAAGTGAAGTGCTATCGCGTACCGGCTATGGAACTAGTGACGTGCATTAATTCACTTCTTTCGTTTACACTGGGTGCATCCTCCTACAAATGCTACAATACATGACTGTACGAGTAGTAGTAGTAGTCACTCAAAGCTTTATTCGGGAAAACCACAAATTGTGATGCAAAATGTGAAAACCAAGCGGATTAAAATAATTACCAAAACCATTATAGGAACCGATAAAAAAATGTAGTAGTAGTAGTAGCCATTGGCGGACTATGTTCGGCCAATCGTCAAATTATGCTTTTGATTATGCCACAATTATGGCACCAAATATGCTGAATTATGCTCGGTTCCACTATGTATTCACGCTGTACATAGAGGATTGAGAAACGACGCATACACACACGGCCATGCCCTAAGCATAATTATAATATTATTATGCCGGAGCATAATTTTTTGACGAAATCCCAAGATTATGCCAAATATTATGCCGGCATAATCCGCCAAGGGCTAAGTAGGAGTACTTCTGAAGTAGTACAATCATACCCATGTACCTATTTTTGTCAAGATACAAGAGCACAGTAGATCTACATCATGCACATTGGCACCGTTGACTTGGCTAGGTACATCTACTCGTGTACAAAAAAGAACGGAAAGCGCAGTGATTGGGGACCATATCACTACATGTATGTAGTATACCAGATCATTAGTACTGGAAGTCTATACTATGTGCGGTTCATCCACCGTCCGTAGAGGGCTCAATTTGCCGAAGGCAAAGAGCGGGATACACAGACTGCAAGTCTACAAATTTTCAGCCCGTTCAAATTTCGCCCCCCCCCCCCCCCCCCCCCCCCCCAGGGCTAAAACCCATTTCGGCCTGCACTGTCCCTGCTTACATACACTGTCACACTGAACCAAGCAAAACAAAATTTCGGTAGCAACAATTTTTCGGCCAAGTATGATCAGGCCAAAAATAGCCGAAAATAATATGCGCCGAATATTTGCTGACTTACAGTACACAACACCTTGCCTGCACGTGGGCAGAATCGGTAAGAACAACTATAAAATTGGAAGGCTAGGAATAGATCGGTGTGCCAATGAGAACTTCATAGTCGCGGAACAGCCTACTAGAAAGCGGCCTCAATCCTAACAAGCACAACTATCAGCAGCCAGAGGATAATACCAGAATGAGGCCACTGTGCCATTGTGTACGCAGTATAATAATACCAGTGCCTGCCCCTCAGTGACCTAGAACAGTGTGTGGCCAGGAAACTGAGTCTGGCGATTGGAATAGCTAAACAGCTCATACTCGTATGCAGCTTCACGGCACAGACAAGTAGCTGTAGGCAGGAGCAGTAGAGGTATGGCCAAGGAGAATAATGACTCCTCGTATAAACTACTTCGAAGTATGGACACAGTTCAACAAAACTCGAATGTGGAGCAGGTGTGGAACATTTAATAGCAATCCACCTAACCTCACAACTCGGCACACGGCACATAACTTGGACCGCCAGTGGTATTCTGTTCTGAAGTGTCAAGGGCACACTTTCATTATTTGAAGCTAGCACTGTGAGTTTATCTGGAGGTGTTCAACAACTGTACATGTACTAACAAAGTCAACGTCTTCATGACGCAGCATAGTACGCTGGGGAATGATAGGCTAAGTAGTACTACAGTATTCATGAATGATGTTGGTGTCGCGGCGACCTTGTCGCGCGATTTGTATCATGTTTGTGCCTGTTCTTGTTTCAGTACAAAACGCTAGTTCCATGCCCACGTTCCCGTGCTTTGTATGACTTGTTCTGGCCCACGTATGCATGACTGTACATGTACTTGTCAAGGCACGTGCATGCAGCACAGTTTGGCGCGCTTTTGCGAATGTGTTTGCTTCTCCCACGGTGGTGGGTTTTTATGCTGCTCTTCTTGGACACGAGTGGTTTTCAGTTTTGTTGTTCTCTAGTATTATTCTTCGAAAGAGCGATTACTACAGACTCATTTGTCCTATGATGTGTGCCACCTGTAGAGGTGAGATCGGACTTGTGACCTGTGTTGATAAATCGAGAGATTGGGAATTCTAATCTTTCGACATGGTGCTTTAGTGACCAGAGATTTTCCTCAGTTTATTTAGTAAATTCCGACCAGAGTGATGGAGACTATCGCCCAGCTTGTAAAGTGTAGAGCAAACACGAAGCGACGACTCACACGCCTTCGCCACAATTTAACCCGGGAGCTTGCCAAAGACGCTCCATCACCACACTACCTGCTACGAGATTGGCAGCAGGCTGAACGCCTTGCAGCTGAAATCAATGCCACACAGGCTAGAATCCGCGATCTGACCGAACAGGCGACTTCCTCGGATGTTGAGGACCGCCTGGAGCAACTCGACAAGTGGGAGTTCGAGTTCGATGATGACCTGGAAGTCCTGAGGGACGCACGTACCGTTCTACAGAGGGAGAACCCGTCCGGACTCGCCACAGCAGATGCGGAACTGGAGGCAATCGCCAACTCGAGTCGATCCAGTGCCCCACAGCCTCCCCCACGACGTCCCCAGCCGCTGCCTTGACCAGCGTATCCGAAGCCCATCAGCAGTGGTGGTCCACTCCAAGGGTCCACCTTCCGCTCCTGCGAGCCCTCCTGTGACTGCTGTTAGTCCTGTCCCTGCTACTGGCGCTCCAGCCACTCCAGTCGTCCCGTCTCCGAATGTCTCCGAAGCCCATCAGCAGTGGTGGTCCACTCCAAGGGTCCACCTTCCGCTCCTGCGAGCCCTCCCGTGACTGCTGTTAGTCTTGTCCCTGCTACTGGCTCTCCAGCCACTCCAGTCGTCCCGTCTCCGAATGTCTCCGAAGCCCATCAGCAGTGGTGGTCCACTCCAAGGGTCCACCTTCCGCTCCTGCGAGCCCTCCTGTGACTGCTGTTAGTCCTGTCCCTGCTACTGGCGCTCCAGCCACTCCAGTCGTCCCGTCTCCGAATGTCTCCGAAACCCCCAGCGACCAACTCGTGCGGCAGCTGACAAGGCCCGGCAGAATATTGCAAAGTGGACAGCTGTATCGTTGCTGCACGTACACATCCCACACGCCTGATAAGTTTGACCGTGTCAGAGTGTGAGGATTAGGTGGTGCTTGGTCCAATTGGCAGTGACCTCACAAGCACATAAAACTCTCTGTATGCCTGTTTACCTGCTTGCTGTGTGTGTGTGTGTGTGTGTGTGTGTGTGTGTGTGTGTGTGTGTGCGTGTGTATCTGCATTGCTTATGCTCTATAAGTTACCTCCCGGTGTACATTCCCGGTCGGCTGGAGTGTCGCGGCGACCTTGTCGCGCGATTTGTATCATGTTTGTGCCTGTTCTTGTTTCAGTACAAAACGCTAGTTCCATGCCCACGTTCCCGTGCTTTGTATGACTTGTTCTGGCCCACGTATGCATGACTGTACATGTACTTGTCAAGGCACGTGCATGCAGCACAGTTTGGCGCGCTTTTGCGAATGTGTTTGCTTCTCCCACGGTGGTGGGTTTTTATGCTGCTCTTCTTGGACACGAGTGGTTTTCAGTTTTGTTGTTCTCTAGTATTATTCTTCGAAAGAGCGATTACTACAGACTCATTTGTCCTATGATGTGTGCCACCTGTAGAGGTGAGATCGGACTTGTGACCTGTGTTGATAAATCGAGAGATTGGGAATTCTAATCTTTCGACAGTTGGTCATGTCTTGCTCATTTTCTTCTCATGTTCCAGCAGCCATTCCTTCGTCAATGTACCATGGCCCATGCTATAGTTTCCCAGACTTCCATTGCCTAGCGTCACACGATGGCAAGGCACAAATAGGGGTATGGGATTAGTGCGCATTGCATTGCCCACTGCACGGCCAGCTTTCTCTCTGCCCAACCGTCTTCCTAGTGCACCGTAGGTGATTGTGACACCAGGTTCGGTGCATGCTGTCAGCTCACGCAGAACTTGAGCAGTGAACTCAGGCATCGCAGTTAGGTCCAGAGGGGGCACTGGGCCCATTTGAGCCAAGTCACCACAGAAGTACGCTCTTAGCCAGCTGGAAGCAGCCAATAGAACGTCTTTGGCCTTGCATGACGTGTATGCAGATCCACAGGAACAAGTACATGACTCATCTTCAACAGCAGCTACGTTAGTAATAGCAGTACCCAGCACTGCGAGTTCAGCTGTTCCTATACCACTACATGTACTGGTGACCTCCACTGGCTTGCAACTTACTTTGAGCAGACCCTGGACACTGGCTGTGATTTCAAGTACTCCGAACGGGCATCGGTACGACAGGGAGCACATATCCAACCACTGTGACTTGTTCGCCTACCAGATCCACTACAATGATAAATGTACCTGTGTACATGTGTTATGTCATGTACGACTGTCCAGTCCAGTTCAGTCTTGCAGCTTTGCAACAGTCGTACAGCTTTGCGTTCCGCGTTCTGACATTTACAAGGGAATCATCGACCAAGTAAGTCATGGGTAGAATAAACTTCAGAAATTGTTCAAAATGTATTTCTCTTTCTCTCTCTGTTCCACAAGTAAAGCAAGAATCTGCCTTGTTCGGCTGTGGCTTGTACTTGTTATGTAGTGTGGGGATGGTTGTTGTCCTTAGCTTGATATCCTGAATTGGACTCGGACGAGTTTCAACACGTTGAGAAGAAACTGATTCAAATGATTGGCACGTGCACTCCGAAAAAGGATTTCGATTTCGCGCCACTCGATCTACATGTACATACGTCATTACTGACATTAGCTAGCTACGTCATGTTTTCTACTACCGCGGTCCGCGGTACACAGGAATCCAGGAACACACACATGGCATGTCGTTCGAAGCGAGCGGTTATCATGGTTATGCTGTTGGTGTATCCAGTCCATTATCTTCATACTCCCAATTCCTGGAATGGTACGAATTAATTATTAATATTACAGTAGTACTAGTAGAATAACCTTAGGACCTTATTACTCGTACTCTTGGTATGATTAATAACAAGGAGTAGTAAAATACTTTTCTTCTCCTATGATAGGTGCATGACAAGGACATGAAAGTACGATCCTGAACTGGAGCATTGTCAAACATGAACATAAAATAGGTTGAATTGAATTGAGGTACTGTAAATCAACTAATTATAAAGAGTTATGAAATTCAACAGCACTCGCGGCGGAGTGGTCGGTCAGTCCTTTGAAGAGGCGATTTTGTCAGGGTATGCCGAAGATGGCGGAATCTTACTTCCCGAATCAATCCCACGTGTTTCTCGAGAAATTTTGGTCAGCTGGAAGTCCTTGTCATATGTGGATCTGTGCAAAGAAATTCTGCCACTTTTCATTCCTGAGTCGGAGATTACCAGAGATGAGATCAATGGTGAGCACATTATGTACAGTAATGCATCTTTTGAATGCATCATTTAGAGTTTAGACGACAGCGCTTTATGTACTGTCGTGGACATTGAAATCCGATGGGATGAACGGGGCGGCGTCCTTACTGCTTTTAGCGTGTACCTGCACTGCAGTTCACGCACACACTGTAAAAATGGACTAGCAGTGCTCGCGGCTGCCAGGCCAGCGCCCCATGGCCGCTTGACTTCTCAACGGATTTCGATGTCTGCGACATTAGCATATTAACCAGAAGGCTACCCAAACCGGACGCCCATGCATAATGCATACAGCGGCAATTGTCTCCAGTATAATGTATGCACATACATGTACTTTAGTCCAATGCGGACGGGACTGTGCCACTCGCGATAGACAGACAGCCTAAACGTGGTCACGCCGTCCAGATGCATGGCAAGACTGCATTCTCGGGTCACGGCTTTTATGACTCGTGGAAAGTAGTGGTGAAACGAATATCAAAACTAGGGCTCAAACGGTTAGTCCGATTAACCGGTTGCAGACCGGTTACGAAGAATTAACGGTTAACCGATAAAGATAACGGTTACGCAGTAACTTTTCAGTCAATTTTTCAAGTATCAGGTCGTTGCAAAGTATGCACTTTCGCAGGCTGTCGCACGCGTACGCAATTTCTGGCCTGTCAACTCGGTCATATCTGGTCCCTTGGTGTGAGAGTATGTATCAATGAGCATGCAAGAGAATGTACATGTGTGCGTTGTACTGAATAGGGTACATTTTTTGGATGAGTATAGTCAAATATACGGTTAAAAAAGAGTCCGCAGGATTGCCGTGGCTAATAGGTTATAACCGTTAAACCGACCGTTAGCTTAGCAGTTAACCGTTAGGGGTAAAACCGTGACCGTTTGAGCCCTAATCAAAACCCAGTAGCCGAATATTCTTTGGCTTCACGAACGAACGAACGAACGAATAATCTTTCGTTAACACGGATGACATCACACACCCTCCTCTTAGTCATTTTATTGGATATTGTCACTATTATTAGGCATGACAATTTGACAAACAAAGGCACAAACAAAGGCACATACAAAGGCACAAACAAAGGCACAAACAAAGGCACATACAAAGGCACAAACAAAGGCACAAACAAAGGCACAAACAAAGGCACAAACAAAGGCACAAACAAAGGCACAAACAAAGGCACAAACAAAGGCACAAATTTCTGAGTGCAATAATACTGTAAAACCTGCCTTACTGCCTTACTGCCTTACTGCCTTACTGCCTTACTGCCTTACTGCCTTACTGCCTTACTGCCTTACTGCCTTACTGCCTTACTGCCTTACTGCCTTACTGCCTTACTGCCTTACTGCCTTACTGCCTTACTGCCTTACTGCCTTACTGCCTTACTGCCTTACTGCCTTACTGCCTTACTGCCTTACTGCCTTACTGCCTTACTGCCTTACTGCCTTACTGCCTTACTGCCTTACTGCCTTACTGCCTTACTGCCTTACTGCCTTACTGCCTTACTGCCTTACTGCCTTACTGCCTTACTGCCTTACTGCCTTACTGCCTTACTGCCTTACTGCCTTACTGCCTTACTGCCTTACTGCCTTACTGCCTTACTGCCTTACTGCCTTACTGCCTTACTGCCTTACTGCCTTACTGCCTTACTGCCTTACTGCCTTACTGCCTTACTGCCTTACTGCCTTACTGCCTTACTGCCTTACTGCCTTACTGCCTTACTGCCTTACTGCCTTACTGCCTTACTGCCTTACTGCCTTACTGCCTTACTGCCTTACTGCCTTACTGCCTTACTGCCTTACTGCCTTACTGCCTTACTGCCTTACTGCCTTACTGCCTTACTGCCTTACTGCCTTACTGCCTTACTGCCTTACTGCCTTACTGCCTTACTGCCTTACTGCCTTACTGCCTTAGTGCAGCGCAAACTGTCCTGATATGACAGGATTGCGCTTGATCCAGGGATGCACGGTCAATCCACAGCACTTTGGTGCATGAAAGTTTGTCCAATCAATTCGGGAGTCTGCTTGGTACAGGGTCCGGCAAACACAGGTTTTACTCTATGGCTGTGTTTACATGAGAAATTTCAACCCGGGTCGAGTTCAGCCCGGGTTGAAAGTCTGTACGATAGACAAAAGAGGTGAGCGTTTACATGAAGACAGTTGACCCGGGTCAAATACTGATATGCCGCCAAAAGTCCACTTCTAGAGTCCTGTATGGTCACGTGAATCCGTTCGCGCGAAAATTGCATGTGCAGTGCTGTTCAAACCTGGCGCGAGATACGCACAGAAGTACGTTTGTACGATTTTCTTGACCCGGTTGATTTCAACCCTCCCCTTGGGGGGAGGGTTGAAATCAACCCGGGGCGAAATTTCAACCCGGGTCAAGCGCAATGCGTCATGTAAATGCGCCATTCATTTTGTGCACATGGCGGGTTAAAATCTGACCCGGGTCGAACTCAACCCGGGTTGAAACGCTTCATGTAAACACAGCCTTTGTGATGGTTTAGCATGGAATTCTGGCCGTTCTGTTTCTACTGAAGTACGAAGAATATCTACATGTATTTATAAGTTCTTTGTTTTACAACTCATGTATTCGTGTAATATTATGTTATATCAACATGAAACGGGCATTCTTTTTGCTATTTTGTGCAGGCATTGTTGACAAGAGCTTCACCGACTTTGAGAATGGGGAAGTGGTGAGATTGGCAGAGCTTGGTGATACTCGATTGTGCATTGGAGAGGTTTTCCATGGCCCCACTGGTGCTTTTAAAGACTTAGCACTCAGTGTTTTGGGCCGATGTGTTGACCTTGTGTTGTCACGGCGACGACGCAAGGTCACCATTCTGGTGGGTACATCCGGTGATACTGGCAGTGCAGCTATCCGTAGTGTGTGCGGTTCACCCTGGGCCAATATCATTGTGCTCTATCCCGACGGAATGGTCTCTGAGGTAAGGTGTGAACAAGTGAGAGACATTAGGGAGGTTTAGTTACACGTAACGGATACGGGAACGTGGGTGATACATGTTAAGTTCGTGCAATGGACCCACGCTCGCAATGTTGTGTTTAGTCACACGGAATGAACTAAAGCATGAAGCGAAAGGCCCAAACTTGGCCAAAGACGAAGCTTCGAAGCTCATCGATTATTTTGATTTCGTTCTTCGAACTCTTCTTCAGCTGAGCACCCTCACAGCTTGCACAAATTATTATAAGAAAGTTGGTTGCCTGTACCACTCAAGCTCACACTTTCCCCACTGACTTGACTTGACGGTTGACTGAGTCGTGGCTGCCATCCAGAGCACACAAGAAGTCCATCGAACTTTCTATTCGCCAAACCTGCAAGAAAGCACCACTCCCTGCTCCCTGCGTAGATATGTTAGCATATTCTATCTGTGTATCCGTAGATATGTTAGCATATTCTATCTGTGTATCCGTAGATATGTTAGCATATTCTATCTGTGTATCCGTAGATATGTTAGCATATTCTATCTGTGTATCCGTAGATATGTTAGCATATTCTATCTGTGTATCCGTAGATATGTTAGCATATTCTATCTGTGTATCCGTAGATATGTTAGCATATTCTATCTGTGTATCCGTAGATATGTTAGCATATTCTATCTGTGTATCCGTAGATATGTTAGCATATTCTATCTGTGTATCCGTAGATATGTTAGCATATTCTATCTGTGTATCCGTAGATATGTTAGCATAGTCTATCTGTGTATCCGTAGATATGTTAGCATATTCTATCTGTGTATCCGTAGATATGTTAGCATATTCTATCTGTGTATCCGTAGGTATGTTAGCATAACCTATCTGTGTATCCGTAGATATGTTGCATCCTTTGGATCTCAGGAACAGCTGTGATGGAGATTTTTCAATTATCCAAGAATGAGTTGAAGTGGCAGTAAATTATGTTGTATTGAGGGTACCCCATATAAGTACGAATCTGTGTTATATCTTTAGTTGCCAGCCCTGTTACAAGATAAGTCTCGTTATATTAAAGATAACTTTTCCGATGGCCCAGAGATTATGTACTAACGAGGGATGACCTGTACAGGGGTTTGTTCTATTTGTTACTAATATGTGGTATTCGACTGCTTGTGTTTGCTCTGCTTACCAGATTCAGCGTCTTCAAATGACCACAGTGGATGCACCCAATGTACATGTGTATGCCGTGGAGGGTACATCTGATGACCTGGATGTACCAATACGTAACGTATTCCGTGACTTGGCGCTGGTCAATGAGTATGGTCTGTGTAGTATCAACAGCATCAACGTTGGCCGTGTTCTCTTCCAGTGTGTGCACTACATCTACTTCTACTTGAAAGTATGCGGTGATGACCTGGAGCGTCGACTGCCTGTGTACATACCAACTGGAGCTGCTGGGCACATCACTGCAGGCTGCATTGCTCGACGTCTGACCGGTTTGGACATACAACTAATTGCCTGCGTCAATGAGAATGACATCATGCACCGGTGGCTGGAGACGGGTGTGTTTCAAGTTAGCAGTGCGGTCATGCCGACCTCTAGCAATGCCATGGACATCCAGGTACCGTACAACATCGAGCGCTTACTCTTCTATCTGAGTGATGGTGACTGTGCTCTGGTCAAGAGTCTTATGGATGATCTGGATAAGAAGGGCTTGTTCGTCACACCGCCTGCACTGCGAGAGAGAGCATCTCTATTTATGACAAGTCGACGGGTCACCGAAGCCGAGAGGATGAGCACCATGAAGGAAGTCAGTGATCGCCATTCATATGTCCTATGTCCTCACTCGGCAATCGCAGTGAAGGCAGCATTGGACGACCGTGAAGGCGAAGGGTGTGATCTTTCTGAGTCCCACACTTGCGTGTGCTTGGCAACGGCCACACCAGCAAAGTTTATGTCAGCTGTGCGGAAAGCTGAAGTCACAGTACATGTTCAGCAACCAGACTCCTGGAGCCACCTGAAAGATTCCAAGGAGCGCGACAAGCGTATGCGAAAAGGAGAAGACTGGGAGGCCATGCTCCGTGAAGCGATTAAAAAGTCACACGGCAGCACGGACTTGTAATAGATGCCAATGTACAACAAGTACCTGTTCATGCCTCCACACAGCTACTCAGTTATGATCTGCTGCTGCTGCTGCTGCTGCATATTCACAGGAACCGTTCAGTGTTTACACTCACTGTACGCCTTATATGGTGAGCTGTACTGGATAAGAGTTGCTCGATTTACGTGTGGCTCTGCAATGTATTGGCTTTGACTGCAGAGCCTTGTAAGTATGGTGGCTTGGTGCAATGTTTTATAAAACGTAAACATTGGGAGAATTTGTGCTTAACACCCAGGAGCCAAGGAGTTCGTTATAATATGACTGGACACATTGCATTAGGTTTTTATTCGAATGCTTATTCATGCTCTGTAGACATAATATTATGTTCACTGTATCAAGAGGCTATGGGAGTATGGTGACCAACGTGTAGGTGACTGTTTTGTTTTTGTTTTTCCGTATCGCTGCTGTTTTCCTATATGCTTGTTTTAACATGATCAGTGTTTAGATACTGGTCAGGTCTTAGTCTGTTGCCACGGTTATCGCACTGCCAAGCACATTTTAGCACTCGCTTCTCTTGCAAAACGATATCATTATTTTCTATTTTCCACTCTAGGTAGGAATGCAGTCGCTACTGCTTGCAAATGTAGTGATTGCCACCAAGTGTATGCGCCATCACAATATTATAATTATACACCAAAAAAAGTTGATCTACCAAACAAACAATAAGAGGATGGAAAAAGTGTTTTTGTGTTTCACGCACTATTAAAGGGGCTGGGGCCGTCCGTGAATATCGAACTTTTTTCACCAAACGAATTATTTTAGTTTGGACCCAACCCCTCCCTCCCACCCCATATAAACGAAATTATTTCGTTTTGTGAAAAAAACTTTCTCATTGTTTGAGCTAGCTCTGCCTCTCGGTATTGATAACTCTCTTGGACAGCCTGGAACCTCTCTGTTGTTGATCTACGATAAACTGGTTCTCATTTGCCACCACCTATGTTTCAATACAGCCATCCAGAGCAGAGAAACAGCCAGAACTAAAGCAAGGTTTACACATTTGTTAGAAAATGCCAAATCTTAAAAATAACCAATCATCTCGTGTAAGTACTTTTAGTAGTCATGTGTGTGCGCCTAGCATAGCATAACCCCATTCAAGATCATAATAGCAAGAGTACTGCTGATAATAGGGGTGGGGCACCCTGCAGCTTCATAACTCGAAGAGAAATGGTGAGTACACATGCTCTTTCCCTGGACACTGCAAATTCACAGCTCAGTTCACTGTATCATTATCGACGTTTCGGCAAATCACCATCACCAGGACAGCACAGAGTCGGAGGTAACATTTGTAGTCGGAAAAATATTATCACCGCCAATACTAAAATAACACCAAATTATTGTATATAACCGCTCCTTGGCAGACTTCCACTTCATATCGTATCCTGCTGATGCAGTGAACAGAGTTGTGAATTTGCAGTTACTTTACTGTACCCTTCGTGGGTATGTATGCTTGGAACAGAAGGTATACTTGAATATTACGGAGTGTGAAACCAACAAAGGTGTCAGCAGTACAACGCTACTACTGTACAAGCAGCCAAGCCCGCTGGCACCAGACCCAATGTTGTCCAGCTGGCACATACCCTAGTCACACATGCATACATATAGCTGATTGCGTAGAACAACTTGTCAAGGCTCTCTGGCCTACTAATTATGCCATACGAATGAGTGATAACGTCCAGCGCACAGTGAGCAACACAAGAGGAAATGGCCTACCACAGCGATGTGCCTAACTAAAAAAAGAAGAAGAAGAAAAAGAACCACTATAAAACAAAATAATGTGAGAAAGTGAGTACAATAAAAATAGCAAGCAAAACAGCAATACCTGATGCCCAAGCTTATCTATCAGGTGCCAGCACCTAACGGTCAGAATATCTGATAAACACGTCCAGAGGAGCAGAGGATAATGGCATGTACATGTATACCGTTAGCAACAACAGCAGTGTATATACTAATGGCATGTATACCGTTAGCAACAGCAGTGTATATACTAATGGCATGTATACCGTTAGCAACAACAGCAGTGTATATACTAATGGCATGTATACCGTTAGCAACAGCAGTGTATATACTAATGGCATGTATACCGTTAGCAACAGCAGTGTATATACTAATGGCATGTATACCGTTAGCAACAGCAGTGTATATACTAATGGCATGTATACCGTTAGCAACAACAGCAGTGTATATACTAATGGCATGTATACCGTTAGCAACAGCAGTGTATATACTAATGGCATGTATACCGTTAGCAACAGCAGTGTATATACGAACTGCACAGACATGGTTCACACACTAAAAGGCACACTAGCGGTAAATCCCGGACATGTCAGTCAAGGACAAACGACAAAGGAAAGAACAAACCACCCTGGTGCAGAACCGGCACACGGCACTCTCGCGTGGGATGCAAATCGCAAGTTATTGGACACAATAATAATAATACAATATCTGCTGCCAAACTGATGGGAAGGAAAGAATGTTTAAAAAAAGTTGTATGGCAGGACATGACAAGCAAGCTAGTTATGAGAAGTTAACTTGCGATGACAAATTGCTGAACTAAGAAAAGAAAGCTGGTACAAAGGTATACATGTGTGTTCATGGGCACACACACACACACACACACACACACACGCACACACACACGCACGCGCACACACACGTGCACGCACCCACATAGACGCATGCACATACAGACACGCACATGCATGCACAGCCAAGACGCACCCGTAGAGCCAGAGACAGATCTCTAGAGTAGGCACGAAATAGTGAAATGGCTGCAGTGCTTATGCAATAGTTACCTGCATCATCATCACCAGTCCTCTTCTTCCCCCACTCCATCATCATAAGGACTGGTGTCAGTGTCAATAGCCACACAGTGGTAAGCTGCATAGCGGATCTTCTCGGCAGCAACTTTTGCACTGCAATCGAGCATAAAAACAACAGGACACGGCCAAGAAAAGGATATACTTGATGATCGTCCTTTTTTCAGAAAAAAAGGGGAGGGCGGCCGGATTTTATTATTATAGTTTTTAATTTTTTATGCATTATTGCTTGATCACTGAGGGTGCGTTTGGTTGGTATGATCAAGAGTACATGAAAACCAGAGTGTGCAGCTTGGGGCCTTTTCTGCTATGGGTGTCTGTCACGGCGGAATTCCGTGATTACATCATATTTGGCGCAGATCTAAGGCGGGAAATGGCGTAGTGCGTACAACTGAGCTGCAGTTGTGCAGAAAGAGACCTGCTTGAATCCTGCTTGTACGCACTACATCACTATTATTATTATTATTATTATTATTATTTTACAAGAAGTCGGAGGCGGATAATACTTTAATAACGAAGGTACGTGTTGGGTCGTAAGTATCCACGCAAACACACATCCAGTCAAAATAAGGCACTTGTCAAAGTATCCGAACGTTTTCGGTCCCTTCTCATCAAGGATTATACAGGGAATGGCTCAAGTTGGAAAGACTAAAACTTATATAGCGTAAAGATATGAGATAACAACACTCGTGACAAGGTGGAAAAAGTATCAAGTTCAGCACGACACAAAACTCGAAGGAAATAATAATAGCGACAAGAACATAGTGAGCAAATTAAGTTACATTGCTAACACCTCGACGAGGAGTAACACCAAACAATTGTAGCGACAACACATTTTCTTTCTGTACGCAAAGTTCAGGATCTAACTTACGGATATACAAAGCTTCTAACACAGCCAGATGCAACGCACATCTACCACGTGACAATATTGAGAACACATTATCACTGTACAACTCACGACAATTGGTACGGGATGACAGATGTTGCTTGATGGACGAAGTGCGATTCTTAGCTCCGTTGGGTGCAGTCTCCTCCAATGTCCCGTCATCTCGCCTCTTCGCGGCATCACCACTAACACTATCATGTGCCGTTAAGTTTTGTTCCGCTTGATGCGCGTGAGTGTCGTCCTCGCCGTGGTCGTCCTCCAAAATGTGCTGTCCAGTCCATCGGTGGATCTTCCTCTTCCTGTGAAGATATCACTGCATGCCCGTCCTCCTCCGCGTGTATAGCGCAGGGTCCAGCTGAGAACGGCGTGAAAGATGGTGAAAGACCGACACGTAAACCACCGAAATTGACAAAGGATCTGTCTGCGTCGGGAAGGGTTACGCGAAGCCAAGTAAAAATACGGACTGGTGAGGACGCACGTACAACGACAACGGAAGTGACAACAACAGTCAATATTCGAAAACGTGGTAGACCGCGAAAACGAACCTCAATATCGAACACCGGACAAGTTGGAGCAAGAAGATCAATAGAAATCCGCAATGGAGGAGACGTAGCTGAAAGGACACTGGGCATCGCGCACACAACGGCTAGCGTCAGAAAACGTGGAAGGCCGCGGAAAAGCAAAGAGACGGATAGTGGTGATGCCGCGAAGAGGCGAGATGACGGGACATTGGAGGAGACTGCACCCAACGGAGCTAAGAATCGCACTTCGTCCATCAAGCAACATCTGTCATCCCGTACCAATTGTCGTGAGTTGTACAGTGATAATGTGTTCTCAATATTGTCACGTGGTAGATGTGCGTTGCATCTGGCTGTGTTAGAAGCTTTGTATATCCGTAAGTTAGATCCTGAACTTTGCGTACAGAAAGAAAATGTGTTGTCGCTACAATTGTTTGGTGTTACTCCTCGTCGAGGTGTTAGCAATGTAACTTAATTTGCTCACTATGTTCTTGTCGCTATTATTATTTCCTTCGAGTTTTGTGTCGTGCTGAACTTGATACTTTTTCCACCTTGTCACGAGTGTTGTTATCTCATATCTTTACGCTATATAAGTTTTAGTCTTTCCAACTTGAGCCATTCCCTGTATAATCCTTGATGAGAAGGGACCGAAAACGTTCGGATACTTTGACAAGTGCCTTATTTTGACTGGATGTGTGTTTGCGTGGATACTTACGACCCAACACGTACCTTCGTTATTAAAGTATTATTATTATTATTATTATTATTATTATTATTATTATTATTATTATTATTTGGAAAGGATTGGGAGAACTTCATATTCAAAGGATCAGTCGGGGAAGTGAACTGCCTGAAAAGAGAAAAAAACGCCAGACCCACCAGGACTCGAACCTGGGACCCTGCTTGTCATGAGCAATGCTCTAACCACTGAGCTATGGGACCAGGCTGAACCCAGAAGGCGCTGACAAGTTTTTCACTCCAAAGGCAGCTCACAACACGTGCCACACATACTGATGGCACTTGGGTCTTTTTCCCTCCCCCAGGGGACCAACCACGGTCAGTTTCTGGAAACTACCAGAGGTGAAAGAAAGTGATTAAATTTGGAAAGGATTGGGAGAACTTCATATTCAAAGGATCAGTCGGGGAAGTGAACTGCCTGAAAAGAGAAAAAAACGCCAGACCCACCAGGACTCGAACCTGGGACCCTGCTTGTCATGAGCAATAATGCTCTAACCACTGAGCTATGGGACCAGGCTGAACCCAGAAGGCGCTGACAAGTTTTTCACTCCAAAGGCAGCTCACAACACGTGCCACACATACTGATGGCACTTGGGTCTTTTTCCCTCCCCCAGGGGACCAACCACGGTCAGTTTCTGGAAACTACCAGAGGTGAAAGAAAGTGATTAAATTTGGAAAGGATTGGGAGAACTTCATATTCAAAGGATCAGTCGGGGAAGTGAACTGCCTGAAAAGAGAAAAAAACGCCAGACCCACCAGGACTCGAACCTGGGACCCTGCTTGTCATGAGCAATGCTCTAACCACTGAGCTATGGGACCAGGCTGAACCCAGAAGGCGCTGACAAGTTTTTCACTCCAAAGGCAGCTCACAACACGTGCCACACATACTGATGGCACTTGGGTCTTTTTCCCTCCCCCAGGGGACCAACCACGGTCAGTTTCTGGAAACTACCAGAGGTGAAAGAAAGTGATTAAATTTGGAAAGGATTGGGAGAACTTCATATTCAAAGGATCAGTCGGGGAAGTGAACTGCCTGAAAAGAGAAAAAAACGCCAGACCCACCAGGACTCGAACCTGGGACCCTGCTTGTCATGAGCAATGCTCTAACCACTGAGCTATGGGACCAGGCTGAACCCAGAAGGCGCTGACAAGTTTTTCACTCCAAAGGCAGCTCACAACACGTGCCACACATACTGATGGCACTTGGGTCTTTTTCCCTCCCCCAGGGGACCAACCACGGTCAGTTTCTGGAAACTACCAGAGGTGAAAGAAAGTGATTAAATTTGGAAAGGATTGGGAGAACTTCATATTCAAAGGATCAGTCGGGGAAGTGAACTGCCTGAAAAGAGAAAAAAACGCCAGACCCACCAGGACTCGAACCTGGGACCCTGCTTGTCATGAGCAATGCTCTAACCACTGAGCTATGGGACCAGGCTGAACCCAGAAGGCGCTGACAAGTTTTTCACTCCAAAGGCAGCTCACAACACGTGTCACACATACTGATGGCACTTGGGTCTTTTTCCCTCCCCCAGGGGACCAACCACGGTCAGTTTCTGGAAACTACCAGAGGTGAAAGAAAGTGATTAAATTTGGAAAGGATTGGGAGAACTTCATATTCAAAGGATCAGTCGGGGAAGTGAACTGCCTGAAAAGAGAAAAAAACGCCAGACCCACCAGGACTCGAACCTGGGACCCTGCTTGTCATGAGCAATGCTCTAACCACTGGTGGGTCTGGCGTTTTTTTCTCTTTTCAGGCAGTTCACTTCCCCGACTGATCCTTTGAATATGAAGTTCTCCCAATCCTTTCCAAATTTAATCACTTTCTTTCACCTCTGGTAGTTTCCAGAAACTGACCGTGGTTGGTCCCCTGGGGGAGGGAAAAAGACCCAAGTGCCATCAGTATGTGTGGCACGTGTTGTGAGCTGCCTTTGGAGTGAAAAACTTGTCAGCGCCTTCTGGGTTCAGCCTGGTCCCATAGCTCAGTGGTTAGAGCATTGCTCATGACAAGCAGGGTCCCAGGTTCGAGTCCTGGTGGGTCTGGCGTTTTTTTCTCTTTTCAGGCAGTTCACTTCCCCGACTGATCCTTTGATTATTATTATTATTATTATTATTATTATTATTATTATTTAGGAATGGGTTTGCTCCCACATTGGAGCTCGCGCTATTCCGCCGACGACTTGACACTTGACTGACTCACGACTGCCATCCAGAGAACACGAGAAGTCCATCGAACCTTCGACTCGGCAAACCTGCAAGAAAGCACCACTCCCTGCTCAATACACAGTGTTTCGGGGAATTCACCCCTCATCAGTTGAGCTTGAGTAGGCTGAGGAAGATTGTGCCTGAAGAGCACCACTTATATAGTGCTGTCCAGGCACAAACATCACCAGGGATACAAACTTACAGAGACACTCCGTTTCCAGCGCGACAAACACCTCGTGAACACCAGATAGCAGCGTGAGTCAGTTATCGCTCCTGGACGGTGAGAACAGACGAAGAGGACCCTCGGTCATTCACAACGCTGTCACCTCCAAACCACCTAGTCGCACGCCCGCGCTGGGCACAACAGTACGAAATAGAGGTTGCGACTTCGGCGATGATTTTGTTTAGGAATGGGTTTGCTCCCACATTGGAGCTCGCGCTATTCCGCCGACGACTTGACACTTGACTGACTCACGACTGCCATCCAGAGAACACGAGAAGTCCATCGAACCTTCGACTCGGCAAACCTGCAAGAAAGCACCACTCCCTGCTCAATACACAGTGTTTCGGGGAATTCACCCCTCATCAGTTGAGCTTGAGTAGGCTGAGGAAGATTGTGCCTGAAGAGCACCACTTATATAGTGCTGTCCAGGCACAAACATCACCAGGGATACAAACTTACAGAGACACTCCGTTTCCAGCGCGACAAACACCTCGTGAACACCAGATAGCAGCGTGAGTCAGTTATCACCGTCCAGGAGCGATAACTGACTCACGCTGCTATCTGGTGTTCACGAGGTGTTTGTCGCGCTGGAAACGGAGTGTCTCTGTAAGTTTGTATCCCTGGTGATGTTTGTGCCTGGACAGCACTATATAAGTGGTGCTCTTCAGGCACAATCTTCCTCAGCCTACTCAAGCTCAACTGATGAGGGGTGAATTCCCCGAAACACTGTGTATTGAGCAGGGAGTGGTGCTTTCTTGCAGGTTTGCCGAGTCGAAGGTTCGATGGACTTCTCGTGTTCTCTGGATGGCAGTCGTGAGTCAGTCAAGTGTCAAGTCGTCGGCGGAATAGCGCGAGCTCCAATGTGGGAGCAAACCCATTCCTAAACAAAATCATCGCCGAAGTCGCAACCTCTATTTCGTACTGTTGTGCCCAGCGCGGGCGTGCGACTAGGTGGTTTGGAGGTGACAGCGTTGTGAATGACCGAGGGTCCTCTTCGTCTGTTCTCACCGTCCAGGAGCGATAACTGACTCACGCTGCTATCTGGTGTTCACGAGGTGTTTGTCGCGCTGGAAACGGAGTGTCTCTGTAAGTTTGTATCCCTGGTGATGTTTGTGCCTGGACAGCACTATATAAGTGGTGCTCTTCAGGCACAATCTTCCTCAGCCTACTCAAGCTCAACTGATGAGGGGTGAATTCCCCGAAACACTGTGTATTGAGCAGGGAGTGGTGCTTTCTTGCAGGTTTGCCGAGTCGAAGGTTCGATGGACTTCTCGTGTTCTCTGGATGGCAGTCGTGAGTCAGTCAAGTGTCAAGTCGTCGGCGGAATAGCGCGAGCTCCAATGTGGGAGCAAACCCATTCCTAAACAAAATCATCGCCGAAGTCGCAACCTCTATTTCGTACTGTTGTGCCCAGCGCGGGCGTGCGACTAGGTGGTTTGGAGGTGACAGCGTTGTGAATGACCGAGGGTCCTCTTCGTCTGTTCTCACCGTCCAGGAGCGATAACTGACTCACGCTGCTATCTGGTGTTCACGAGGTGTTTGTCGCGCTGGAAACGGAGTGTCTCTGTAAGTTTGTATCCCTGGTGATGTTTGTGCCTGGACAGCACTATATAAGTGGTGCTCTTCAGGCACAATCTTCCTCAGCCTACTCAAGCTCAACTGATGAGGGGTGAATTCCCCGAAACACTGTGTATTGAGCAGGGAGTGGTGCTTTCTTGCAGGTTTGCCGAGTCGAAGGTTCGATGGACTTCTCGTGTTCTCTGGATGGCAGTCGTGAGTCAGTCAAGTGTCAAGTCGTCGGCGGAATAGCGCGAGCTCCAATGTGGGAGCAAACCCATTCCTAAACAAAATCATCGCCGAAGTCGCAACCTCTATTTCGTACTGTTGTGCCCAGCGCGGGCGTGCGACTAGGTGGTTTGGAGGTGACAGCGTTGTGAATGACCGAGGGTCCTCTTCGTCTGTTCTCACCGTCCAGGAGCGATAACTGACTCACGCTGCTATCTGGTGTTCACGAGGTGTTTGTCGCGCTGGAAACGGAGTGTCTCTGTAAGTTTGTATCCCTGGTGATGTTTGTGCCTGGACAGCACTATATAAGTGGTGCTCTTCAGGCACAATCTTCCTCAGCCTACTCAAGCTCAACTGATGAGGGGTGAATTCCCCGAAACACTGTGTATTGAGCAGGGAGTGGTGCTTTCTTGCAGGTTTGCCGAGTCGAAGGTTCGATGGACTTCTCGTGTTCTCTGGATGGCAGTCGTGAGTCAGTCAAGTGTCAAGTCGTCGGCGGAATAGCGCGAGCTCCAATGTGGGAGCAAACCCATTCCTAAACAAAATCATCGCCGAAGTCGCAACCTCTATTTCGTACTGTTGTGCCCAGCGCGGGCGTGCGACTAGGTGGTTTGGAGGTGACAGCGTTGTGAATGACCGAGGGTCCTCTTCGTCTGTTCTCACCGTCCAGGAGCGATAACTGACTCACGCTGCTATCTGGTGTTCACGAGGTGTTTGTCGCGCTGGAAACGGAGTGTCTCTGTAAGTTTGTATCCCTGGTGATGTTTGTGCCTGGACAGCACTATATAAGTGGTGCTCTTCAGGCACAATCTTCCTCAGCCTACTCAAGCTCAACTGATGAGGGGTGAATTCCCCGAAACACTGTGTATTGAGCAGGGAGTGGTGCTTTCTTGCAGGTTTGCCGAGTCGAAGGTTCGATGGACTTCTCGTGTTCTCTGGATGGCAGTCGTGAGTCAGTCAAGTGTCAAGTCGTCGGCGGAATAGCGCGAGCTCCAATGTGGGAGCAAACCCATTCCTAAACAAAATCATCGCCGAAGTCGCAACCTCTATTTCGTACTGTTGTGCCCAGCGCGGGCGTGCGACTAGGTGGTTTGGAGGTGACAGCGTTGTGAATGACCGAGGGTCCTCTTCGTCTGTTCTCACCGTCCAGGAGCGATAACTGACTCACGCTGCTATCTGGTGTTCACGAGGTGTTTGTCGCGCTGGAAACGGAGTGTCTCTGTAAGTTTGTATCCCTGGTGATGTTTGTGCCTGGACAGCACTATATAAGTGGTGCTCTTCAGGCACAATCTTCCTCAGCCTACTCAAGCTCAACTGATGAGGGGTGAATTCCCCGAAACACTGTGTATTGAGCAGGGAGTGGTGCTTTCTTGCAGGTTTGCCGAGTCGAAGGTTCGATGGACTTCTCGTGTTCTCTGGATGGCAGTCGTGAGTCAGTCAAGTGTCAAGTCGTCGGCGGAATAGCGCGAGCTCCAATGTGGGAGCAAACCCATTCCTAAACAAAATCATCGCCGAAGTCGCAACCTCTATTTCGTATTATTATTATTATTATTATTATTATTATTTTCTTCAGACTTTTCCCGTTTGTCTCTTTCCCTCAAAACCAGTTAATATTTTATGACTTGGGGCTCCCCGCGTGCTAGTTTGTACGTGAAGTGTGTGGGTACAGTGAGGGCTGCGTCCCACCCGCCTGTGTGGATTCACAGGAAGTGTGAGTTACGAAGTCTGAAGAAAACGTTGAACGGTCTCTGCTTGGATGACGACTACACCATAGCTCAGTGGTTAGAGCATCGCTGGCTACAAGCGAGGGTCCCTGGTTCGAGTCCTGGTGGTGACAGTCAATTTTTTCTTCAGACTTTTCCCGTTTGTCTCTTTCCCTCAAAACCAGTTAATATTATTATTATTATTATTATTATTATTATTATTATATGCATTCCCGCGGCAGCGTCAACAGTGCAAGTGCAAGTCGCCCATGCACAAACACCGTCCACACGTTCGCTTATGCTGGACATGGTAAGAGAAGCAGTTGACATAGGAGACATAAAGACAACAAGCACAAACGTAGCTGTAAATCCTTTGTGTATAGAATGTTTAAAGTGTATTGAGCGATATTTCCGTGATCTGGGAAAAAGGTGACGGCGCGGTTTCATCGCCGCAACCTCTACTTGCAGATCATATCCAGTAGCTGCCTCCATTCGCTTCGAACTGCAGCTACGTCTGATAGGCGCTCCAGATCTTCCAGGCTCTGCAATCGCCCGCACGCAGCTCGGTGGAGGTCGTCGTCGAGCTTCACCGGCAGGGTGATGCGAGGGCGGCCTCTCCACTTGTGGTCATCACATTGAAAGTAGCTGACCATGCTTAGGACGGCGGGGGCTACATCACTAAAATGATGTAATCACGGAATTCCGCCGTGACAGCCACCCATCCGAGCTGCACACTCTGGTTTTCATGTACTCTTGGTATGATCTAGAACAGGATTGAACAGCTGGTGCACACGGAGCAGCCTCATGCCAACCAATCGATTCTCCAGAAACAGAGCACATTTTCGTGAAAAGGGTGCCAAACTTGGTTAGCATTCTTCAAAAATGTGTACGAGTCACCATGGTTACTTTGTACGGTACAACGAGTGCATGCCAAGTTCAACCAAAAGCGTATGCACACGACCATTTGGGACCAAAATTGATGTTCCCGCGTGGTTTCACTGTGAAAAAGTGAAACTGCTCGGTCTCCGTACGTACAGTTGCCACAGCATCGTCTCTCTCCGTACTGTCTCTTTCTCATCTATCTTATATATGCGCACGCTCGGTGTAAATACGTCAGTCCTTGTCTTGTCCCACAATGGACTCCTGCGTGGCTTGCAAGCCGAACACAACATGCTTCACTAGCATAGGTAAAAAGGTATGTGAACCACATTATCGCAAATTAGCGCCAATGCGCTTTGACATTTCAGGCCCATCAAGAGGTGAAGCGCTTATTTCAGCGAGGCACTTGTCTTAGGAAGGTGGCTAGCTGTATGCCCAGCGTTTCACCAAGTAAGCACCATAACCGTCATACGGATGAGCAGAGCAGTACAGCAATGGCATACCGTATTTTTCATAGTATAGTGCGCACCTTTGTATAACGTGCACCCCGAATCTTCGATGGGGGTGCGCACTTCAATCTTCATTGAAGTACATGCATTTCATATTCGGAGCATAGTGCGCACCTGCGATTTAGGGCCTAAAATAGCACATCTAAAGTGCGCACTATACTCCGGAAAATACGGTACCACACCATAGCACGCTAGACACAAGCATGGTATGCGACATGGTGGCAAAAAGCGTACCGACTCGTGGCAAATCTGCAGGTTCGAAGTGCGGCGATTATTTCCCGAAAATAAGGTACTTCAAATTGAAAGTAGATGCCCAACACTATCTGGCATATTTCAAGTTTACCCACCAACCGTAGCACGCACACATGCACACACCCACACCCACACACAAAGAGCAACATGTGCTTGGACTGCACATGCACACACCACACAATTCACTTACTTCGGGTAGTTTGGTAGAAACAGAGTGCTGGAGCAAGTGGCAGACTCGGGCAAAGCGTCATTTAGTGCACCGTCCCTGCGAAACGCCAACACATACAATACAGACATAGTTAGCAAAACAGCCAGCATGCTAGCACTTTTCCAAATGACAACAGGTTTCTTTTTCGAAGAATGTTCTATTTACAGGAGGGTTCTGTTGATGGAGGAATGTTCTATTTACAGGAGGGTTCTGTTGATGGAGGAATGTTCTATTTACAGGAGGGTTCTGCTGATGGAGGAATGTTCTATTTACAGGAGGGTTCTGTTGATGGAGGAACGCACGGCAGCGGTGGCGGCAGCGGCATCAAACAGCAACCTTGCTCAGATCATTTGTCCTGGAAAGCATCAAACAGCAACCTTGTTAATCATCAGATCAGTTGTCCTGGAAAGCATCAAACAGCAACCTTGTTAATCATCAGATCAGTTGTCCTGGAAAGCATCAAACAGCAACCTTGTTAATCATCAGATCAGTTGTCCTGGAAAGCATCAAACAGCAACCTTGTTAATCATCAGATCAGTTGTCCTGGAAAGCATCAAACAGCAACCTTGTTAATCATCAGATCAGTTGTCCTGGAAAGCATCAAACAGCAACCTTGTTAATCATCAGATCAGTTGTCCTGGAAAGCATCAAACAGCAACCTTGTTAATCATCAGATCAGTTGTCCTGGAAAGCATCAAACAGCAACCTTGTTAATCATCAGATCAGTTGTCCTGGAAAGCATCAAACAGCAACCTTGTTAATCATCAGATCATTTGTCCTGGAAAGCATCAAACAGCAACCTTGTTAATCATCAGATCAGTTGTCCTGGAAAGCATCAAACAGCAACCTTGTTAATCATCAGATCAGTTGTCCTGGAAAGCATCAAACAGCAACCTTGTTAATCATCAGATCAGTTGTCCGGGAAAGCATCAAACAGCAACCTTGTTAATCATCAGATCAGTTGTCCTGGAAAGCATCAAACAGCAACCTTGTTAATCATCAGATCAGTTGTCCTGGAAAGCATCAAACAGCAACCTTGTTAATCATCAGATCAGTTGTCCTGGAAAGCATCAAACAGCAACCTTGTTAATCATCAGATCAGTTGTCCTGGAAAGCATCAAACAGCAACCTTGTTAATCATCAGATCAGTTGTCCTGGAAAGCATCAAACAGCAACCTTGTTAATCATCAGATCATTTGTCCTGGAAAGCATCAAACAGCAACCTTGTTAATCATCAGATCAGTTGTCCTGGAAAGCATCAAACAGCAACCTTGTTAATCATCAGATCAGTTGTCCTGGAAAGCATCAAACAGCAACCTTGTTAATCATCAGATCATTTGTCCTGGAAAGCATCAAACAGCAACCTTATTAATCATCAGATCAGTTGTCCTGGAAAGCATCAAACAGCAACCTTGTTAATCATCAGATCAGTTGTCCTGGAAAGCATCAAACAGCAACCTTGTTAATCATCAGATCATTTGTCCTGGAAAGCATCAAACAGCAACCTTGTTAATCATCAGATCAGTTGTCCTGGAAAGCATCAAACAGCAACCTTGTTAATCATCAGATCAGTTGTCCTGGAAAGCATCAAACAGCAACCTTGTTAATCATCAGGTCATTTGTCCTGGAAAGCATCAAACAGCAACCTTGTTAATCATCAGATCAGTTGTCCTGGAAAGCATCAAACAGCAACCTTGTTAATCATCAGATCAGTTGTCCTGGAAAGCATCAAACAGCAACCTTGTTAATCATCAGATCATTTGTCCTGGAAAGCATCAAACAGCAACCTTGTTAATAGTGGTGAAACGAATATTCGAATATTCGAACATTCGTTCGGTTTGTCACATTCGAATATTCGTTAAGTCACATTCGAGTATTCGTTACGTCACTTCGAATGCAGTGCCTGTACATACATGCACGTCGAACATAGCACATTGCAGTGTGTACAGCCTGCCTGTGACTTTGTGCTGCATGTATGCACATGTATGTCCATACTGGACTGCCAATGGTTCACATAATGTGTATGAACTTCGAAGTAGCCTTATGTGGCAGTACATTTTATGTGGCACTACCGTTTATCATACCTAATAATACCAAGAGTACATAACCCCCCAGAGTGTGCAACGCCGATCCAGCTCTGCATAGGGTCTTGGTCGAGCGGAATCGGATCTTCTGATGTCATGCGTACACTCCACACCAGCGCAAGGCCGGTCTCGAGGCAGGGCACCATTGTTTTTGATCCAAGAGTACCCGCGACTCCCCGGGTTCCCCTCAGATGTGTACGGTATTATGACGCAAAGATCCGATTCCGCTCGACCAAGACCCTATGCAGAGCTGGATCAGGCGTTGCACACTCTGGGGGGTTATGTACTCTTGATAATACTGACAATATCCATCAAATGACTGGGAGGAGGGCATGTGATGTCATCTCTGTTACCAAAAGAATATTCGTTCATTCGTTCGTTAAGCCGAAGAATATTCGGCTAGTAGGTTTTCACATTCGTTTCACCACTACTTGTTAATCATCAGATCATTTGTCCTGGAAAGCATCAAACATCATTTGTCCTGGAAAGTTCAAGAAGCCTGTACAGTGAAACCTGTCTAAGGCGACCCCTCAAGGGACGAGAAAAAGTGGTCGCCGTGGCCAGGTGGTCTTCTTATCCAGGTTCAGTGGGTCACGTGACCATATCCGCATGTGACACATCATTTTGATCAGTGTATCACAGTGCACACACTTATGCTACTCTAGCACGACTCATGTGCCTGGGGTCCTCAGACCTGTCAAGTGTTGTGCATGCACCATGTAGATCTACATCTACACTTCCTGCACTGATGTGTAGATCTACCATGCATGGTGCACCATGCAATACGTACATTTACATGTACTAGCACTGTGCAACGCGGTCGCGGCCGACTCGCGGGTGGGTGGTCGTCGGTCGCGTTGAGCGAGAGGTCGCCTTATCCGAGTTGTTTTGAATGTGAATGCGTCCGTGACAAGGAAAAGTGGTCGCCATTACAGGTTTTACTGAAGTTACTTCTTCAAGTGTTACAGCTATTAGTTTTATCAAGAGTACATAACCCCCCAGAGTGTGCAACTCCACTATGGGTGCTGACCCGACAGAATTTCAAGTTGACGTCCTTTTGATGATGCAATGCGCACTGTACACGGATTATCAGACGAATCCGGAACCTGTAGTTGACCGAAGCGGATCGATCCTGTACAAATTATTGCAAAGAAAAACGTGTGATGCGTTGACACCCGTACACATGTTGTAAATCACTGGTGCAAGGAGCATTGCGTCATAAATAATGATGTCAACTTGAAATTCTGTCGGGACAGCAGGGTATGTGGGAGTTGCACACTCTGGGGGGGGGGGGGGGGGGGGTTATGTACTCTTGGTTTTATGAGAGCACCAAACTCCACCTTGCCAGTACCGTCAGTTGGATAGTGAATAACCAGTCAATGTATTCATCATCAGAGAACTGAACTTGTATGCAAACTTTCCAATAAGAATATGCACTCATGAGCAACGCACACAAACACACACAGACATATGCAGATGCACATACGTACCCACGGACCTGTACTCACACGTACGCACGCACGCACCTACACACCATGTACCATGTATACGCCCGTCGCGAGAGAAGCACACAAATCTGCAAATGCACTGGATGTGCACCCACGGATAGCAGATCTGATTCTGAATGAAACAGATCAAGACAAGCGCCAGATAACTGTCTAATCCACAAAACTGGCGAAGCCATGTGAATCGACCCCCCAATGCACACCTGGTCTACACCACACGGAGTACATTGGAATAGGACGGCCAAGACAGTTACCTATGCACACCCTGCACTTGCTGGGATAACCAGTTATACAGCAAGCTGCTTTGATAGAAGCGCACACACACACACACACACCCACACACACACGTCACGCACACACACACACACACACACGTCACGCACACACACACACACGTCACGCACACACACCATTGGACCATTGGACGGCCATCGCCGGAGGCGATGATAGCGATGCTATGGCAGAAGCCATAGCAGCTTGTGCTGGGATTGCACTATTCAACAGCTTGCAAGACTGAAGAATTGACCGCCACCATTCAGCCTGGTCTACACCACACAGCTATGAAGTGGCTTTTTCTGGCCAGTGAATCCCTATTTTCTGGTCTTTTTCATTTTTTCCCGCACATACATCACACCACATACTCCGACATGCACTGACTGTTGGTAACCACCCAGGAGAATGAAGGAAAAGTCAGGAGGAGTCTGAGAAAGAGAAGAAAGACGTGTGTGACCATAATCGTCGGGAATCGAACCCGCAACCTCTCGATTGGAAATCGCTGCACATACCACTGCACCATATGGCACACACACACACACACACACACACACACACACACCCACACACACACACACACACACACACACACACACGTCACGCACACACACTTCACACACATACACCCACACACACACACACACCTCAGACCTGCCCACCGCAGAAGCGATGATAGCGAACAGTTATGTTAGACATAGCAACTTGTGCACACACACACACGCACGCACGCACGCACGCACACACACACACACACACACACACACACACACACACACACACATTGGATATAAACAGCAGGTTGGCAACATACCATCGACCTGGGCAAAGCCAGAGGGGTGCGGGTAAGCGTCTACGTCCCGTGACGAACCTCAAGAAACGACTCCGCTCCTCTGTACATGTAAACAGGATGAAACAACGCCAGATATATTTTACGGGGCGTTGCAGTAAAATATATAACTGAAATATGGCTTGTTTGCTGGCCTATTGATCAACTAGATGAGGTGAGATCTGACAAACATAATGATATAAGACAATAACAGTGTGTGTATGTCTGCGGGTATGCATAAAGACTGAGCAAGTTCTTATATTCATCCATGTAGCTACATACTTCCTCTGAAAACTTTGTGACTTCGATCGAACTGTCAGCTCTCGTGAATTGAGCGACGGTGGCTAAGAGTGAGACTCAAACGTTGCTAATTTGTTTGTATAATAGGGCGCGTGCTGTTGGTACAACCTAGAACAGGATTCACACAGCACGTTTGGTTGGGACTGCACCTTTTCTGGATCGGCAAGAACAAGAACATGTTCTGCTTGCTCCGGCCTTGAGGCCAGAGCAGCCAATGCATTTTCATATCACTGTAAAACCTGGCATCCCAAGAGTGCCTGGTCATAGAGAGATGACATGGTGGCATCCCAAGAGAGCCTGGTCATAGAGAGATGACATGGTGGCATCCCAAGAGAGCCTGGTCATAGAGAGATGACATGGTGGCATCCCAAGAGAGCCTGGTCATAGAGTGTCAGTGATGACATGGTGGTATCCCAAGAGAGCCTGGTCATAGAGAGATGACATGGTGGCATCCCAAGAGAGCCTGGTCATAGAGAGATGACATGGTGGCATCCCAAGAGAGCCTGGTCATAGAGAGATGACATGGTGGCATCCCCAGAGAGCCTGGTCATAGAGAGATGACATGGTGGCATCCTAAGAGAGCCTGGTCATAGGGTGATGACATGGTGGCATCCCAAGAGAGCCTGGTCATAGGGTGATGACATGGTGGCATCCTAAGAGAGCCTGGTCATAGGGTGATGACATGGTGGCATCCTAAGAGAGCCTGGTCAATGTGTGGTCATAGGGTGATGACATGGTGGCATCCCGATAGCAGAAAGGTAGTTCTTGACCTATCCAGTATGTGGATCCGTTATATGAATAAGTTATCTTCATGAAAATTGCACTTTAAAAATCGTGGGCAGTCCAGGGACTTTGCCTAGAGAACCGGGGTAATCGCTGCCAGTATTTAGCAGGTATGCCAGCCCAACACACATATATACGCATTCTATCAAGAGGATAGGTTAGAAGCTCTCAACTCCAGATACTCTTTCTATAGGGTTCGCTGACGGCAAAAACTCACATCACGTGGTGGAGTGTCCCAGCCCGTTTTTAGCGAGCAGTAATACAAAAAAGCACTCCCTGACAGAAACTCACTGCGAGTATGCAACTCGCCAGCATGATCACGGCAGATATTCGGATTGCGCGGATGCTATCCTTAGTTGTACGTTGTACAAAACATACCTGAGACACGTGATGTGAGTTTTTCACACTCTTTGGGAGATTATTTACTCTTGATTCTATTCCTACACATCAAGCGCTCACAAATTGAAACTTACCTGTGGAGAAGGTTTCTAATGCTGCCCATAGGTTTTTCACAGCAGGCGATGATTCTGATAGACCTTCATCATAGTGTGCTGGGACAGGCAATCAAAGCATAAAGCACAGACAAGCAACCATTCACACATCAGGAAAGATAACACAGAGAGGAAGACCATACGCACGCAAGGTTGTACAAAACGATATGCCTCCACACGTATACATGTATGGTCAGGAAGCCGGTGCTGGAGGTCACGCATGAATCCTAGCACTGGATCCTAGCACTGGATTCTAGGTAGACATCAATGCACCTGCACGGCTAGCGGAGTGCATGACCCAGAGTGAGAGTCATAAAGTGGCCACCACCTGCCCAAATCTGGACTAGTCATCTACAGTATCCAATGTCAAGGTGTGAACTATAGGCCATTTGTTTAAAACCAATCATCAAACAAGCATTGCACGACGTCTGCCTATACATGGACCAACGTTTGGCGTAATATTGTGCGTAGTCTTGCGCAGCTTAGAAGAATGTACCAGCTAAACCAATTTCTACCTCACACACGCACGCGTGCCAGCTTTCACGCACGCACCCAGGAACTTGACATCTTGCATGTCATGAGAACAAGAGCAGCAGAAGATGACGTATAGTCTACGAGCTGGAGGTTGTTAGTCATTACCTGTCTTTCGCATGCTATCAACTGGCAAGTCAGGATCACCACAGATAAACTGCTCCAGCTCCTGCCAAGTAACGAGGTCAAGCACAGCCTGTGGAAGCGTTAGCAGTAATCCCTTTCGAATAGCATCGATCTGCATTGATATGCACACACACGCGTGCACACACATTCATGAACACACACATACATGAACACACACACACACATACATGAACACACATACATGAACACACACGCACACACACACTACTACTACTACTAAGTTACTGTAGCTTGGTTGCCACAAGGGCCACACCACTCCGAAAGGAGCCAGTCATTGTCAGGAGCAGAAACGGAGATGACGACTCAGGTCACTCTGTCGACGGAACTGACGGTTGCAGCGAGAACAGCGAACACCATATGACACACACACACACACACGCACACACACGCACACACACACACACACACACACACACACACACACACACACACACACACACACTACTATGTACAACTGCCACAAAATGGCCACGTCGCTCCCAGAAGCGGGAGCCAACAGAGAGAAAGGAAAAGATACAAGGAGAGTGATTGAGGTGAAAGGGGACCGATCTACACACAGTGTTTCTGTCTCCGGTGGCGGGTGAGGTCCTTCGGAAAACTTCGATGTGATAGCCAAGGTTCTTCTCGAAACATAGATGCTTTGCTTATGAAAATCGGTGAAGGAACACCTGAGATAAAGTTCGTTTAGTGCCATTGTATACCAATCGATCGGGTCACCAAGGGTTAATGTCCTAGCACGCACCTGCTTCTTGCTCTCCTCCATCCGGACTTTCTTCACCAGTGCAGCATACTTCATGCGCTGCTCGTACGTTACAGGAGTTTCTGCCCCATTAGGCAAGAGCGATGCCTGTGTCCCATCACTTAGTGACTGCAAAAACAAACAAAACCAGGTCAGACAACAACATAAGCACAGCTGATGCTCACAAGAAACACTGACAGAAACACGCCACTGAAAAAAAAAGTGTAGATGCACACATAGCATTGCAGCATTACATGAATTAGTTATGTGTTGCTGCTGCTGCATGGTGAGATTGTTGAAGAGGTGAGTGTGTTTCTACCACATTGCCCTTTCATTATCCTGCTTGTCCATGTGGAGATGGCATATTGGAGTAACTCATGACTAGCATCCAGAACACACCGGGGTATGGCTGAATCCATACTGAAACATTTAGTAAGCATCCAGAATACACCGGAGTATGGCTGAATCCATACTGAAACATGTAGTAAGCATCCAGAATACACATCCCATTTTACAATGAAACTTCAATACGGTGTGCACTCCAGGCAAGCACTTCACTAAACACATCCAGCAGGTGATCAGGCTCGGGGGGGGGGGGGGGGGGGTACCCTGTAATGACATGTACGAGTCGTACAAAAGCCATGGCCTATTCTTGTACAAGCTAATGACTGTGAGGGCTAGGCTCATATTCAAAGCGGGTACTGGTATTTCAATGCTTACGAATCAGGCTTTGTTTTCAAAACAGGATTCTATGGTAGTCAGTATGCTATCCTTTGCCACTGTTCCAGCATCTGCACACTCTGAAAAGATGCGCAAACCTCGCCAGTTCTCAGTTAGTGTCAAGCTACTCAAAGTGACAAACAACACAAGTTCACTGTCATCATGAACTGAGCAGCCTTGCGTCCTACAACACAACATACAACTTCACCAAAACACAACAGCAACTCCTCAATCTTACAACAGAGTATGTCAAGAGATTGCCAAATCGTTCAGCAAAGCCTTCTTCGGAAAGCTCAACTAGTGATTCCAGCATCTTGACCTGAGATAACAAAGGAAGCAGAGGCATGCAATGTAACTTTTAAAACCCTTTCAGTGCCAAGGGTGAGATAACTACATGTAGTCTTGAAACAACCACCCTGAATGGCCAAGGACGAGATAACTCGTCACACACACACACACACACACACACACACACACACACACACACGGAGCGTATAGAAACGAGCATAGATCACTGTACAAACAGCTACTTGAGTACAACTTCGGGGACGTGGAAGTCCACGCACCAAATATGCACTTTGGGTTGGATGTGACTTAGTACAACTGTACAAGCACTTTCTGAAGTACATGAGTTGTGCAGAATTTACTGGTGCAGGTAATATGCAGCAGGTAACGGGAAACTAAGAAGTAGAAGGGAAAAAAGAGAGAACAAGGATAGAAAATACGCTTGACAAGGAACGTTAGTGTATTACCTGCGCAGTGTCAACAGTGGCAAAGTCCTGCTCCCACGTCACCGTCTCACCGCAAAGCTGCTTCCAGATGTAAGGAGGCAGAGATAAAACCTGGGGTGGAAGATTGGTACATACATACACACGCACGCACGCACGCGCCCACCCACCCACATGCACACACATACACACACGCACGCACACACGCATGTGCTTCCGTACGCACCCACACGCGCATGTGCTTCCGTACGCACCCACATGCAGATTATACAGATCAAGTTGATAGCTAGGAGCGTGGGTGATTAAACAACACTGGTTCACACAACGGCGCACATAGCACAAACAAAGGAAAAAAAGGATATTTTCACAGAATGAACGACCAAGAAAGCCTGATTTGACAAGGCAGTTCCATTGGAGCCTTTTCTTAAATACAGTACACACTTTTGCTTCTTCCTGGCAGCTGCAGGCAGATTATATCTTATCGACATATAAACTAATAATTAATCTCCAACCTAACACACCGACGCAAGCAGCAGCAGCAGCAGCAGTAGCACATATACATACGCGAGTGCATGTACATTCAAAGTATTCTTTACCCCGCCGCGGTATTATTTTAAAGAACTGCAGTACATGTACAATGATTGTACAATGAAAATGTCATGATCTTGAGTGTCTACCGGTACACATCAGGGATGAATTTACTGTCATATTTTTGCATAGCAGTTTCTCCTATACAAAATCCCTCTTGCATCGCAGTCTTTGATTTTGAGTGGCATTTTTCTTTTAAGGGGGGGGGGGGGGTGTTTCGACCACATTCTCCTTCCTGAGAGTGATGCCTGAAAGCCCATATGCAAAAACGACTGAAGCACACTTGCAATTGCAAGTGCACGCAGATTGAGAGTACCTGCATCACATACACTGCACTGTATGCATGTTACTTGACAGCACAGGCTAGGCATGGATAGTATGTATGTATCGCAGTTTTCTGCGAGTCACAGTGACTTTTGAGTAGCAGTAGATCGATTTTGCATCGCAAACTGCGATGCGATACAGGATAAATTCATCCCTGCACATGTAGAATACGTCACGATGAAACCAGCTGAATGGTTTACAACAGAACAATTCAATGCACGTACCAGGTGCTCGCGGCTGCGCAGGCATGCACCCATCAGCTGCCCAATCCATGTGTACTGGGTAAAGAAGTCGCAACCTGGCGTTGGAATGTACATGTCACGGTACAGATTGGAAGAGTCATGAAGCTGCACAATCAATCACAACACACGTTGCAGGCACGTACACAGACGCATACACATGCACAGACAAGTATACACATTACACGCACACATATAATATGCACACACGCACGCAGCCACACAAGCACCCACGCACACACAAAACCACACATTGACACCAGAAACCCATATGGACCACTACTAAAATACTAAAGTTAAAACCATGCACAATACACATGCAGTCCACTACATGGAACCATGCACAATACACATGCAGTCCACTACATGGACCCTAGCGTGATATTAGAGAGGTTGAGCATAACGTAATTACGTTAGTAAAAAACGTAGTCGATCTACGGAAAGTCTTACGTAAACTGCATGCGGATCTGTGTTCTGCCATACAGAGTTTTCAAATCATGTAGCTGCCCTTGGCAACTCCGAACGCGGCAGTGTACGACCGGACCGACCTGGGGAGAGTCATACATTTGTACCCCAATCCACTTACGGAGCAACTACGTTATCAGAGCCCTATCTACGTACTCTAAGTAGACAACTTTCCGTAAGTGAAGTGCAAACTTGCAAATTCACGGGTTTTCCCGCTCACTAACGTACAGTTCCTCAACTTTACGTAGTGCCCTACCGGTATATTTGTAGTGCCCTTTATTTTATTTTTCCCAAAAAATAATATACAGGTTTCGACCTCGGATATTTGGCTAATAAAGAACCTGTAATAAAAGCTCGCCTTTGCCGGACGACTGGATAATAGATGTTTGAATGTACACTCAAACGTCTCTTATCCGGACGCCTCAGATACGGGCACGTCTCTCTACCGGGCACCTTCAGCTTGAGTTCCTATGCCAAAAATGCTTTGAATTTGGGGTTTTGAACTTTTTTTGGTATGCGCAAGTGCTTATTAATTTTGTCACTGCCAACCTGTGAAATCCACACTTTTTTGTCAATGGATTCTTTCTGTAACCTGAACATGTGCAATACGTGCCAAATAAACTTCTTCAAAAACTGAGATGATACATGGTAGATGAGTTATCCCGAGATACGGGCAAATCTGAGATACGAGCAGTGCCCGGTCCCAAGGTGCCCGGATAAGAGACGTCTGAGTGTAGTTCAGAACCGACAGCATGTAGCTCATGCAGACTGTACTGAGGCTGACCTCTCCAGCAGTCGCAGGGTGATGTATTACAGATTAAAAAAATACACCGTGCTCTGATTTGATCCGATATGGCGGATGCTTTAGGGCATTTGCAAACCTATTGTCTGCAAAGGCAAGGCTATGCGGAGAACAGAATAGATCAACGTGGTCATGATAATTACCTGATTGGGAGTACGGCAGAACAATTTGAGAGGAACTGGTACGTCACTGGCACTGGGGCACAATTCTTCACTGATCTCAGAGAGGGTTTCACGGAATCCACCACCTATGAAGAAAGCAAAACCGCACTTGATGAAACGAGTAAATGGATTTAGGGAAGAGAGCCACTATGATCACATTCCTTTGTTTACGCTTGATTGAGGAATAGCACATTGCAACATGTTCTGCTCTCAAAGTATACAGATAGAAATCGGTCCTGGACAAAAAATGCCCCAAAATGTCCATCCGAACGTTCTGATTATCCAAACATGGACCCACAACACTATAATATTCTATCAAAATGCTCGCATTGTCACGCACAATTACGCTATGCACCATAGACACAGATTTTGCGGACACTGAGCTGGCCAGTACAGCCTGCTTGTGCACACTGATTCGGACAATGTATAGTGAACCTCGAATTATGCTTTGCCAACTTCGAATTATCAGAACAAACCCCACACATTTTCTATGTAAGCGGATTCCGTGGAACTTCTAAGTTCTAATTAACTGGACATGCCCAGTTCGAGATTCGAATTATCAGACATTGTTATAATTATGGGAGTCATATTGACGGAAATCGGCCCTGGAAGAAACTTCCATCTGTACTGAGAAAGGCAGGATTATGATGTACATTGGGGTTTACACATTCTATCAAGCAGTAAGTGGATCAGTTGTTACTGTGTCATCAAAGAAAACATTGAGCAGCAGGTCATAGCCACCGCTGATCATTTTGTGGCACTCCAGGTAATATGCTCATTGGCCCACACCTTGATCAATCATGCCTTCATTGCTGAACACACACTCCCACCATTGATCTTGTCGTCCTGGCCATCTGATTATGATGCAAACACATAGATGGACAGGCAAATGACCAAGACAACAAAAGCAGAAATCTATTGACTGGGGCAATGGTGATAGCCGTAGGACAGAAAAAGACCTCTCCAACAACAGCACACAACATCACCCGTACATGTACCTGCGTGCGTGAGTTGTCATTTTTCATGCTTTCGCGCGGAATATTCTCCTCGCCAACAAATCATAACTATAAGATGCCGACAAGAACTGAATAAATTAGAAGGCTGCCACAGTTTCGCTACAAACTAAAATAACGAAGCTTTCCGGTTGTTACACATAATGGCTACGCTGAATAGTACAGTGACAAAGCTGACTAGTACAGTGATTGCGCGCTGAGTACATTGTCGGCAGCTCAGTGCGGAATGTACGAGTACTCTAATGATCAAGCGCAAAGTACGGACTTACAGCTGCACGTGTACTGTACTTCGATAAGACGTACTAAGTTAGTGCGCGCATGCATGATGCCATGCAATGATGCAATATCTGCAGCGTACTTACCGCTCGTGCACTGTACTGTCATAACCGTTATCGATCATAACGACTATCGATTTCATCCACAACGAGTGATATACGAGTAATCGGTATAATCGTTTCGGCCCTAGTGAAAATGTTTGATAATGTTGAACTTATGGTCTGTCCACAAAAGATTAAATATGCTGCGCAGCTTCCCGAGTCTGCACAACTCCCGGCTTTACGTACCTGTATTCTAGTACGGTGCCACAGTTGTGCGCCTTCAATGCCTCATACATCTGCAAAGAAACAGCATCAACAGCAGCGTGGACAAAAAGTAAAGAACTTTACAAATAGAAATGCTGACAAGATATTAGTACCAGACAGAATGCGCAATGCAGAACACAAGGCGACGTGGAGACAATGGAAACAAGAAGGAGCAACTCAAGCACTAAGAACAATACAGAGTGCTTTGAAGTAGGCGAGGCGACGTGGAGACTGCAATCGTAAAATACCAAAGAATACGGTTATGACATGAGTACGCACATAATCTTATTCAGTGCAACTGAAGTAATTGTAGTTAGAAATATTAGGCATAGGATACACTACAACCAAACAGCATCATGGAGTACACACCTGCGAGAAGAGAGCATTCTTGCAAGTAGCGTCAGCAGTCGGGTCATGACTGTGATCCCGAGCCAGACGTCGATTCAGATGAATCACAGGCATCTTACCAGCACTACGACAGAGCAGAGCAACAAAAAGTACAAGATGATGCCAGGGTAAGAACCAAAACAGGAAAAAGACACAGAAAACCAGAACTGCAACAAGAACACCAATAGCAGAAAGATTTCAACTTTCCAGACTGACTGCTGACGAACACAACTCATCAACACGTACACGACCCGGTATATTGGCAAACTCACGTCACAGCACAGGTGCTGCGTAGGAACGTGCCCAGCAGTGAATTTCGAATATTGGAAAGAAACAGCAGCTGACGGATATTCTACACATGAAAACAAAACAGTTAAAAGCAAGACCATAAAGCCACGTTCCTTGTTTTTTTCTGTTCACGCCAACGTTCCAGTCCAGTTTTTACCCTTGTAGCGTGTATCGGTGTACAGGATACTCACGGGACTAAGACAGCCACGTGAATACACCCATAGCATGACATGTTTAGACTCAGATGGAGAGCGAAGGACTAATTTATAAGATGGAAAAGGACCAAGGAACTACAAGCTATGCTATTTAAATGTCCAGTAACACCACCAGTTACTTTACAAATCAGCTCATGCAATACCATTGCACGCCACTAAGTTATGCCACTGTGCTAAAGCTGATTGTCAGTTAGTTGGAGAACGTCAGTACTGTTGGTCAGTGGCGTACACCGTATCGCATGAGCTGACTGTAAAGTATATGGTGGTATTAGTGGACATTATAGCGTAACTTGTAGTTCCTTGGTATTGCGAGACTCCAGTAGAGGCTCCAATACAAGGGCATTATCGCGGAACCAATCTGGCATCCGCCGCTTGCCCCGACCAACCACCTGCTCCGCCGCGCCAACAACAGCCGACTTCACAGTACTCCACTTACAGTCCACAGACGAGGCACAGTCATACGAGGATACCCCCCCCCCCCCCCCCACACACACACACACATACGCACACACTGATATGGTAAGCTGGTATTGGTGCTACTTGTCATACATATAACGCTACACAATGAAGTCTGACATCAGCAGACAGCAAGCGCATGTGAGGACAACTCTTCTACAGTACAAGATGTGTCACCAAACAATGCACTCACCGTGAAGCTACCAAACGAGTTCAAGGAATAATTCCAGGATGGCGTTATGAGGCACACAACACTGTCAAACAAAGTGATGGCCCTGGAAAAACGGAGAAAAGGAAATTGGACAGAAAGCACAATCTAACGTTACTAGTAAGCGGATAGCTTTGTGTTGCATTTCCACTTTGCACCAGAAGACTCTTGAGCAGGGAATTGATAGAGGCAGCCAATCTACTGACACCCGTTGCAATGAGATTAACAAGACAAGAAAGGACACCAGTGCTGCCACATAATTTTAGCCACATATCAGTAGGATAAAAACAATTTTAAAAACGCATCATCCGGGGACTTCGCCCCGGACCCCCATCATGGTAACCCCGGTATACACAAGCACACAAAGGGAACCGTTCAGATAAAAATTACGGCTCTGCATGGAACTCAGACCGATTTTTCGCGAGACAGAATAAGGATTTCGCTTAGCAACTTAGGGCGCGTTCAGACTGGCGTGAATAGCCGCCGGAAAGCTGCAGCGTAATCCCGGGAATCGCAATCACACTGCACGTGTATCCCGCTGGAATGGCCAGTACATGTACATGTGAACCTTAGACATTTGAAAAATTTGAGTTGACTCAGTTTGAGTTGGATATCAAAATAAACTAATTCAGTCTGTTGAGATACTGGATCATTGTGCTTGTCGACGGAAAGAATACTATGTCCGGAGTGTTTGGTGCTTGGGTGGCATTCATCCGCTCCGCGATCAGAGTATGCTTCTCGTTCGCAGTTGCCTGCAGAGCGGCCCGCAAAAATCACCACGTACACGCGGCTCCATGAACTCCCTCTCCATTGCTGAGTCGAACAAAGATTTCGGCATGATGGGAGAAGTTGGCAGTCTAGAAGTCAAAACTCAAAACTCAAAAGCATGCAGTCAGACTGCAAGAGTAGAGGCTGAAATAAAACGAAAAGACGGAACATGTGCTGCAACTTGTGCAAGGATATCAAAAGCGCTCCGCGTGCCGCCGGAATCTGCATTCCACTGGCCTGCAGAGTGGTGGGAAACCTTTTCCGTGTTTACGCTGGCGGGAACGTCACGTGAGCGATTCACCTTGACAACTTTCACATTCCGCTTGTTTTTTACGCCAGTCTGAACGCGCCCTAAGGAGAGAGTTCTGGAAACACCCATGATGACGAGTAAAAGCAAAAATCTGGATCAGGACGTTAGTTCTTAACAGAGCAGAAGGGCAAACTAGGACATTCATGGCTGTTGTCGGCAGGAGAAGGTCAATTGTCATTAGGTCGTGACATGCCTCCAAAATCAGTAGGCTACTGACATGCTGGCAGGTGTGGCAACACAGGGACACTATCAATCCACCATGACCATTTACAATCATTAGCAATGCTGTAAAATCCTGCCACAGCGCCCCTACCTCCGCGTCCCTTCTAGTAGATCCAGGTGGAGAGCTGCGGATGGGCGAGCCCTACTTGCCGCATTCAGTATTACATTAACAAGTACTCGACCCTACGAGATCCCTGGGCATTTCCGATGATGATTCACTGGTTGATTGTTATGGGGTAACATTGTTTGGTTTTGATGCCGTTTTGTTGGACTATACTGTACCTGGATGACAAGCAGGTGAGCATCCTCTCTGTGGTCTTGTGGAACGTGCGTGTCGTGGAATGAGATGCAGCGGTGCGTGTTGTGTTGTCGGCAATAGCTCATTAGTTATGTCCATTGGTTGTCTGGTTGTCTGTTGTTGCCTCCATACATTTCACGCTTGTTACGTTTCTTCACACTTTCATCTTTTGTCATCCTTTTCCATGTGTATGCCTGTATGGGTTGCGCATTTTTATTGTTGTTGTTGGTCATAGCTATTCTTCTTTGCACTGTTTTATCACCTCTCTGCTGTACTAAATTCATTGTTCCTGTTCCTCTGTTCTTTGCCCGTACATCAACTGAGGAGCAGGCATGAAAGTTAACTTGTGAAAAATTTCAAAATGTTCTTGTTGAAGAACCTACAATGTGAGCACTTTCCTAGTGTTCTAGCATTTTTATCCTCGAGGAAACTTTTCAAATATTTTCCAGTTATTTCTGGCCTGAACATTCACCTGATCATTCAAGGCTAAAAATTAGTCATGGCTGAAAATTTTGTTTGTGAGATACAACGTACGAAGATGTTGCAACATCGGCGCTAATTGGAGATACAGCGTACCAGTGGATATAGGCAGGAGCAATGCAGGCTGAATACGTAATGAGTCCAAAAGGACATTGGCCGTCGGAGGCTGAAATAAATTTAAAAACGCTGAAATCTTGTAGACTTTGTAGATGAAGTTTAGTCAGCTTCAACATGATACATGTATATGCTACACACACCACTATCATACACTGACACTGCAATGCACACAGTCATAACTGTCTGACAACAAAGAAACACATTTATTTTTCTAGATTACCTCTTCAAGACAATGGCTCGTCGATGCAATACATCCTTGGGAATGTTCTGGTCTAGCTTGGGATAGCTATGCACACACAGATGGAACAGAACAGGCATGTAGAATGCACACCCACCCACACATAGGCAGGTGCCTAAGACCCTCGGGCTGCGCATAGTGCTCTTCGGCCCAGTCATGTTTGGCCGAAAATTTGTTGCGGCTGAAATTTGTTTTGCAAGGTCCAGCGTGACAGTGTATACAGACTTCCCAGCTTCCTCAGACCAAGACCTTTCGACTCAGCACCCCGAAGACTACAACTAGTGAAAATTTGATTTTTAGGGTATAACTAGACTCGGGTGGAGAGCCAAGGATTAATTTACACGAAGAAAAGAGGACCAAAGGGCTACAAGTTATGCTATAATATCCACTAACACCACCAGTTACTTTACAATCAGCTCATGCGATAACATTGCAGGACACTGATCCCCTTGAATATAGCAAGAGTGAAGTGGATACAGACAGACCTAGTTTGAGTCAAAGCACAGTTTGGACAAACCCTTTACTGCCAAAATGCCAATCTATTACTGGTACTGCCAAGCACGAACTCATTGAACTTGCAGATTGTTTTCAACATCTCCCGATCACAAACACTCCCCTTTCAAAAACAAAAATAGTTCCTCACTTGGTGAAATCGGCATCATCAAACATGCTCTGGCTGAGCCCATTCACGTGCACGACGGCTGGGACAAGCTTGATGCCACGTATCCGTGTGTCCACGCCATCCGCTATTCATAATCAACCGCAGCCATTGACCCATACACACATGCATACAGGAGAACACACAAACACACACACACACATGCATTAACAGACAAATACAATCACACACGCGCGTGCGCACACGCGCGCGCGCGCACACACACACACACACACACACACACACACACAAGACTTCCGTGTGCAAATAAAATCCGAAGTTCATGAATCTACGATGCTGGCGGCAACGACAACCACAAGGCTCATGCAAATGGGTGGCACAGAATCAGGGACTGTGTCAACCTGTGACAATTAGTCTGTGGGTTTACTGGTACATGTGCATGCATACATACATGTGTGTGTGTGTGGGGGGGGGGGGGGTGCATGTATGCATGTGTACGTTCGTTTGAGGGGATATGCAAGTGCAAGAGAAGAATCCAAGCTCACAGAAACATTTCTTGATCCTCAGCTCAATGTAGCGATATGGTTGGGAGGCATTCTCCAGGACAGTCATCTCCTCTTGCGGACTGGACAGGCACCAAGAAAATACACGATACTGAATTATTAACCCCATTCCTGTTTGTCCTCTCCGTCTCTCCGTCTCTCCCTCCCTCCCCCCCCCCCCCCCCCCTCTCTCTCTCTCTGTCTCTCGGTCTGTCTCTCACTCTGTCTCTCACTCTGTCTCCCCGTCCCTCCCTCTCTCTCTCTCTCTCTCTCTCTCTCTCTCTCTCTCTCTCTCTCTCTCTCTCTCTCTCTCTCTGCACAAACAAATTTAAAACAAGGATGCAGTAAGAACTCGTGGATAGTAAGCCAAGGTAATTTTAAAGTGAAAACATGGAAAACGGCGGGGCGCAAGTTATGCGTTATTGAAGTCCACCAACTAAACCAAATTTTGAACAGTCAGACGTGCTCAAGTTAGCACCAGACTGACAAGGAGTACTGAGGCATTCCACGGCAAGAAGTCTTACTGTTCAAAATCTGGTTTAGTTGGTGGACTCTAACGCATAACTTGTGCCCACAGTTTTCCATGTTTTCAATCTAAAACAAGGGGGTGGCACATACTGCAGTAAGCCAGGCAGGTTAATAGCATTACCAGCACTTACACATCAGCTTCAACGGTCTTGCACACGCTCAGGGAGTCCAGAGCATTGCCGACTGCAACCTCTACAACCTGGGGTAGAAAGTTGCCATCATCTTCATCGAGAAAAAGTGACAGCCGACTGCAGAGAGATGGAGCAGAATATGGCATGCTGTTTTGTACAGGTGCAATCCTAATAATTCGAATATGACAGATTTCAAACAATATGATTCCCACATAACAATGTCTGATAATTCGAACCTCCAACTGGGCAGGCCCGGTAAATTATAAGCCCCACGGAATCCACTTACATAGAAAAATTCGTGGGATTTGTGCTGATAATTTGAAGTTACCAGCCACACAACAAGCCGACCTGTTTGGGAGCTATTACGCATTGTATTCTCAGGAGATAGGCCACAATTGCCGCTTATAATATGCAACATTAGGGTCCAACGCCAAAGCTAGTATCGCAAGCACCAATGTGGGTTAGTATGGCCAATGCCAAAGCTAACGGGGGCAACAATTGCCCGGCGAGAATTCCGACGTGTCAATACATGAGCATGCAGTAAGGATGCACTTGTGAGCGAATGTAGGCGCACTTGGCTCAATGCCGGCCTGACCCACGATCCCTACTGTTCTCCCTTTCGGGATTGCTTAGAGTGGAATGATAGTGAGAGATAATAGGGTGGGTGGTGGTGATCAGAAACTGGCCACGATGGTCAAACAATTTGACAGTCAGCGCAGCAAAGGAAAGAGCAAGAAGCAACAGCATGGAGAGCTGATGTAATGCGTATGCTCCGCGCAGTCCCGTGCCGAAGCGCGGGAATTCGGAGTGCATGCATGTTATGCATGCTTAGTAGTATTCAGTAGTAGTAGTATTCAGCTCCCGGGTGTTTCACCAATCGTGTTCACTTATGCCCGGACATAAGCCCGTGCGCTTATATGTGCGTAAGTGCGATATGAAACACACTGACTGGCGTACTAGCCGTACAGCTGTGTCATGCATAACACACTAACTGGCATACTAACCGCACAACTACACCGGCTTTGACATGAAGACGCAGCCAGTGTTTGCCAGTGTTGCCATCAGACTCCCAGTAAGTGTCCAAACCACCATCCATCAATGTCTGTGCCTCATCATTCTCCTTCAGACGTAGAATAAGGCAGAAAAGAGACACAGCACATAGCAAAAGCATTTAGCATCGTGTATGCCCGACGATGCAAGGGAAACACGCACATCTACAACTACACTGACTGCATATCCCCTGATTTCTCCTATAGCGACGGATAGCGGACAGGGTCTCTGAACGGAGAAGATCAAGATCTGTGCCAGATAACTTCCCAGTTCACATAACTGGTATTAAAGGCATGTGCACCGGCCCACAAATACATGTCCATGTATTATCAAAAAGTTGATAGAGCAATCTATATTATAGGTATGTGTCCAGTGCACACTTGATCTACCACATGGAGAACATCGGGATTTAACGGCCAAGCAAGATGCCTATACACACCCCAACAGGCGTGTAGCGCCGTATCGCAAAATTCGCAACATAAGCAGCTAGAGTTTACCGTACCATGTCCGCAAAACGCCCAGAACAGTATCGCAAAGTGCCCGCGTTCAACGTTCGTTCCATGTATGTGTCGATGTGTGAACTGGACTTGCACACGCTGTACGTACCGGGTAGGTACCGGGGTAGGTCCTTCATACATGATTCTACATGGTGATTGTACATGGTATAACATTATTATGTAAGTCTTGAACATGATGGTACATGCTGTAACAGCCACGGTTGGTACCTTTGCTGCAAGCCGCAAAGGAGCAGCGCGAGCGCTAGCAGGGGGAGCTGAATTAGAGCGTCCCGCCGTGAGCACACCAGTGCATTGTATACTAAGGCCATCATTTTTTAGATCTATGTTTCGTGTCGTCCGCACGCATACGTTTTGATTTTTTTCGGAAAAAAATAAAAAATCGAACATGCACGGTGAGTGTACGATCGCGCGAGTCATCAGTGTGGACTGGTTGCATACGTCGAAGCTGAGATTCAGAAATGGCCTGGAGGCCAGCGTTGGTAAATCGTCTGTTCGGCATCTGCGAGCAGTATTCTATGAGCTTACACCAGACCGCATCGATTGCCTCAAGCTGAGAGGATGCGTCGTTCCGGAGCTCTTTGCATCGCTGCTGAAGTCTGAGTACAATAATCCAGCGAAGCATGGGCACCAACGCCACGGTTGCCTCCTCTGTCCAAAGTGAATATTTACTCATGCTCAAAAACCCAAACTTTGTCCTTCGATGCACGACTTTTCTTTCGAATGTACAACATGAACGAGCTATTGTGCTATGTACAGTTCTAGCTAATTCTATACACCTCTGATGAGCTTTTATTTTTATTTTTTTGCAACTTTATATTTTTTCCACCTCTTGCATATGATTCTGGAAGTTGAACTGACGCGAAACATATATATAAAAAATGATGGCCTAATACGCATGTGGCGCAGCCCAGTGTGACGCAGGGAGTAATAAATACTGGTGTTTTACCACTCCCTGGTGTGAAGTGACTACACTGTGCGGTTTTTGTTCCAACTTGCTGCTCCCTGCCATTCGAGGAACAGAAGCATGTTTGTTTGCAAGTCCAGATATCGGAGCCTCCAGCAAAACGGTTGTAAGAAGCAGCCGATAGTACATGTAGGTCAAGATGTAGAATGATGTATAGACTGTTGAATCAGACTTGTTGAATTGTCTCTCGTGCAGTTCACCACAAAAATCCAAATAAAAGGAGCTGGCTGAGCCAGTATCCTTCTGCAAAAATGAAAATAGGATGAATTTCGTACACTGTCACATGACCTTCCGAAGCAGACTGAAAAGGGCTTACTTTACCACACAGGCATGAAAGGCGTCTGCTAACACGCCATTAAACAGAGCAACAAGAAGTTGGCACATGCCTATCGACACAGTACAGAGCTATTTACAGATGATGCTAAGGTGATACTAGAACATAATTTCTAACAGTAGAGGACTTACAGAGGAAGCCCTGAGCTGAACAAGGTACTCGGACAGCTCTCCACTCATCGAATCGATCACCACGTCCAGCGAGCTCTCCCTCTGCTTTGCCTTGACAGCAAACTTGGCTAACTCAGAATCGTGCTCCAGGCTCCAATTGTTCGGCACCTGCCGCAGCTGTTCCACAGCCTTTGTATCACTACATTCACGTAGGATCTTTGCAGCCTGGGTAGCACCACCGATGCGTACCGAAAAAGCATACTCAACGGCATCTTCCCATCTGAAATAAGGCAAGAAGAAACAGCACATACTCTTAGTCTGACAAAAAACATAGAATTTAACTCGGCTACTGGTCCAATAATATTTTTTAAATGTAAAATAGAAGAGAACACATGGGTGTGAGGGGGCACATCTGATGAGCCGTCACGAACAATACGCCTCGACTATCGAAAAAGAAAGGGAAAACTACAGCCAGCGGTGCAGCCCACGCACGTGGACCGAAAGTTCGTACTACACGCTGATTTTGTTCAAATCACGCTTGAAAATAGTTCGTCTTCACGAAAGTTCGCCGTGCAGCAGTTCGTCGTAAACAAATGATTTTGACTTTGATGCCTGGCCAACCATAGGATGGGCCCTAGTTCGTACTAATGGAAAGTTCGCCTTATCCATGTTCGTCCTGAAGAGGTTTGACTGTAGAACAGAATTTGCCCAAGTGCTATGACAGGATTGCCAATTGAATTGGAGATTGAATTCTATGTTTCTTCAGTAGTTCATGGGGCAGTTTCAAAAGGTCTTTCAGTGATGGCCACTTGGTGCTATCTTTTACTGCAGACCATGAAACTACTTCTACACCTTTATGGCTACCTACTAAGCGACGACGTCGAAAATATGCACGCAAACGCTGATGAATGAAGAAAGTGCCTGCTCCATACGTCTTAGCTTGAAATGTTGATGAAGTCACAAGAACTTCAAATGTATCCTTCGCATTACGTATTTGTTTCAATTGTATTTGTCTCATAAGTGGCACAACAGTCAAGCAGATCATGTGACAAGGATGGGCTAGTATGCGGACTTAATTCGCCACCTTGAAGCGACTACAAAAATGGCGAACGGACCTCATCTTCAATTCAGGAAATTATAGGACGAGCCGTGGTTTGATATTTTCACAAAGTCTGGGTCCCGGCAACGGTGTACACGGTTCACATACCACTTTTGGTCAAAATTATACGGGATCGGTGCGATGGGCCGACAGTGTCTCCCGGCGCGTACCGGCGATATGTGAACCAACTCATAATTTGGACTCGGATGGAGAGCCAAGGATGAATTTATAGAAAAGAAAAGGACCAAGGAACTACAAGTCACGCTATAATGTCCACTAACACTACCAGCTACTAAACAATCAGCTCATGCAATAACGTTGCACAACACTGACCGATGGCACTGGCGTTCTACAACTAACTGGCTATCAAATGGCATGGGCTGATTGTTTAGTACCTGGTGGTGTTAGTGGACATTAGACACCCTTAGCAAACACCCTTAGCAGTTACGGGCAGTCATAGGGGTCAAATATCCCCGTATAATACGCAATGAAGCACTGTACAAGCGCACTGGCTCCAAGCCACTCAGCAGAATCATCCAGTCTGCTAGGTGGAGAATGTTTGGCCACATGCTTCGACTAGACACCTCATCCCCGGTCCAGCAGGCTATGTCGGCATACTTTCAGCCAGGAAGCTCAGGGTTCCGAGGCCGCCCGAGAACAACACTCCCGCGATCCATCAACAACGACCTGAAAAATTCCAGATCCACAAACTCCCTCACATCACACGAGGATCTAGTTGCACTGAGGCAGCTCGCCCAGGATCGTCGAAAGTGGAAGGATCTAATGTGTGCTGTGTGTAATGGCTGAAGTTATACAATTACACTAGATACCTTAACAATAATAACGGATACAATTACACTAGATACCCTTAACAATAATAACGGATACAATTACACTAGATACTCTAGATACTAGAGACTCGGTACTCTAGATACTAGATACTCTAACAATTTTATCAAACATTATGATAATTACCACATCAAATGCTGCGGAGACCTATCCAGAATCGGCAATATGCTGGCCCTGGCCTGGAGATCTGCAACTATAATCAGCTTCTACTTTGCAACACTAACGGATTAGTCCCCTTTGTCGATTGATGGATCAATCGGTAGATTCGGCTCTGTTTTTCTTCCCTTTCTTTCTTGTTTTGAATTGTACGTTGAACTCATTGGATTTCTTTGTATTCTGTATCTCGTTATCGTTATATTTCCCTCTAGCCCTCTCGCTTAGGATGAGCTTTCTTTTTTATGGCAGCTTAAGCGAAGGCTATATACCTGCTTTATGCAGGTTGATGCCAACGCGAACAAGCAAAATAATAATAGCAAACAACGGTAACGCTATTTTTTTACGGTACTCGTACCTTGATCACCCAAATAGCGCTGAAGCTGCAGCGTAAAAACGTTATGGGGGCTGATTTATCGTTGTGACAAACGGTGTGTTTATTGGCCAAATATTGCATAGTCCGTACGCATTTCACCTTGTATCGCGTATATGGTGACAAAATGGTTGCACCGCGCGAAACAAAAGCTATTCTCGTGGCAGCAGCATACTAAAAATAGCGTGCATCTTGCTGAAGGTCTAGCCCAAATCCCTGTATTTTCCCCTTTACGGTAATACCGTTACAACATAAGGTTTTTTTGCTAAGGGTGTCTATTATAGCGTAACTTGTAGCTCCTTGATACTTTTTCTTTTCTATAAACTCATATTTTTTCGATAATTATAGACGAACCCTCAGGGGCCATCCGGTATTATCGATAATTTTCACGCCCCCTCCTTCCCCCCCCCCCCCCCCCCCCCCAACCGAATCTATCCTCGACCCTCCCACAAATGAAACTTTTTTTCATTTCGTGTAAAATACTGTAAAATTATTGGCTCAGCATGCAATGCATACATGCATAGTAAAACTAAAAGATATAAATTCGCCTGCCCACACCAATTTCACATGGGTCCTGCCCGGGAATCAGGATATTATTTTGGTCTCACCTATAATATATCATAATGATATTGCTATCATCTAACTCTACGTGAAGAAGAGGTTGGCGCGACTTCGGCGATAGTAGGGGAAGAGTGTGTTGCTCCCTACATCTAACTCTAGTATTGACAATAAAGCAGAGGCACCAGCAAAATAAACCAAGCTGCACAATGCCGGTCAACTTACTTAGTTGCCACAACATCAGTGCCTACTGTCGGCAGACCAGGTAGGTTCTTCTTGATAATTGGCATCAGATAGGGCCCATTCTCAATTGACACTGATACTTTACTGTCTACCACCATCATCCAGCCGCCAACAGTCTTGTTGGCCTCACTCGCTTTATCACCCAACAACTTTGCAAGACACTCCTGCACGGCATAGAGGCACCAAACAGACCAATAAGCAAAGCGCCACACTTGCCAGACACAGGGCTGCACATGTAATGATCATGTCAGGGCGATAACCCAGCACAGAAATGATAGTCCAATCCTCATACCACTACCATAGCATAATCAATGCGATCAGGGAAAGATAGCGGAACGCACGAACGTATCTTAGACGTCAAATTGTTTCGACTTCTGCCCACCTACTGCAAGGTATATGTCGAGAAAATACACTAGAAAAAATGTGTTTCTGCGGTCCAGGCAAAATGGTGTACTACCGACCCTTGCAAAGGGAAACGTAACCGAATGGCAGCGTTACCACCGTGTGTGTGTGTGTGTGTGTGTCATTCTCCTACCTCTTCTATCATTCTCCTGGGTGGACCAACAGCCCGTGCATGCCGGAGTATGTGGTGTGTGTGTGTGTGTGTGTGTGTCAATCCAGTGCATTTGCAGATTTGCGTGCTTCTCTTACGACGGACGTATACCGTAAAGTCCGGAGCAAACGCCCACCCCATTTTTGCAAGATCTGCTGGCCTGTACACACTGACCCCATGCACTGTCACCCCTACTGTACGAAAGTGCATCTCACACCGTAGCGGGAAGAGCACTTTGCTACGGTAAACTATGTCCACTTTCCTGGTTTCAAAATCTCTTTGTGCACTAGCGCTATAGCCACGAGCTAGCTAGCTCGTAGTGATTATATTTTGATGGTTGTTTTATTTCGCAAATCCGAACGGGTTTTCTTCCGAATAGTAAGGTAGCGAAGAACAGAGTATTGAAGGAACCAAATACACTTCTGACGGTGTTTCAAGCCATTATTTCGAGATCACACAGCGCCCAAAGGCAAATGTTTTTCTTGGGCACTTCGGACTTTTCAACAAGTTAGCAGCGACGTTGTAGGTGTAGCTTCTGTGACATACCCTGCTCGACTTGCAACTGCAATATTGGGACCAGTCAAACCGTTGACTGACGCTTCATCAGAACAATTATTGTTCCTGACAGCGCGACATCGTGGCACTGCACAAATTTCTGTGGCATTGCTCGTACCACATGAAGAACGAACTACCACAAAGACGATACATTTATTGAATGAAAGGAAATCTCGACAGAAGTTATTTCTTTGCAGGAAGATAATGACAATCGCTTTTGCACAGCCTCCTGGTAGGATATAGGCAGTTTGTAGGCATTACAGTCGTTTTCGTACGCATTCGACCTTCATGCCAGTTGTTTACAACTATATTGACCTGAAAAAGACGAAAATAGTATGGACCCGCTGGGGTGGGCGTTTGCTGCGAAGTGGGCGTTTGCTCCGGACTTTACGGTACATGGTACGTGGTACATGGTGTGTCAAAAAAAGAAAAAAATGTAAAATAGGGATTCACTGGCCGGAAAAAGCCGCTTCAATCAGCTGTGTGATGTAGACCAGGGAGTCGTCAAATATAAATTGATGACTCCCTGGTGTAGACCAGGCTAAAATTAGTGGCGGTCAATTCATCAGCCTTGCAAGCTGTTGAATGGTGTAATCCCAGCAAAAGTTAGTGTTTGCTATCATCACTTCTGCCATGGGCAGGTCTGAGGTGTGTGTGTGTGTGTGTGTGTGCGTGCGTGTGTGTGTGTGTGTATTGTCCCATATGGTGCAGTGGTATGTGCAGCGATTTCCAATCGATAGGTTGCGGGTTCGATTCCCGACGATTATGGTCACACACGTCTTTCTTCTCTTTCTCAGGCTGCGTTTACACGACAACGCACGGCCAGTTTTCCGTTTTCAGTCCGCATTTCTTTTTTCGTTTTCGTGCGTTTACACGATCAAAGCTGATCCAAGGTGGTCTCGGTTTGTATCGTTTTCGCGCGTCTACACGGGAGCAAAGGATCAGCCAAAGTTCGTCATGTGCCAAGTGTTGTCGTGGAAGCACCAATCACACTCAAGGAATAGTTGAAAACAGGCCACACGACAGCACTCGTCACATGACGAAAATTGTAAAAAAAGTTTTTGGATTGCCGGATGCGTGTGAACGGCCGAAAACGGAACAAACGTGACGGAAAACGAGGCCAGCAGACCGTTTCGACTGTTTACACACCCAAATTTATCCGGCAGAACATTTCCGTTTTCAAATTCTTCCACCTTGGCCAGCGTTTTGGTTTTCTTCCGTTTTGGTGTACAACGTTAACGTTTTACTCCGCTACCGTGGCATCTGACAGAGATGCCTGGCAGTTACACTGTGCATCTACTGCTTACACAGCTGCATAATGCCGTTTATTATTTTTTATTATTTTATTTTACTATTATTATTTTTTCGGCAACGCAGATGATGATGATGACCGTGTAAATGAACCAGGCATCCGAAAGGATTTTGTTGCGTTTTCATCCCCAGCGTTGTCGTGTACCGCAAAGTGCCGTTGATCCGCCCCCACACCATGTCGCTTCCCAGCTGGGTTTTCGGCAGGGGGTGGGAATTAGATCAAGGCTGTCAAGTGTAGTACGACGTACAACAACGTAGAAGTTCAGACTCGATGTGCTGGATTGTGCACATTTTCATCCTGGATAGGCACATTTTGTGTACAGCATTGCATGCGTCGGTTCAACATCGTATTTTCGTTGTATACGCCGAAGTTGCTTCACAGGTAGAAAATCGACAGGGGGCGGGAATTAGAGAGGGGGCGGATCAACGGTACTTTACGGTAAACGCAGCCTCAGACTCTTCCTGACTTTTCTTTCATTCTCCTGGGTGGTTACCAATAGCCAGTGCATGCCGGAGTATGTGGTGTGATGTGTGAGTGGGAAAAAATAAAAAATAAAATAAAAAGACCAAAAAGCCACTTCATAGCTGTGTGGTGTAGACCAGGCTGAACAGTGGCGGTCAATTCTTTAGCCTTGCAAGCTGTTGAATGGTGCAATCTCAGCACAAGCTGCTATGGCTTCTGCTGTAGCATCGCTATCATCGCCTCCTGCGATGGGCGTCCAATGGTGTGTGTGTGTGTGCGCGTGTGTGTGTTGAATGGTGTAATCCCAGCACTACATGTTTCTATGCCTAACATAGCTGTTCGCTATCATTGCTTCTGCGATGGGCAGGTCTGAGGTGTGTGTGTGTGTGTGTGGTGTGTGTGTGTGTGTGTGTGTGTGTGTGTGTGTGTGTGTGTGTGTGTGTGTGTGTGTGTGTGCTGTCCCCACAGAATACGCAGACAAAATCCTAAAATTATGCGAAAACAGGCCATTGTGCAGCAAATATGCGGGATTATGCAGCAAATATGCGGTATTGCGGTCTTTATGCACGTATTATCTGTCCTTGGTACAACTTGAGCGTACAGTTTCATGCATGTATACAACTTTGTCGTACAAACTCATGGCTGGTGAGACTTTGTAGTACATTTAGAGCATTGTGTACTATTTTCTTGTACATTCCCATGGATAACGCAGATTTTATGCAAAATTTCTCGAAAATGCGGATGAAAGCCAACACGGAAAATTGCGCATCCGCGGAATCCTGTGGGGATAGTGTGTGTGTGTGTGTGTGTGTGTGTATGTCTATGGTGTGTGTGTGTGGGTCTCTGGTGTGTGTGTGTGTGTGTGTGTGTGTGTGTGTGTGTGTGTGTGTGTGTGTGTGTGTGTGTGTGTGTGTGTGTGTGTGTGGTGTGTGTGCACATGTGCAGCGGTGGTGGCACTGCCCACATTCAGTGCGTTCCTGTATGGATCACAGGTTAACGATACTTCTATGGAAAGTTAGTTTTTAAAAAGAAGATTTGACACCACGTGCATACATGCATTACATTACGGGTACATACATCCGTAAGTTGGATCCACTGGCCCTGGTCATTCCACAAGTCAAGGCCATGACTTAGCACCTTCACAGGTTTGTCGTTCTTCACCTCGCCAAGCTTCTTCGACTCACTAGAATGGCTCTGGTAGATTCCCAGCGCATTGCCTTTCCCCGATGAAATATATTCAAGAGTTTTAGGAACGAAGCAGAGAGCTTCAGGAAGAGGACGGCACTCGGTGAGGCATCGGATAGCTTCCCGAAGGCATCTAATTCTGCCGAGTCTTAAGCGAGCTGGGTCCTGTGTCATCCTGTTACCACCATGGAGCAAGAAGGTGATGGAGAACCAAAACCAACTTCACCAAAACACAATTTTATACGAAGGGATTGTTTCAAATTTGGACACTGTTCATCACATAGGACCTACTCGTTATGATTATAACATGCTCTGGCAAAAGAAGAATATTTCAAGGTCTATCTTCCCGCTACCAGCACAGCAGAAACGTCCAACAGATGAAGAGCAGCCCAAGGAGAGGAGCTACATCGACAATGTAACTGCACTGAGAAATTAATTTCAACTCCGCAAATTCTAACATTTCCAAAGGCGTAAGTATGGTACTATGGATTGGTACAGTCATGCAGTTTCCACCAGCACTGCAATGGCAATAGATCTACCATGATAATAATTTTATGATGTAGATCTACCGTTGTTCTTGTTCGTGTGTTGTATCTACGTCCACAGCTCAGTCACCAGGCCGGCAGGTCACAGTACAGAGAGAGCAGTGTTGCCCCACGTCCAGCCACGGTCCCCTCCTACTAAGTACTAGTCCTAGATCCTGCATATGCACAAAGCAGAAAGTACACCACGTGTACCAGTCCAGGAAGTCTGCACTGTATTGACGTCATCATGTCAGTCTACGGTCGACAGCTCAGATCAATCTCAATCAGCAATTTTTGTGCTGAGAAAGTGAGATGCACACACTACAAATACAATCTTTTTCGATTTTGACAGCATGTTACAAGGCGAGGACGCGTAGTGCTCCTGACTACAACCAGTCCATCCTAGATCCTCAAGCGTTCCATCGAGACTTACACTGATTTTTGCGATCTTTTTCTTGAGAACGATTCTCACCCTGAAATGACTTTCGGCGACTGACGTGAAAGAACACTCATGACACCCACCTCGTCGAATGGAGCATGCATTGTTTGTGGTGTATGGGTGCAGGAAGGTGGTATGTTTGCGAGGTGCATATCGAAAATGATCCGGAAGACTTTGTGACGATGCTATTCGGCGGAGAACATTTGAATTTTTCGTACGATTCAGAGCAGTCGGCGAAAACGAGCCAGTAACCTGAAAGGAGGGCGTGAACAGGTGTAATTTTCGACAATGTGGTTGCCCTCGACCCTGCTCTCGGACATTCGAGTAATGGTTATGGCAAAATCGATGGTGCTCCAGGTTTTTCAGACGCATTTCTTGACCATACTCAATTCCGTAGATAAACCTGTGCACAGAAAGCACGCAAGAGTTCAAACTAACTGCACTGTATTCAGTTCACGTGCTTTCCACAGATCCAAAACACTCCTGGGACCAGGAAAGAGGACAATACGCTGCAGTATAGACGTGCACACTGCGAACACGCCCATGCGCCACTCCTGCACACCCGTGTCGGACATCACATACTGGCCATGTCACGGTGCCGCAGACGTAATGGGTGTGCCCCACACGCTTGCGTTACACACGTTTAGATCCTACATGCACGCGTGGAGCACAAACATGCGTGCCGCGGATACACACACACTGTTCGTACATGCCGGATACACTTCGCATACATCACATGTGTGTGCCACACCGTCGGAGGAATACAAACGAGCACGGATATGCACACATGAGAGCTAGAACAGTGTAGTAGCGATAGCTGAAACAGAGAACGCGACACGGGTGGCCGAGCAAGTGACATACAGCATAAACAAGACAAACGTACTTTGTACATTCACATACAGTCAAATTCTCTAATAACCACTGCGTATACAACGACAATTCGCGAATACGACAGAATTTCCATGCCCAGAGCAAAGTGACACACAGCATAAACAAGACAAACGTACGTTGTACATTCACTCACTTTTAAAAGTTTGTATACATGTATGTGATTGAATTGATATGCTTTGGTTTTCTTTCCTCAAATGAGAAGTGACGCGTGCATGGTATATGCATAGACCGTTGAAGTTCGTGTGAATGCATCAGACGCACACATGTACAGGACACTTTGCTTTTTTCAAACTGAAACCGTATACATAAGCATGCGCGTGTGTGTGTGTGTGTGTGTGTGTGTGTGTGTGTGTGTGTGTGTGTGTGTGTGTGTTTGTGTGCGGGGGGGGGGGGGGGGTACGTGTGAAGAACAAAAACCAGTACTGCTAAATTGATAATGCAGGCCAAGCAGAGAGGAACGCAAAGCAGACAGTCACCTCTACATTATAATCTTCTACAAATAACACATACATGTACATGTAGCTTCATAAGCAGAAAACGAGATATTGTGATGTGAGCGCGACAGACAGACTCACACACACACACACACACACACACACGCGCATACACACACACACACACACACAACCCCCCCCCCCCCACCACAGACTAGGGTCCAGCGGATTCTGCCGGCAGAAAAATTGGCAGAATTCGGTACTTTTTCTGGTAAGGTTCATGCATGTTTGGTATGTGGATAAAGAAATGGAGCAGAATTCGAGGAATTGCCCGCCATAAGGTTTGTATGGTTCTGCCAATTTCACTGCTTTTCGAGCAGAATCTGCCACCTTTTCGAGCAGAATCCGCCGGTCCCTACCACAGACACACACCACGAGACCATAAATCTGAAACGGCATGCATTTTGACACACACACGCACACATGCACACACACACACCACACACACACACAGTCACACACACAACACACACACACACACACACACCACGAGACCATACATCTGAAACGGCATACGTTTCGACGGGCTTTAGAAGGCCACGAGTTAGGTGATCCACATCAAGGCAATACGCACCACCAGCCCAGCTACATGTACCGATATCTCATACTAGACAGCAACTGAACGCGGCACACACACTACACACAAGAGCGCGTACAACGGCAACTTTCTCCTTATGCTTACGGTTGTCGAATACAGCATTGACGACACACCGAGACACACAGAGGAACACAAACTAGGGTCTACAATGTACACACATACATGTGCATGCACAATGTACATGTATACACAGGTATGCGTTTGCGTGTTTTCATGCTCCCTTCAAAGGTTTATGTATACGGCATGTATGATTTATGTTGCCTGAGTACGCCCACTTTGAAGGTCGAAGTTGGATTATACAGGGCGTGAACAGGTGAGATTTTTATGTCTAGCTGTTAATTACCCTTACCTTAGCCCACCAAGGAAATCGGAATAATCAAACTCGATGGTGCTCCAACTTCATTTCGACGTAGAAAATTCGCTGTTTGAACATCTCAATTTCAAAGGGTAACCACTGATTTCGATGTGAAAAACGTTTCCTGATCGCCATAAAAAAATTCCTGCCGACACACACCATAACAAGCTCCAAGTTCACAAACAGTGGCCACAAACGGTTGCTCGTCATGAAGGTGGTTCGACACTTTCGACCAAATTCGTTCACTTCCGTATTCAGTTGACAATTATTTTTGCCGTCATCAAGACTTATTTGGGCCCAAAAGCGCAAAAATCAGTGTAAGTCTCGATTAGTGGCAGAGATATGTTTTTTGCACGCTTGAGGATGGACTGAACCTGGGTTTTCCCAATACGGTTCAAATGGTCGCAAGACCGGGACTCTGCCAACCGGTTTATGGTTGTAGTCAGGAGCACTACGCGTCCTCGCCTTGTAACATGCTGTCAAAATCGAAAAACATGTTAAAGGGGAAGTATACCCTAAAATCAAATTTTCACCAGTTGTAGTCTTCGGGGTGCTGAGTCGAATGGTCTTGGTCCGAGGAAGCTGCGACGCTCCCTTCCTACTTGAATCCCAATCGAACTCGCGCACTTCCACCGAAACTGGGTGACTGCGCCCTACTAGATGGGGATTTGTATGCAAAATCTCACTAAAAGCGCCATTTCGTTCTTATAAAAGCACGGATGACCGCGATTGGCCCATATGTTGTAGTCTTTTGGACGCTGAGTCGACTGGTTTTGGTCCGAAAAGGCTGCGATGCAGCGTTCCTCCTTTATTCCCAATCGAACATGGTTGAACACGCGGTCACGTGCTCCTGGGTGCCCAAATCACCTGGTCACCGCGCCAGCAGGCGACAACTTTCACACCAAGGTTCAACTCGAGTTCAACTCGAGTGACAGGAGTGCACCCAAAAAAGGTCAAACAGGCTAGTAAGTTGTACCCTGCAGGCACGGTGACCAGGTGACTGGTGTACGCAGGAGCACGTGACCGCTTCTTCAACCATGTTCGATTGGGAATAAAGGAGGAACGCTACATCGCAGCCTTTTCGGACCAAAACCAGTCGACTCAGCGTCCAAAAGACTACAACATATGGGCCAATCGCGGTCATCCGTGCTTTTATAAGAACGAAATGGCGCTTTTAGTGAGATTTTGCATACAAATCCCCATCTAGTAGGGCGCAGTCACCCAGTTTCGGTGGAAGTGCGTGAGTTCGATTGGGATTCAAGTAGGAAGGGAGCGTCTCAGCTTCCTCGGACCAAGACCATTCGACTCAGCACCCCGAAGACTACAACTGGTGAAAAATTGATTTTAGGGTATACTTCCCCTTTAACTACCAAGCAAGGCTTCTGTATATAAATACAATCTTGTACGAGTACTTGGCGAAATCAGCGAAATACTGTACTAGTAAATCGCCAGCGAAAATTAATAAAATTAATATTTCGATTGTAATCTTCTGTAGTACCTGTCTGTATACCGGACCGCACATCGTGATCGACTAGTATTACTGTACATGTATATCGATCGATTTTTTAATTTTTTTGTTGAAAACCTCAATCGGCGACCAAAAGTTTCAGGCCGAAAATTTGATGCGGCTGAAATGGGTTTAACCCCGCCTGGAACATGCATGACATTGTATTGCATGCACGTGCACATGCATGATTATGACGATCATGACAATCATGATGCATTCGAATAATTATTATTTTGATGCTATTTTCTCCTAGAATCAAAGGAAATACGTGTGGCTTTCTCGACTCATTTCCGAACCCATAATGTGTGGTATCGGATGCCTGGTCTCGTCGGAAGAGTGCGATGATGTAGAAACTGGAGAAAGACAATGCATAGGTCTGAAGGTATGTAAAGATTTTGTACGTATCAGCATTGATACATGGTTATGCTAGATGTTCGAATTGTACTACATGTACTGTACAGTGAGAATTCACTAAAACGTACCTCCACAAGGGCCTTAAAATTCTGTAGTTTTATTGCCGAGAAACAACTTTATACTAGTAAATTTAAATTATCCAAGGTACTTTGAAGTATAGCACAGAAGAGTTCCCGATTATCCGAACCCCTAGGGTACGGGGCTGTCTCCAGTGGTTTGGATGAAGAGTATGTTCGGGTAAGAGAGCAGCCACACATCCATCTAAAACATGCATATCATTCATGTTTTCATCATTTCTCATTCTCTTCGGCAGTACAACCCTTCAGCAAAATGACACTATCACGACACATTTTGTTTAATTTGCAGTGCCAAAACCGATGTGAAAAATGTCACCTGACAGCGTTTAATTTAGGTGTTTTGGGTCGGTGCCGAATATAGCCAAAATTAAATACTATTAGCTTTTGCATTCTATTCTCCATGTCGCACTCACACTTACATACACAGCTCTCTACTTGTCTCCTTCGCTCCCTCCCTTTCTCCGGACACATTTCGCCATTGCTGCTACTCGCCACACTTCTAGCACCTTGTTTTCCCTTCCTCTCTCCCGACACCTTTCACCATTGCTGCTACCCTCTACACATACACACATTTCTAGCACCTTTTTTTCTCTCCCCATATTCTCATCTCTTTCTTACAGCATCACACAACATATCTACTCGTTTCAGTTTTTGTTGGCATTAGTTGACTGTTTTCACCCTGAAGATGGGCCATGTCCGAAATTTTGGTGAATTCAATTATCAAAACTCGGATGTTGAGCCAATGGTATTAATTGAGAAAGAAAAAAGGACCAATAAGTTACAAGTTATGCTGTGTTGAATGTCTCAATATCCCTGTCAGTTTTGTGCCTTGTCGCACTATCTGAGTGTATAATATCTCGTTACCTTGGTGGACCATATATTGAACGTTCGAGTTGAGGTACCCTAATTTGTAAGTGGCTGCAATGGAGTCTGCGAGTGCTTAGAAAAATTAAGTAGCTGCCGAAATTTTGTATGTTTTAATACAGTGTGCAACTTACTCGGCAAAATCCTTGCAAGGTCAGCTTTCTTAGTGAGAGGTCATCTGTACGTAATAGCTGTAGCAAGGAAACGATCAGTCTGTCGTGCATTCCCAGCCTGTTCTAATTTTGTAAAGCCTAGTTCACATTCGACGGAACGCTGACGGTACGGGACGTAAGGGCCTGTCGGGAAGGCTGGGGTGAGCTGTAAAATCTTGTACGATTCGTACGACACGACATGCTGCAGTTGTTGCGTCGTTCAACAGCGAACGGCGCCAGTCATAAGGCACGGTCCGTGACAGGGTGACTTTTGGACCTAATTTCTTGTTTTTCGGGACTTCTTTTCAATTATTTCTCCTTGAATGAAGCGGAATCAAGTTCACAATACCAGTTTTTCATGAACGCCAAAAAAGTAGCTTCGAAAGGTGTGCCATTCAAATAATAGCTCCAGGAGATGATAAAACAGTTCGCTTGTCACGCTCCTGAACTATCCCTAAATGCCATAAGTGACATCAGACCTTGTCTTGCTAAAATTCAACTCAAGTCGTGTTAGCCATTCTGCGAGTTATCATGGGAAGCACAGTGTTCGAAATGCTAAAATTTCCAAGTACGAATTGGGAGTAGTCGGCGCGCGACGCCGTCTCCTGTTCACACTCAATGCAGCTGTTTTGTATGCTTGCGTCCCCGTCTACGGTATGAAAAGTTGGATCGATCCAACTCTTCCCGTCGCTTCCCGATCCGTACGGCAGTGCGGTTGCGTTCCCGTTCCTGGTGTTCACATTGGACGCTGTCAGACTGTCCCGTCGCTTCCCGTCTATCCTTACGTCGCGTCCCGTCGCGTCCCGTCTATCCTTACGTCGCGTCCCGTCGCGTCCCGTCGCGCCCCGTCGAATGTGAACTAGGCTTCATAGCATACTATTAGAGCTGTGGGCTAGTGTACGTTCGGTCATTCTCCATACCATTTCATACGCTTCAATACAGGATTTGTGTGTGAACCTCACGTTACTTGTGCCATCATGCTGGAAACCTGTCTGGATCCCCCATGCAACCAGTGAAGATGCAGGCATTAGGGAGGTTTCGCTCTACGGAATTACGTATGAAAATAACGTAGGAACTGCACGTAATTTTCATACGTAAAAATCAGAGCTGTTGGGTTTCGCTCTACGTGATTTCTCCACGACTGCTAGCATGCTAAACACGCCTTGTTGCTTTGGAGACGCGTTGGCTGCATGCGCCCACCACATGCACCACGAACTGAAACCGCGTTTTCCATTTTATTTTGTACGTGGTGTACGGTGTGTGTACCTTGCGTTTCGCGCGGCTTAAACGTTGCCATGGATAAATCCAGAAAATGCGAAAAAATATTTCGAAAAGTCCTACGGAGGACCGAACGTAGGAAAGAGCTTTCCTACGGAAATCCGTAGAGAGATTTACGTATGAAAGTTGCCCTCGCTCCCCGGCGGGTACGACACGGATTTTCATACGTAATTACGAAGAGCGAAACCTCCCTAATGTTGATGTGCGACGGTTAGATTTATATTAGACTTGACTGCTGCTATGTTCTCCCCTTTCTATCACTGCTGACTTGTGTTTGTAGAGCTGGTGGGAATCGGTGGTGGCCGCCAACAGAAGACGAGGTCCCGATGCATTTGGATACCATAGAATCTCTCTTGGTCCAACGTGTGTGTCTGCTGGTACAGAGCGTGATGGCTCCTCTACAGAAGCCCACTCCATCGGAACAACTGGCAGTGCCACTGCTGGAGAAGTTGGCCCATATATTCCTCCTCGCATGGTGAATATGTGTGGCTGTGTGCTACATTTGCGTGGCGGTGGCTGCGCTACACAACAACCATTGATCAATCACGCTACTAATGATGTACTGCTATGGAATGGCGAGGTATTTGATGGTGTGGAGGTAAGAATTAGTCTGGCATAAGCTGAGCTTCTCTTTTGCTGGATTTCTACATCACAACTGGTATGTACTGGCTATAGTAGAGCCTTGAACTAATTGTTCAGTAAATTGTGCCCACTTATGTGATAGCCCGGTGTTGACGCGATCGCTGATGTGTTCACCCTTAACCCTTTAGGGCCCACAATTATTTCAAGGAATGCACTGCATACGCGAGCCCAGGTACTTATTTGGTCGTTACTTTGGTGTCCTTTGGCCGATTTTGGTGATCTTGGGCTTTCTGGAAAGCTCTTGGCCAGAGGAACACAGCGATACCCAGAAATCCATCAAGGAATCCACAGAACCAGCGCCGCAGCGCGATTCGGCGCTCCAAAGCCAGCATTGCGAGCGCCCAACTCAAATTCTCTGCCATTTCAACAAAATGTATCGCAGATCGCTCAAATTTTTTTCCATGAGAGCTGAGAAACATGCCTTTGCAATGACGTGAACTATCTGTGGCTGTGTGGGCCGCGAGTCAGGGGAACCCCCCAAAGCGAGTTCAAAATGCACGCGCCCGAGGTGACTCTGCTGAGCGAATTTAGTTCGAGTCTCATAATCTCATAACTCCGCTCTCTGACCTCCGATCGCCTTCGGGTTTTTTCGAGCCGATAGCTGAGACAATTCTAATGTCGATAGACCTTTTGATGGTCCGATTTGGTCAAGGGACGGCCGAGTTACGCCAGGTTGCGCTTTGAAAAGTATGCACTGTACACTGGTACGGATATATCCGTACTATGGGCCTCAAAGGGTTAAACTAGTTGTTCTTTTCCACTGTGTGTCATTCATTATTAGGTTTCTGTTGGCAGGAATGATGGATCGGTACTTTTGGAATTGCTGAGCAAGTGCACGGACCTGGTGTGTAGTCGCGAAGACTACATTGTGTCCGTTCTAGCAACGATACATGGTCCCTGGGCGTTTGTATTCTGGCAGGTGCGTGGATGCTATATTGTAGGCAAAACTGGCATTGATATGCTGTGTAGTGCACTGCAGCCTGCCACGTGCGTCTTGTGCAGGACAAACCCAATGTGATGGAAGTGTGAAATGAATTCCTTGGCATGGCGTTTTGCTAATAGTCATCATACTATTAGCCTGCATACCGCACGGTATCTATTTATGATTGCCCAGACACTATGGTGTTGAATATGAAAGCAAGGTTTATTCCTGTACAAACCAATGTGAAAGATAGGCTTCTACTCCAACCTAGTATAGCGAAGCCTCAGAATTCCGACCGCCCTTCAGACCGAGCCAAATCTGATTTCCGCAGTGGTTTGATTTGTGAAAATGACCATCCTGTATGCACACTTATAATTATGGAGAAAGCTTGAGACCGAGCAAAAGTGGTCGGATTGTTCACAGGGTGGTTGGAAAGCAAGGGTCCACTGTATTTGTGTTCATATCAACACTAATAACTCGGTTATGCATACAGTCGACTCCACTGATAAACAAACTCGGATGTAGCGAATTTCTTGATATAGCGAACCATTGCCCATGTCCCTGTTTTAACCCACACAAAATTGACCCTTTGTCGCGAACTGTTTTCGTTTCTAACACATCATGCCTGGTTGGGAGCATGTAAACAAGTGCACTCGTGCAGTCACGGGCAGCATGCCAAGCTTGACATGTTGCTTGTATAGTTCGATTGCATTTCTGTTATATAAAGAACTTTGCAAACTTAGAAGTTGCGACTTCGGCGGTATTAGTGATGAAGTTGGTTGCGAATAGCTACTGGCTGTCAACGTCTGTTATTATCACAACTCCATGAGCGACTCCGACTCACGCTGCTACCTGGGGCCTCACGAGGTGCTTGTCGAGCTGGAAATGGAGCGTCTCTGTAAGTTTGTATTCTGGGTGATGGTATTGCCTGGAGAGCACTATATAAGTGGTGCTTTTCAGGCACAATCTTCCTCGGCCTACTCAAGCTCAACTGATGAGGGGTGAATTCCCTGAAACACTGTGTACACTCGTATTGAACAGGGAGTGGTGCTTTCTTGCAGGTTTGCCGAGTGGAAGGTGCGACGTGCTCCTCGTGTGCTCCGGATGGCAGTCGTGAGTCAACCAAGTGTCAAGTTCAGCAAGAAGTGTGTGTTCCTCGTTTGTACAACCATCTTCATCAAGAACTTTGGCTATAAAACAAACAAACCCTCCTGCGCATTGGTGTTCGTTACATCTAGGGTCGACTGTATTTCTATCCGGAAAATCAGGCCTGTATTCAAAGCAGGTGACCATATGAGCTAGGCGTTATGCAAGATACCGTCAGACCTCGCTTAATCGCACACATCCGTTTTCCACAAAAATCTGGATAGACGAGGGAACCGGATAATCGAACGCACATACTGTATGTATGCACGACATATGCTGTAAATCGGTAACCAACGATTTTGTTCCGGATGGCGAAGTATCCGGATAAGCGAGGTCTGACTGCAGTACGGTAGTTGAAGAACATACATGTACATTCCGGGTGATTAGTAGAGTAGTGAGTACAAGCAATGTTCTGGTGTGTGTGTGTGTGTGTGTGTGTGTGTTTGGGGGGGGGGGGTGTTCTCTTTACTTATGTTAAAACATAGGTAAAGAGAACAATCCCCTCCGCCAACACATAGGTAAAGAGAACAATCCCCTCCGCCAACACATAGGTAAAGAGAACAATCCCCTCCGCCAACACATAGGTAAAGAGAACAATCCCCTCCGCCAACACATAGGTAAAGAGAACAATCCCCTCCGCCAACACACAGGTAAAGAGAACAATCCCCTCCGCCAACACATAGGTAAAGAGAACAATCCCCTCCGCCAACACATAGGTAAAGAGAACAATCCCCTCCGCCAACACATAGGTAAAGAGAACAATCCCCTCCGCCAACACATAGGTAAAGAGAACAATCCCCTCCTCCAACACATAGGTAAAGAGAACAATCCCCTCCGCCAACACATAGGTAAAGAGAACAATCCCCTCCGCCAACACATAGGTAAAGAGAACAATCCCCTCCGCCAACACATAGGTAAAGAGAACAATCCCCTCCGCCAACACATAGGTAAAGAGAACAATCCCCTCCGCCAACACATAGGTAAAGAGAACAATCCCCTCCGCCAACACATAGGTAAAGAGAACAATCCCCTCCGCCAACACATAGGTAAAGAGAACAATCCCCTCTGCCAACACATAGGTAAAGAGAACAATCCCCTCCGCCAACACATAGGTAAAGAGAACAATCCCCTCCGCCAACACATAGGTAAAGAGAACAATCCCCTCCGCCAACACATAGGTAAAGAGAACAATCCCCTCCGCCAACACATAGGTAAAGAGAACAATCCCCTCCGCCAACACATAGGTAAAGAGAACAATCCCCTCCGCCAACACATAGGTAAAGAGAACAATCCCCTCCGCCAACACATAGGTAAAGAGAACAATCCCCTCCGCCAACACATAGGTAAAGAGAACAATCCCCTCCGCCAACACATAGGTAAAGAGAACAATCCCCTCCGCCAACACATAGGTAAAGAGAACAATCCCCTCCGCCAACACATAGGTAAAGAGAACAATCCCCTCCGCCAACACATAGGTAAAGAGAACAATCCCCTCCGCCAACACATAGGTAAAGAGAACAATCCCCTCCGCCAACACATAGGTAAAGAGAACAATCCCCTCCGCCAACACATAGGTAAAGAGAACAATCCCCTCCGCCAACACATAGGTAAAGAGAACAATCCCCTCCGCCAACACATAGGTAAAGAGAACAATCCCCTCCGCCAACACATAGGTAAAGAGAACAATCCCCTCCGCCAACACATAGGTAAAGAGAACAATCCCCTCCGCCAACACATAGGTAAAGAGAACAATCCCCTCCGCCAACACATAGGTAAAGAGAACAATCCCCTCCGCCAACACATAGGTAAAGAGAACAATCCCCTCCGCCAACACATAGGTAAAGAGAACAATCCCCTCCGCCAACACATAGGTAAAGAGAACAATCCCCTCCGCCAACACATAGGTAAAGAGAACAATCCCCTCCGCCAACACATAGGTAAAGAGAACAATCCCCTCCGCCAACACATAGGTAAAGAGAACAATCCCCTCCGCCAACACATAGGTAAAGAGAACAATCCCCTCCGCCAACACATAGGTAAAGAGAACAATCCCCTCCGCCAACACATAGGTAAAGAGAACAATCCCCTCCGCCAACACATAGGTAAAGAGAACAATCCCCTCCGCCAACACATAGGTAAAGAGAACAATCCCCTCCGCCAACACATAGGTAAAGAGAACAATCCCCTCCGCCAACACATAGGTAAAGAGAACAATCCCCTCCGCCAACACATAGGTAAAGAGAACAATCCCCTCCGCCAACACATAGGTAAAGAGAACAATCCCCTCCGCCAACACATAGGTAAAGAGAACAATCCCCTCCGCCAACACATAGGTAAAGAGAACAATCCCCTCCGCCAACACATAGGTAAAGAGAACAATCCCCTCCGCCAACACATAGGTAAAGAGAACAATCCCCTCCGCCAACACATAGGTAAAGAGAACAATCCCCTCCGCCAACACATAGGTAAAGAGAACAATCCCCTCCGCCAACACATAGGTAAAGAGAACAATCCCCTCCGCCAACACATAGGTAAAGAGAACAATCCCCTCCGCCAACACATAGGTAAAGAGAACAATCCCCTCCGCCAACACATAGGTAAAGAGAACAATCCCCTCCGCCAACACATAGGTAAAGAGAACAATCCCCTCCGCCAACACATAGGTAAAGAGAACAATCCCCTCCGCCAACACATAGGTAAAGAGAACAATCCCCTCCGCCAACACATAGGTAAAGAGAACAATCCCCTCCGCCAACACATAGGTAAAGAGAACAATCCCCTCCGCCAACACATAGGTAAAGAGAACAATCCCCTCCGCCAACACATAGGTAAAGAGAACAATCCCCTCCGCCAACACATAGGTAAAGAGAACAATCCCCTCCGCCAACACATAGGTAAAGAGAACAATCCCCTCCGCCAACACATAGGTAAAGAGAACAATCCCCTCCGCCAACACATAGGTAAAGAGAACAATCCCCTCCGCCAACACATAGGTAAAGAGAACAATCCCCTCCGCCAACACATAGGTAAAGAGAACAATCCCCTCCGCCAACACATAGGTAAAGAGAACAATCCCCTCCGCCAACACATAGGTAAAGAGAACAATCCCCTCCGCCAACACATAGGTAAAGAGAACAATCCCCTCCGCCAACACATAGGTAAAGAGAACAACCCCCTCCGCCAACACATAGGTAAAGAGAACAACCCCCTCCGTCAACACATAGGTAAAGAGAACAATCCCCTCCGCCAACACATAGGTAAAGAGAACAATCCCCTCCGCCAACACATAGGTAAAGAGAACAATCCCCTCCGCCAACACATAGGTAAAGAGAACAATCCCCTCCGCCAACACATAGGTAAAGAGAACAACCCCCTCCGCCAACACATAGGTAAAGAGAACAATCCCCTCCGCCAACACATAGGTAAAGAGAACAATCCCCTCCGCCAACACATAGGTAAAGAGAACAATCCCCTCCGCCAACACATAGGTAAAGAGAACAATCCCCTCCGCCAACACATAGGTAAAGAGAACAATCCCCTCCGCCAACACATAGGTAAAGAGAACAATCCCCTCCGCCAACACATAGGTAAAGAGAACAATCCCCTCCGCCAACACATAGGTAAAGAGAACAATCCCCTCCGCCAACACATAGGTAAAGAGAACAATCCCCTCCGCCAACACATAGGTAAAGAGAACAACCCCCTCCGCCAACACATAGGTAAAGAGAACAATCCCCTCCGCCAACACATAGGTAAAGAGAACAATCCCCTCCGCCAACACATAGGTAAAGAGAACAATCCCCTCCGCCAACACATAGGTAAAGAGAACAACCCCCTCCGCCAACACATAGGTAAAGAGAACAATCCCCTCCGCCAACACATAGGTAAAGAGAACAATCCCCTCCGCCAACACATAGGTAAAGAGAACAATCCCCTCCGCCAACACATAGGTAAAGAGAACAATCCCCTCCGCCAACACATAGGTAAAGAGAACAACCCCCTCCGCCAACACATAGGTAAAGAGAACAATCCCCTCCGCCAACACATAGGTAAAGAGAACAATCCCCTCCGCCAACACATAGGTAAAGAGAACAATCCCCTCCGCCAACACATAGGTAAAGAGAACAATCCCCTCCGCCAACACATAGGTAAAGAGAACAATCCCCTCCGCCAACACATAGGTAAAGAGAACAATCCCCTCCGCCAACACATCGGTAAAGAGAACAACCCCCTCCGCCAACACATAGGTAAAGAGAACAATCCCCTCCGCCAACACATAGGTAAAGAGAACAATCCCCTCCGCCAACACATAGGTAAAGAGAACAATCCCCTCCGCCAACACATAGGTAAAGAGAACAATCCCCTCCGCCAACACATAGGTAAAGAGAACAATCCCCTCCGCCAACACATAGGTAAAGAGAACAATCCCCTCCGCCAACACATAGGTAAAGAGAACAATCCCCTCCGCCAACACATAGGTAAAGAGAACAATCCCCTCCGCCAACACATAGGTAAAGAGAACAATCCCCTCCGCCAACACATAGGTAAAGAGAACAATCCCCTCCGCCAACACATAGGTAAAGAGAACAATCCCCTCCGCCAACACATAGGTAAAGAGAACAATCCCCTCCGCCAACACATAGGTAAAGAGAACAATCCCCTCCGCCAACACATAGGTAAAGAGAACAACCCCCTCCGCCAACACATAGGTAAAGAGAACAATCCCCTCCGCCAACACATAGGTAAAGAGAACAATCCCCTCCGCCAACACATAGGTAAAGAGAACAATCCCCTCCGCCAACACATAGGTAAAGAGAACAATCCCCTCCGCCAACACATAGGTAAAGAGAACAATCCCCTCCGCCAACACATAGGTAAAGAGAACAATCCCCTCCGCCAACACATAGGTAAAGAGAACAATCCCCTCCGCCCACACATAGGTAAAGAGAACAATCCCCTCCGCCAACACATAGGTAAAGAGAACAATCCCCTCCGCCAACACATAGGTAAAGAGAACAATCCCCTCCGCCAACACATAGGTAAAGAGAACAATCCCCTCCGCCAACACATAGGTAAAGAGAACAATCCCCTCCGCCAACACATAGGTAAAGAGAACAATCCCCTCCGCCAACACATAGGTAAAGAGAACAATCCCCTCCGCCAACACATAGGTAAAGAGAACAATCCCCTCCGCCAACACATAGGTAAAGAGAACAATCCCCTCCGCCAACACATAGGTAAAGAGAACAATCCCCTCCGCCAACACATAGGTAAAGAGAACAATCCCCTCCGCCAACACATAGGTAAAGAGAACAATCCCCTCCGCCAACACATAGGTAAAGAGAACAATCCCCTCCGCCAACACATAGGTAAAGAGAACAACCCCCTCCGCCAACACATAGGTAAAGAGAACAATCCCCTCCGCCAACACATAGGTAAAGGGAACAATCCCCTCCGCCAACACATAGGTAAAGAGAACAATCCCCTCCGCCAACACATAGGTAAAGAGAACAACCCCCTCCGCCAACACATAGGTAAAGAGAACAATCCCCTCCGCCAACACATAGGTAAAGAGAACAATCCCCTCCGCCAACACATAGGTAAAGAGAACAATCCCCTCCGCCAACACATAGGTAAAGAGAACAATCCCCTCCGCCAACACATAGGTAAAGAGAACAACCCCCTCCGCCAACACATAGGTAAAGAGAACAATCCCCTCCGCCAACACATAGGTAAAGAGAACAATCCCCTCCGCCAACACATAGGTAAAGAGAACAATCCCCTCCGGCAACACATAGGTAAAGAGAACAATCCCCTCCGCCAACACATAGGTAAAGAGAACAACCCCCTCCGCCAACACATAGGTAAAGAGAACAATCCCCTCCGCCAACACATAGGTAAAGAGAACAATCCCCTCCGCCAACACATAGGTAAAGAGAACAATCCCCTCCGCCAACACATAGGTAAAGAGAACAACCCCCTCCGCCAACACATAGGTAAAGAGAACAATCCCCTCCGCCAACACATAGGTAAAGAGAACAATCCCCTCCGCCAACACATAGGTAAAGAGAACAATCCCCTCCGCCAACACATAGGTAAAGAGAACAATCCCCTCCGCCAACACATAGGTAAAGAGAACAATCCCCTCCGCCAACACATAGGTAAAGAGAACAATCCCCTCCGCCAACACATAGGTAAAGAGAACAATCCCCTCCGCCAACACATAGGTAAAGAGAACAATCCCCTCCGCCAACACATAGGTAAAGAGAACAATCCCCTCCGCCAACACATAGGTAAAGAGAACAATCCCCTCCGCCAACACATAGGTAAAGAGAACAATCCCCTCCGCCAACACATAGGTAAAGAGAACAATCCCCTCCGCCAACACATAGGTAAAGAGAACAATCCCCTCCGCCAACACATAGGTAAAGAGAACAATCCCCTCCGCCAACACATAGGTAAAGAGAACAATCCCCTCCGCCAACACATAGGTAAAGAGAACAATCCCCTCCGCCAACACATAGGTAAAGAGAACAATCCCCTCCGCCAACACATAGGTAAAGAGAACAATCCCCTCCGCCAACACATAGGTAAAGAGAACAATCCCCTCCGCCAACACATAGGTAAAGAGAACAATCCCCTCCGCCAACACATAGGTAAAGAGAACAATCCCCTCCGCCAACACATAGGTAAAGAGAACAATCCCCTCCGCCAACACATAGGTAAAGAGAACAATCCCCTCCGCCAACACATAGGTAAAGAGAACAATCCCCTCCGCCAACACATAGGTAAAGAGAACAATCCCCTCCGCCAACACATAGGTAAAGAGAACAATCCCCTCCGCCAACACATAGGTAAAGAGAACAATCCCCTCCGCCAACACATAGGTAAAGAGAACAATCCCCTCCGCCAACACATAGGTAAAGAGAACAATCCCCTCCGCCAACACATAGGTAAAGAGAACAATCCCCTCCGCCAACACATAGGTAAAGAGAACAATCCCCTCCGCCAACACATAGGTAAAGAGAACAATCCCCTCCGCCAACACATAGGTAAAGAGAACAATCCCCTCCGCCAACACATAGGTAAAGAGAACAATCCCCTCCGCCAACACATAGGTAAAGAGAACAATCCCCCCTCCCCCCACACATAGGTAAAGAGAACAATCCCCTCCGCCAACACATAGGTAAAGAGAACAATCCCCCCTCCCCCCACACATAGGTAAAGAGAACAATCCCCTCCGCCAACACATAGGTAAAGAGAACAATCCCCCCTCCCCCCACACATAGGTAAAGAGAACAACCCCCTCCGCCAACACATAGGTAAAGAGAACAATCCCCTCCGCCAACACATAGGTAAAGAGAACAATCCCCTCCGCCAACACATAGGTAAAGAGAACAATCCCCTCCGCCAACACATAGGTAAAGAGAACAATCCCCTCCGCCAACACATAGGTAAAGAGAACAATCCCCTCCGCCAACACATAGGTAAAGAGAACAATCCCCTCCGCCAACACATAGGTAAAGAGAACAATCCCCTCCGCCAACACATAGGTAAAGAGAACAATCCCCTCCGCCAACACATAGGTAAAGAGACCAATCCCCCCTCCCCCCACACATAGGTAAAGAGAACAATCCCCTCCGCCAACACATACTGTAAATCATGAATATGTAACGAACAAGTAAATCTAACGAGTTAACGAGCAAAGATTTGTCGTTATTTTAAAATTCGTTAGCAAAAGTCGTATGATTTGGGCCTCGCACGCTTGAAATCGATCATTTCACATTATGGCATGCAGCGCGTGTTCAACGGATCGTACCTCGGTCAATTCTCAACGGAATTCAACAATTGAAAGATCTAGATGATAGCAGAGACGCTCAGCAGTCGGCTCGAACAACTTCGAAGTCTCTCAGATGAATTTTGCCGAAGCGGCGGGAGATCGAAAAATTTGATTTTTTGCGCTCTTACACTGGATAAATTTCATTTTCTTTATTCTCCTGACATCGAGGTATACTGTGCATGTGGTGGACAACAATCATGAATGAATGTCCTTGACGAAAAGTCCTAGTATTATTGAATCTGTCTGAGAAAATCGTTAACTTTTCAAACCGTTAACCATTAAAAATCAGAAAATCGTTAACTTTGCGGGTCGTTAAAATAATATGATTTACAGTAGGTAAAGAGAACAATCCCCCCTCCCCCCACACATAGGTAAAGAGAACAATCCCCTCCGCCAACACATAGGTAAAGAGAACAATCCCCCCTCCCCCCACACATAGGTAAAGAGAACAACCCCCTCCGCCAACACATAGGTAAAGAGAACAACCCCCTCCGCCAACACATAGGTAAAGAGAACAACCCCCTCCGCCAACACATAGGTAAAGAGAACAATCCCCTCCGCCAACACATAGGTAAAGAGAACAACCCCCTCCGCCAACACATAGGTAAAGAGAACAATCCCCTCCGCCAACACATAGGTAAAGAGAACAACCCCCTCCGCCAACACATAGGTAAAGAGAACAATCCCCTCCGCCAACACACCAAAACATTGCTTGTACCTGTACTCACTACTTCCATGGTACTGGTCAGTGGAACGCAGTGGCCATGCTTCATCCACTTCTAGTTTCGAAGTGGAGAAATTAAGTTTAAGTAACACTTAGCTCACAATGCCATTCTGACTTGCCTGTTGCCATTGGTGATGTGTTCTGTCTAGGCAGATGAGCAACGCCTCTGGTTTGGACGTGATTGCATTGGCCGACGGTCTCTGCTGTGGAGCAGCTTTGCTGATGGAACCTTTGCGCTCTCATCCGTTGGTGGACCATTGGAAGTCAGCAACCCGGCAATGGTATGTTAGTATGTAAGGTAGAATGATATTCTGAGTGACACGATAGACCTAGTCCTCTGTCCACACACTGCTGAATACTGCAACGGGGCAGTTTGGTCCTTACAAACGAGGCAGAATGGGGGTTTTCCTTGCAACTCAAACTTCATGATCATAAGGCCACACAGTTTTCTTTCTATGATTCGCGTCACCTTACGCGATGAAACCAATGAGAGAGAGGGCAAAACGAAAAACGAAAAAAAGTCATCCAAAAAAAAATATTGTACTTCAAGTACTCAATCTGCGTACCTTTTACACATGTATGTGTGTACATTCGAAAGACCTGGCACTGTGCATGTATATCACAATAGATTCTTGGTTGGAGGAAAGCAAATCAGCACACGTAGCGCAGCAACCATAATTATACCGTAGTGTCTTGTATTAAAGCCTCTCTCATGTAGAAGCCTGTTTGGAATAGAAGCCTGATTTTCAAGATACACTGTCGGCACATAAGCCTGGCTTTAGTGTTGACGTGCATAGAATACCTGTCTTGTATAGAAGCCTGTCTCAAATAGAAGCCTGCGAAATTTCCCCCAAAAAAGTCATAATGTAAGCCGCGGCTTTTGTACACGACTTTACCGTAGTTTCGACTAGGCCTTTCGTACCTTTTTTTACGTGGTCCCCACTATTGTTTGATAATATTGATTGTTCGACTTGAAAAGTAATGGTACGAAAGGCCTAGTCGAAGCGATATGGATTCTGTGCTGATATTGCCTGGTAATCAATGTGTAGTGTTCTTAAAAGTGTGAGAGTGGACCATGCTTCATGCGCTTTTTTTTGTTTGTTTTGATTCTGTTGTTTGCAGTCGTGGTCTGAAGTGCCTGCTGTTGGTGTGTTTGCCATGAAGCTCTCCAAGACACCATTGTCACATACAGGTGAGCATCAACATGGTCACAAACCTCTCCGAGATACCAGTGGTGCATGCAGGTCAGCATCAACATGGTCTAGACAGGGTCACATGTGCTCCTTGGATGCCGTTGATATCATATTTTCCGGAGTATAAGTCACATCCAGATTTTTGTCACGAAATACAGACATCTGACATACCTGTATTGTCTTTTGACAGTGCTGGTCGCCATTGTACCATGGTAGTTCCTAGAAAAATTTAGTTCTGGACCCAGTGAGCGCCGCCAGCGCTGTTTCCGTCAAGTTTGCAGTGAATGCCTTACAAGAAGGTCCAGAGAACAGTACGTGAAATGTGTTGTGATGCCAGATTTGCTCTACGGGTCCGTGGCGTTCTCTGGTTGCCTTCGCCAAGACCAGCGATCCTGCCTTCAAGTCCAGCAAAATTGTGCAGCACGCACCCTATTCGGCCTGCCACCTAGCACAAGCGCCCAACCACTGCTTGCTTCTCTGCAGCTGTATGCTATCGAAGAGCTCCACAAGCAAAAGACCCTTGTTATGATCTAGCATTGCTCGAATGCAAGCACTGCAAGCCCTTCTGGAGCGTCCCAGTACTCGCACAACGCGCGTGCAACACAGCTTGGGCCTTCCGGTTCCCAAATCTGCCTCCAAAGCCGGCCATCACCGTCCAACCGCTTGCGGGTCCATTTTATGGAACACCCTGCCATCCGACGTGCGTGGTATTACCCAGTACCACCAGTTCAAACATGCCTGCCTCCCGTTCTGTCTTGCTAGCACCCATAGACCATCAACTGGTGTGTACCCCAATTTCAAGAGAGAGATTTGAAAAGGACGATGTTATCATTTGTCTTGCGGATGATAACACATAGAAGGAGGCAAGTACAAGTATACTCATATTTGGCACCACATATTTAAAGCCTGGTCAATATCAAAAAGGGGAGTTTCTGGACATTCAAATAATTCGAATATTCCTTTCAGCCCTAAAAAACAGTGGCCCAAACTAGGTGAAGTCTGCCTGTTGACGAAAGTCTATGGGGGCACTGGGAACTGCATGTTTGGTGGTCGACGCAAGTCGACAGTCGCACTCTGTGACTCAGAGGGCATGAATGCGCTGTGACTGCAGCCGACAGTGAAAGGGTTAAATTAAATTAACGTGTGGCTTATATAGTCATGTACTCGGGAAAGTACGATAGGTGTTGCTTATCATCTCAATCAGCATCAAAATCTTTACATGGTTGTTGATTGTGCCTGCTCATGTTTGTCTACAGGAGCATCACCCATGGTGTTGTACAAGTGGAATAATCTATGTTCAGACAACTGCAAAACCCGTCTTGAAGCTAGTCCCAATATCAACTGGGTAAGTTAATTGATTGAAAAATGTTGCACCTCATGTGTTTGAGCATGGAGCATATACATGTATACATGACACCAAGAGTACATTTATATACTCTTGATGACACTGTATTACCATTGCACTTCATGGTGCACTGTAGTTTGGGTGGGGTGGGGGCAATAAAAACAGACCAGTCGCCTCACACTGATCAGGTGTTCTTGTGTCTCATGGTATTCTGGGCAAGGTACGAGTAATTGTGTGTGATTCTATCAACCTCAAGAGAAATACGATGCCATGCCAAGCAAGCAGTAATGGTGAAGGATAACTTAGTGTAGTTTAGATGCATATTTGGCAACTTTGCATGACTACTAGTATACCAGTCCTGGTGATGTCCTAGATTGGACATCACGGAACCCAGCATGCCCCAGCATACATACTATGCTGTTCCCATAGTAATCGTGACACGTGACTCAAAACTTTGTGTCGCGTCCGAGGAAGATGAACATGTCGCACTAAATTTTCTCAAAACGCGTTAAACGCAACGAAGGCCTTTCGTCTCAAAAGTAATAATAATTATTGTCGTTCTCCTGGCGGCATGCCTCAAGCGAGTCTAGATTCGTATCTTGCCTCTTGCCTTCACGAATTTTATTTTCCTCGTTGTGGAGTACGCCTGGACAAAGGAACTGGCAAGCGAATCGTTTTGGTCGCATTGAAAATTGCAAGTGCACAAGAGGATTGGCGAAGCAATTTGTGTTCGCACTTTCAGCAGGGCAGTAGCTGCTGCTGCGATAAAGGTTTTACTTTCGCCATTGGTTTCAGGCAGCAGAAGGATCTAGCTGAAAGCGATGGCGATACGTCCATGACCACCACGTCCTGGGTTGATATCCAAGAAAGACCGTCCAAGGTCCAGTTTTAGCCAAGAGCTGTCGTATCCAAGAAATCAAAAACACCAACAGCAAGCTCTGGCCAAATAATTATCTTCCAGGCAGTAATTTACGGGCCTAGCGCCTGCTGCCTCGTCTTCCTCCTCTGCATGGCCAGGTTTGGGGCGAAATGAAGGCACGGCGCGTGAAGAAACATTCCAAAGGCAAACATTAAAAATAATTAATTAGAACCAATCGTTTCCAAAGAAGCGCCGCGTGGCTACGAGAAACCCCACATGAAATCCCCAAACGAAAACGGCCATTCGGTCGGGTATTCGATGGCGAATCGAATATACACTACCGCAATCCCCGCCGATGTCTGATATTCTCCGCCTATTCCCTCAAACTTGACCAATTCGGAAAGAAATCCATCGCCATTACGATCGTGCATCCTCCACATACATTCAGAAATGCTCACGCAGCACTTCTTTTCATCGCGTGTGCGCGACCGATGCTTCCATGACAACTCTGGGACAGGTAACCAATCAGACTCATTCAGAGTGCGATGTCCTAGATAGGACATCTCCCCAACTGGTATACCATGATCATGGCTTGACTGGATGTCCACAGAATTCTCCATATCTGTTGTCGCGTTCTTCATGTGTGTGTGCATGTGCATATGTGTGTGTGTGTGTGTGTGTGTGTGTGTGTGTGTGTGTGATGGGCATGTCTGAGGTCTGAGGTCTGAGGTGTGTGTGTGTGTGTGTGTGTGTGTGTGTGTGTGTGTGTGTGTGTGTGTGTGTGTGTGTGTGTGTGTGTGTGTGTGTGCATGTACGTGTGTGTTTGTGTGCGTGTGTGTACAAGTATATGTACATGTGTGTGTGTGTGTGTGTGTGTGTGTCTGTGTACCGTATTATCTCTATTACAAGCGCAGTCTCTTGTAGAAGCCCGGTCTCTATTATAAGCGCACTCCAAGAAGATATAAGCGCAGGGCTTATATTGGAGAACTGTATGAATCATGTTCATTTTTGTATTGTATTGTATTTTATTTTTTTACTTGGGCATTCCCAACAGACCCTAAGGTCTTCTTACAGGGTGCCCAAGATGAATGAAATTGTTAAGTTCCTGGCGAAATGAATTGGGGATATGATTTGTGCGAAGAGATTCGGGAAGCGCATTAAAGCGGTCAGCACCAAGGAATGAAATAGATCTGTATCCAGCTTGAGCTTGCACAATGGGTAAGGAAAGGGAATAATTGACTTGGCCGCGGGTTACTCTATCTGTGTGAGCGCGCAGTCACGGCGAAGGGAGAACATGTCAGAGAGGAGTGAACTGCAGATATTGTGGATGCAACGGAACACGAAGAATATGGACTTACAAGTAGTATGATATATTTTGTCTAAGCTAATTTTGTGGCATCGCTCAAGCAAGTATGATGTCCGCGTGAATGTGTCATGCTCAAATATGCATCTAAGTGCTCTCTTACTTACGCGTAGCAGCTGATCTCTCACTTTGTCAGCGAGGCAGTGGACGTAGGCAGTGCCGGCGTACTCGAGCTTGCTCTGGACTACTGACAAGTAGAACTGCCTTCTGGCCTGGACAGCAAGGTTCCTCCTTCCACGTCGAAAAGCACCTAGTTTCTTTCTGATGTCTTCATGCATGTTTGACATCAAACAGTGTCACATACCTACATGCTGACTGCTGTGGTAAAAGTCTGTGATCCCCGAGATCAAAAATTCAGACTCACTCAGTGACAGTGTACCAGGAAGCACAAAACTGCAGTCCCGGTACCTGCTGGGTAACTTTGTGTGTCTGCTGATACAATGCAAAACTGCAGTCCCGGTAGCTGCTGGGTAACTTTGTGTGTCTGCTGATACAATGCAAAACTGCAGTCCCGGTAGCTGCTGGGTAACTTTGTGTGTCTGCTGATACAATGCAAAATAATAACCAATGTACATGTACCAGGTGGTTGAAAATTATAAGCCCAGTCTCTTGTAGAAGCCCAGTCTCTAATCTAATATAAGCCCGGGGTCCGGACTGGTTGAAAATTATAAGCCCAGTCTCTTGTAGAAGCCCAGTCTCTAATATAAGCCCGGGGTCCGGACTGGTTGAAAATATAAGCGCTGGGCTTATAATGGAGATAATACGGTATGTGTCTGTGTCTGTGTCTGTGTGTGTGCAGAATATGCATTCTTCGTTGAAGCTTTCTTGCCCTGTGGGTCCGTTCAACAACACCATTGCCAGCCAGGATAGTACAGGCTGCTGTGTTGTCAGTCACAAGGAATGGATGAGCACTGGCGTGGATGAAGTTACGCTGCATGCTGATATATCTAATGTGAAGAGCGTGGACTCCTCCTGCTCTGCTTGTGTCACGGCTGCAGCTGAAGTGAGCAGCACTGTTCATACCCATGAGCAATGCACACCTCTGGAGCATTCTAAGCAGTTGGGGTTGAAGTTCCGCAGCATTCTGAGCGAGGCTGTGCGCAAGAGAGTGTCAAGCGTTCCGTGGCGTGAGCCTTCTCGGCGGACACCTGCTGAGCCAACATGCATGCATCAAGTCAGTGATGATAGCAATGAGAGAAGCCGTGATGATCGCACACCCAGAACATGGCCTGTGTCGGAATGTGGTATGGTGTCTGGTACGCCCGTCGCCGCTGCTGCTGCTTCTTGTGCCGCAGAAGAAGCAGCAGCAGCAGCAGAAGCATCATCTGGGAAGACGATCATCACTGGTGATCATGGTGTATTCTCTAGCTTAGGGCAGTGTGACACATTGATGCCATCACCAGCGACAGCAGCAGAAGCAGCAGCTCAAGATGCACCATCACGGGTAGCTGTTCTCTTTTCTGGTGGTGTCGACTGTATGGTCTTAGCTGCGCTAGCAGGAGAGTAAGTTAACGTTATACAATCCAGCTTTTTCTCTTTTTATTGACGTGTAATGCCCATCGTCGTCTAATGCTCACATTGCAGAAATCCCAGACCGGCTCACATTGCCATCATTGGTGTAAAACTGTGTGCCTGTATTCACTAGCACCATGCTGCAACAAGATCTCCAAGTGTGTCCCGGAGGTTTGCAAACCACACTGCATTTGAATGCTGAATGCTGACCACAATACAAGAAGCTTATACAGATGTACAGAGTCGGTTGGCATGTCCCTGTATTCATCTTTGAATATTGAAACCTCTTTTGACAGGCACAGCGAAATACAGGTGGAATCAATTTGAGCTAGGGGTGAAACAGTTATACTGAATATCCGATAACTCGGTTTTCGAAATATAATCGTAATCAGAATGAGAGAGCTGGCAGCTCAGGGCCCTCGCTATGCTTCGTTATCTCTACATCATCCTGCGTGTTATTCCGACTGGCAGAAACGTCTTTACAATACAATAACATGTCCCAATGATACGATAGCACACGGATAGCCCCAATACATAAAAATAATATTCATAAGGTTGAGGGAGTTGAACACGGGAAAAGTCTGAAGAAAAAAATTGACTCAGCAGTGACTGCCACCACCAGGACTCGAACCAGGGACCCTAGCTTATGGTCAGCGCTGTTCCACCACTAAGCTTAGGTGTAGTCGGCACCCAGGCAGCGAGGCTTCTACACAGTAGTTAGAATTTCAGGGTATTAAATTTGAATTTTTTACCAAGCAATTTTGGAGTCCGAGGAAATTTTTGGACGGTCTCTGCTGGGATGACAGCTGCACCATAGCTCAGTGGTTAGAGCATCGCTGGCCTCAAGCGAAGGTCCCTGGTTCGAGTCCTGGTGGTAACAGTCAATTTTTTCTTCAGACTCTTCCCGTTTGCATACTTCCCTCAAACCAATAAGCCATTTTTAGGTTCAAATTATCAGGATTTCCACCTTTTTGTGCAAATAGCTTAGCATTTGAGTTTTGCATATTTGGAATTAACTCGTTTTTGTGTGCTGCATGTATTGTGACTATTGTCCCATGTTGCCAGGTACATCCCTCCTGATGAGCCTATAGACCTGATCAATGTTGCCTTTGAACAGGAGCCGAAGTCTTCCTTAGGAAAGGCAAAGCGTGGTAGCAAGAAGCCTGCGCAAGTGGCTGATGATGCGAGGTTTGTTTGCTGTCGAAATGCTAACAGCTATGTTGTGTTCTATGCTTACTGCTTGTAGTACAGTACCATGTGTGTGTGTATGTGTGTGTGTGTGAAAAATTTTCGCGGAGAGGAAGCAGGTTTGTTAGCTCCTGGTTTTCTCTTTGTTGGCCTCCTCCACGGGGCGGCCTTGGCCTTCTGGTCAGGGTCGTCCCTGGGTATTGACTGGCAGTAGGCTTTTCATGCCTTGCAGCCGGTTTCGCTCGCGCGGAAGGGCATTCAGTGAGCTGACGACCAGGGCGGGTAATTTGTTGCCGTCACCGTCTTCTTGCGTCCTTTCCGCATCCTCCGCAGTGGCGTGGCGAGCCCTCGGATCAATCCCCAGCCTGAAACAATGCAGTGGCGTTCGGCAAAACAAGTGGATTCCTGGATGAAAAAGGATACAGGTCACACTCGCAACAATTTATTCCTGCGCGGTGATAGCTGGAATTGTGAATTTGTCGTGTTGCTTGGACCTGAGTGGCCAGTCGTCGTGCGGCGATGGTGTTGTGATGTTAGCTTGCTGCGCATACTCCTCGTCGTTTCGTGAAAGTACGTCTTGTGGAGCCCTTGTGGGACGTTCGGTGCCCACCCTCCAGCTCAAGATTGTGCTTTCCTGGTGCATGAAGGCCGAAGCAGTACAGACGTTATTGTTGAACAGAACATCATGTTCACATTAATATTGTTCCTTTCTTCAGTCGTTGCATGTTATAGTGGACCTACAGCAGACTGTTCATCTGGTTTGTGATATTTCCTTCCTCTGTTTGTGAGTCCCTTTCCATCAATATGGCAGCTTGTTTTGATTTCCTTTTTTTTCAATTCATTTTGCTGTACTTTCTGTTTTGTTTGCGCCACTGCCTCTCACCTTGCGCTCAGTTCTCTGAGTGGAAGGCGGCGTGACCCCAAGGGGTAGCTGATTGATAGTAGTAGTAGTAGTAGTGTATGTGTGTGTGCATGTGTGTGTGTGTGTGTGTGTGTGTGTGTGAGTGTGTGTGTGTGTGTGTGTGTGTGTGTGTGTGGCGGTCAATTCTTCAGCCTTGCAAGCTGTTGAATGGTGCAATCCCAGCACAAGCTGCTATGGCTTCTGCTGTAGCATCGCTATCATCGCCTCTGGCGATGGGCGTCCAATGGTCCAACGGTGTGTGTGTGTGTGTGTGTGTGTGTGTGTGTGTGTGTGTGTGCGTGTGTGCGGTGTGCGTGCGTGTGTGAGTGCGTTCGTGTGTGTGTGTGTGTGTGTGTGTGTGTGTGTGTGTGTGTGTGTGTGTGTGTGTGTGTGTGTGTGTGACTGTGTGTGTGTGTGTGTGTGTGTGTGTGTGTGTGTGTGTGTGTGTGTGTGTGTGTGTGTGTGTGTGTGTGTGTGACTGTGTGTGTGTGTGTGACTGTGTGTGTGTGACTGTGTGTGTGTGTGTGTGACTGTGTGTGTGTGTGTGACTGTGTGTGTGACTGTGTGTGTGACTGTGTGTGTGACTGTGTGTGTGACTGTGTGTGTGTGACTGTGTGTGTGTGACTGTGTGTGTGACTGTGTGTGTGACTGTGTTTGACTGTGTGTGTGTGTGTGTGTGTGTGTGTGTGTGTGTGTGTGTGTGTGTGACTGTGTGTGTGTGTGTGTGTGTGTGTGTGTGTGTGTGTGTGCGTGACTGTGTGTGTGTGACTGTGTATGTGTGTGTGTGTGACTGTGTTTGACTGTGTGTGACTGTGTGTGTGTGTGTGTGTGTGTGACTGTGTTTGACTGTGTGTGTGTTACTGTGTCACTGTGACCGTGTTAAACTTAGCAATGCGTTGATGACTGTGCTGCACTGTAAGTGTTTGGTGCGCGACTGCATTGCATTGTTTAAACGTTTGATAGATGAAAGGAAGTGTCTTCCTGGTTGTGTGAACTTGAGTCATTGCATGCGAAGGTATAGAATGCGAAATTAGTTTGACCACCTCCAAGCTACCCTTTGAATTATACTATGTGCAGTTTGTTGATGTCAGGCTTACCATGAGGTAGATCATAGGTCATCATGAGGTAGATCATAGGTCATCATGAGGTAGATCATAGGTCATCATCCACTTTGACTTTTTAATACTGTCAAGTAACGTTGATCCCCTCACCGCCATGTCGTTTCCCAGCTGGGTTTTCAGCAGGAGCGGGAATTAGATCAAGGCGGCCAAGTGCAGTACGATGTACAACACCGTGGAAGGTCAGACTGGGTGTACGGGACTGTGCACATGTCCATCCTGTACTGGCACGTATTTGTGTACAGCAGTGCATGCGTCGGTTCAACACCGTATTTCATTGTACAGTATACGCCGAAGTCGCTTCACAAGCAGAAATTCGACAGGGAGCGGAAATTAGAGAGGGGCGGAAATTAGAGAGGGGGCGGAAATTAGAGAGGGGGCTGGTCAGCGGTACTTTACCATGTCTGCGGCCAGCGGTACTTTACCATGTCTGCGGTCAGCGGTACTTTACCATGTCTGCGGTCAGCGGTACTTTACCATGTCTGCGGTCAGCGGTACTTTACCATGTCTGCGGTCAGCGGTACTTTACCATGTCTGCGGTCAGCGGTACTTTACCATGTCTGCGGTCAGCGGTACTTTACCATGTCTGCGGTCAGCGGTACTTTACCATGTCTGCGGTCAGCTCAACGGTGCTTTACCATGTCTGCGGTCAGCTCAGCGGTACTTTACCATGTCTGCGGTCAGCGGTACTTTACCATGTCTGCGGTCAGCGGTACTTTACCATGTCTGCGGTCAGCGGTACTTTACCATGTCTGCGGTCAGCGGTACTTTACCATGTCTGCGGTCAGCGGTACTTTACCATGTCTGCGGTCAGCGGTACTTTACCATGTCTGCGGTCAGCGGTACTTTACCATGTCTGCGGTCAGCGGTACTTTACCATGTCTGCGGTCAGCGGTACTTTACCATGTCTGCGGTCAGCGGTACTTTACCATGTCTGCGGTCAGCGGTACTTTACCATGTCTGCGGTCAGCGGTACTTTACCATGTCTGCGGTCAGCGGTACTTTACCATGTCTGCGGTCAGCGGTACTTTACCATGTCTGCGGTCAGCGGTACTTTACCATGTCTGCGGTCAGCGGTACTTTACCATGTCTGCGGTCAGCGGTACTTTACCATGTCTGCGGTCAGCGGTACTTTACCATGTCTGCGGTCAGCGGTACTTTACCATGTCTGCGGTCAGCGGTACTTTACCATGTCTGCGGTCAGCGGTACTTTACCATGTCTGCGGTCAGCGGTACTTTACCATGTCTGCGGTCAGCGGTACTTTACCATGTCTGCGGTCAGCGGTACTTTACCATGTCTGCGGTCAGCGGTACTTTACCATGTCTGCGGTCAGCGGTACTTTACCATGTCTGCGGTCAGCGGTACTTTACCATGTCTGCGGTCAGCGGTACTTTACCATGTCTGCGGTCAGCGGTACTTTACCATGTCTGCGGTCAGCGGTACTTTACCATGTCTGCGGTCAGCGGTACTTTACCATGTCTGCGGTCAGCGGTACTTTACCATGTCTGCGGTCAGCGGTACTTTACCATGTCTGCGGTCAGCAGCGGTACTTTACCATGTCTGCGGTCAGCGGTACTTTACCATGTCTGCGGTCAGCGGTACTTTACCATGTCTGCGGTCAGCGGTACTTTACCATGTCTGCGGTCAGCGGTACTTTACCATGTCTGCGGTCAGCGGTACTTTACCATGTCTGCGGTCAGCGGTACTTTACCATGTCTGCGGTCAGCGGTACTTTACCATGTCTGCGGTCAGCGGTACTTTACCATGTCTGCGGTCAGCGGTACTTTACCATGTCTGCGGTCAGCGGTACTTTACCATGTCTGCGGTCAGCGGTACTTTACCATGTCTGCGGTCAGCGGTACTTTACCATGTCTGCGGTCAGCGGTACTTTACCATGTCTGCGGTCAGCGGTACTTTACCATGTCTGCGGTCAGCGGTACTTTACCATGTCTGCGGTCAGCGGTACTTTACCATGTCTGCGGTCAGCGGTACTTTACCATGTCTGCGGTCAGCGGTACTTTACCATGTCTGCGGTCAGCGGTACTTTACCATGTCTGCGGTCAGCGGTACTTTACCATGTCTGCGGTCAGCGGTACTTTACCATGTCTGCGGTCAGCGGTACTTTACCATGTCTGCGGTCAGCGGTACTTTACCATGTCTGCGGTCAGCGGTACTTTACCATGTCTGCGGTCAGCGGTACTTTACCATGTCTGCGGTCAGCGGTACTTTACCATGTCTGCGGTCAGCGGTACTTTACCATGTCTGCGGTCAGCGGTACTTTACCATGTCTGCGGTCAGCGGTACTTTACCATGTCTGCGGTCAGCGGTACTTTACCATGTCTGCGGTCAGCGGTACTTTACCATGTCTGCGGTCAGCGGTACTTTACCATGTCTGCGGTCAGCGGTACTTTACCATGTCTGCGGTCAGCGGTACTTTACCATGTCTGCGGTCAGCGGTACTTTACCATGTCTGCGGTCAGCGGTACTTTACCATGTCTGCGGTCAGCGGTACTTTACCATGTCTGCGGTCAGCGGTACTTTACCATGTCTGCGGTCAGCGGTACTTTACCATGTCTGCGGTCAGCGGTACTTTACCATGTCTGCGGTCAGCGGTACTTTACCATGTCTGCGGTCAGCTCAGCGGTGCTTTACCATGTCTGCGGTCAGCTCAGCGGTACTTTACCATGTCTGCGGTCAGCGGTACTTTACCATGTCTGCGGTCAGCGGTACTTTACCATGTCTGCGGTCAGCGGTACTTTACCATGTCTGCGGTCAGCGGTACTTTACCATGTCTGCGGTCAGCGGTACTTTACCATGTCTGCGGTCAGCGGTACTTTACCATGTCTGCGGTCAGCGGTACTTTACCATGTCTGCGGTCAGCGGTACTTTACCATGTCTGCGGTCAGCGGTACTTTACCATGTCTGCGGTCAGCGGTACTTTACCATGTCTGCGGTCAGCGGTACTTTACCATGTCTGCGGTCAGCGGTACTTTACCATGTCTGCGGTCAGCGGTACTTTACCATGTCTGCGGTAGAACATGTACAGTCAACTTTGCGTATAACGACACTCGGCGGGGCATCAGAAAAGTGTCCTTATTCGCGAAGTGTCGTTATACCCGAAGTCTCATTATATGCATACAGGTAGAATGGGCTTTGCTCTGGGCATGGAAATTCTGTCGTTATTCGCGAATTGTCGTTATATCCGCAGTCGTTATTAGCAAAGTTGACTGTAGCTTAATATGCCATGAACACCGTTGGGCCTTTTGACCCTGCTGTCTGCGGTGATTCTTTTATCTGCGGTGATGACTCTTTGCAGGTCTAATCACACGGTGACATTTGCTCAATCTCTTCTGTTTGTGTTTTGCAGCAAACTGCCTTCGTATGATGTGCCTGATCGCAAGACGGCCCTGGCAGGAATTCATGAGCTGAGCTGCCAGCGGCTCTGGAGGTTTGTTGAGGTGAGTTGTTCGGGAGCTGTGTCCGCTCATGGCTGTACTGCTAGGTTGTGGTGGCCTGTGGACTAACAACATCCAACCGGCATTGTTGATAATAACTTTTAAAATAAGTATGCTTCACTGATGCCAGTCAAGAAAATGACAAGAATAATATAATTTTTATCTCCACACGTTAGAACACCCATCATGTATGTGAACGGATGTGATTGCTGGGCTACATTTTGCCATCACTGACAGCACTGTTGATGAAGGCACCGGATGAGCATGCAGTTGCCACAGTGTGTTGTGTTAGCAGTACGTGTACTCCAAGTGTGCGTTCACTTATCAGTGTTAGCAGTACCTGTACTCCAAGTGTGCGTTCACTTATCAGCCCAAATGCGTACATGTACCGTAAAGTACCGTGAGCTCCCGCGCCTGTCTCGCGAGAGCGGCGCACCTTGATTTTACAGCCAGGGAAAGGAAAACCGTATGGTAGAGTGCAGCTAAGTCTGTACAGTGTGACAGCCTAAGGGTTGGTTCACATAAGCAAAATCGGCACCGTAACACATCGGCGGTTAGCCGGCTCCCGATCCGTTGCGCGTACGGCTCGAGTACCAAATCTACTACAAAGTAGTACGGAATGTGCCCAAATGCTACGACAGGTTTGCCAATTGAAGCTCGAATTCTTTGTTTCTTCAGTAGTTCAAAGTCTTTCGGTGATGGCCACTCAGTGCTACCTTTTACTGGACATCATGAAACTACTTCTACACTTTTTATTGCAGTCTAGTAAGGGATGGTGTCGAAATTATGCATGCAAACATTGATAAAGTCACAAGAACTTGCCAATGTATCCATTGTATTTTTTTATTTGTTTCAATTGTATTTGTAAGAAAGGGTTTGCTCCCCACACTGGAGCTCGCGCTATTCCGCCGACTTTACGGAATAGCCCTCTCTAATAGCCCTCTCTAATTTCCGCCCCCTCTCTAGTGTCAAGTAAAGTCGGCGGAATAGCGCGAGCTCCAGTGTGGGGAGCAAACCCTTTCTTAAAAATCATCGCCGAAGTCGCAACCACTACTTCGAATTGTATTTGTCTCATAAGTTGCACAACAGTCAAGCAGATCATCCAAGGAGGACGGGTTGGTATGCTGACTTGTTTGCCACCTTGAAGTGACTACAAGAATGGCAAACGGACCTCATCTCTAGCTTCTATTTCTGAAAATTTAGCGCAAGAATTGGTTTGAAATTTTGACAAAGTCTGGCTCCCGGCACCGGCGATCACCGGCGCGAACGGTTCACAAACCACTTTTGGTCAAAATTCTACGGGATCGGCGCCGGGGCAGATCGCAAGAGTGGCGGTCCCTTCCTATTATTTACCGTATGATTTTGTCACGACTGCACTGGTTCACATAATCGCAATGTGCCGGGGGTGGTTGCAAGAGGCCCACCGCCGGTGATTCCCGGCGCATTCCGGCGATATGGGAACCAAACCTTAGTGTACTAAGGTCGCACCTGCGTGTTGTGGAGCTCACATCCGTTTGAAAGCGAAATTGAGTAGAGATTGACTGCACCAAGTGCAATGTGTGCACAAGTTACTTGCCGTATGACCTACACACAGGTCACCACCTCCACAAGACGACCACGAAAGGACGAGATGGTGGGGCGCTCTTGCGGTACTTTACGGCAGATGCAAACGCATGTGATTGCTTGATTGCAATGTACAATGCAAACCTGCTGATGTTAAATTCAACCACGATCCAATGATCCAATATTCTGATGTTAAATTCAACCATGATCCAATGATCCAATATTCTGATGAATGACATGGGTTTTGTCTCTATTGCACTGTGCTTTGTTCAGGTCAATGTCACCAAGTCGGAGTTGAACAAGTGGCGGTAAGCTACAACCTGTTGATTTACTGTAAACTCCCACCAGTGCTCGCCCTATCTTTGTTTCTCATCTGGGAAAGGACTACGTGTACCGTATTAGCCTGTTCTGCCCAATTGCAGTGCAGTATTACACCAAGATTGTGATGGACACTTGTTCACACCATGGCGCAGCCCCCGAAACTCAGTTTGTCAAACGGAAATACCTCCAGAGACAAGAACGCTTTGTTGGAGACACGTGGGACTAACACCAGTGTATGTGTCTCTGTTTGTGTGTATGTGTGCATGTGTGCAGCAAGGAATGTGTGTCCCATCTTGTTTGGCCGTGCACATCCATTCTTGATGACAGCATTGGCAGTGCAATCTGGTTTGCAGCTCGAGGCCAAGGCCGTCTTCTTAAGCCCACCATTTCACCCGAGGGAGAGCAAGGTACAGAGCGGATATCAACCTCTGATCCCTGGGGTTAACAGGTGCTCTGTTTTTCTGCCTTGCATTCATAGCTACGAGGGGCACTCAAAACGTTTCCCACATGACTATACTATACAGGGAATGGCTGAAATGAAAAAAAATGACTACGACTATAAATTTCTACCTTGTCACGAGCGTTGTATCTCAATACATTTACGCTATAAGTTGTAGTCATTTTTTTCATTTCAGCCATTCCCTGTATAGTCCTGAAGAGAAGGGAACGAAAACATTTGATAACTGATGCGAAGTGTCTTCTGGACGCGTGCGTGCGTGTGGATGCATGCGAACTCGACTTGTTCTAGAATAATAATATCCATAACCAATACCTGTATCTTGGTTATGCCAGAAGGAGACTAGACAGCTCCAACTTCCCTTTGACCACATCTTATGCATTTCGGTTTCCTACGTGAATTCATGCCGTAGAAGATGAGCTCGCAGGGCTTCACTGCAACAATACACATGCAAAACTCGCAGGGCTTTACTGCAACAATACATAGGGCTTCACTGCAGCAATAGTTACAATACACATGCAAACACTTTCCCCGTGTTTACGTTGTCTGTTCTGCTTTTGACCATCCTTGTCACAGAAATGGTAGAGGTTTGCTCAAACTATACCTGCCCTGCAAAGGTGAGTTAATGAAGTCTTACACTGCTGACAACTGGGGTGTAGATTGTGGTAGATTACCAGGAAACTAAGTACATGTGGTAGGTGCAGTTCAAGTAGGGGCGTAGCAGCCGGTTCGGCCGGTCCGGCTTTGGCCGGACCACTTTTTTAATACAATGTCTAAAATGCCCACAATGCAGGATTTTGCACCCTAATTTCAAAATTTCCCCGGGAAGACTCCCTCTGGCCGGACCACCTCCAACGGTGGTGCTACGTGCCTGAGTTGCCAGCAGTGTCAATATGTCATAGCTTTAGCCTTGGCTTGAATGGCCTGTGTAAAGCAGATACTGTATACAGAAGGAGCTGCTATGGAAGATGTGTCGTGAAGCGTCGTGCCGGTGTGTCACTTAAGATGCGTCGTGCCGGTGTGTCACTTAAGATGTGTCGTGCCGGTGTGTCACTTATGTGTGCATGTGTATTTTGTGGACAAATTGCGAAACATTTGAACATTCATCCGAGCACCTTCATGGGCGATAAGAGCAATTTTTTGAAGATGTTTTGGTATTCGACTGTTTGTTAGCAAACTTGTTAACATATTAGAAACCGTTGCTGTCGCGATGGTATGTAGGCAACAAGACGATCCTGTCGCGGCTGGTGTCGTCATCGTCGTTGTTTCTTGGCATTCTCTTCTTCTTTTTTTTAATGTCAATTCCCGCTGTCGCCATCATCGTTGTTGTTATGATCATTACAGGTTGTCTTAGTTGGTATGGGTGCCGACGAACAGCTGGCAGGATACTCCCGGCATCGACAGAAGTTTCTGTAAGTTATTCTCACTGTATGCAATGTTAGTTTCTGAATCATGTGTTGTACTGTATGCAATGTTAGTTTCTGAATCATGTGTTGTACTGTATGCAATGTTAGTTTCTGAATCATGTGTTGTACTGTGTATGCTTCACTGTATGCAATGTTAGTTTCTGAATCATATGTTGTACTGTGTATGCTTCACTGTATGCTTCACTGTATGCATTATTTTCACCGGTGAGGGCCTGGTTCAGGTACCAGGGTGCCCACTGCCCAGCAACCACCCTACAGCCTAGTACAGCCTACATGTCACATCACAACTGCTCTTAGCACACAGGAGCTGGCGTATTGCACACAAAGCCTACCATGTTTTGCTCAGACTGAGCCGGATTTATGACGTCAGAGAGATAGACTTGTATGGGAGGAGATAGGGAAATAGCAGTATTTTGGCTCTCCATTGTCCCAAAGATCACAGATGTTTTTCAAACTGCGGTATCCCGACTGGAAAAAAATCCTGGTAAGAAGTTTGTTGTTGTAGCGAAACATGAAAGAAATTGGTTATTCCCCATCTACTCCCATGCAAAGTCTATCTCTCTGACGTCACAGATCTGGCCTATTCTAGGCGAGTTAACAACCTGGGACCTTCACCATTAGAATCAGTGCATTTTCGTTACAAGTTGTGAAGTTTTCATTTTAGGGTGAACTTCCCCTTTTTAAGCATATCGCCGGGGGCTGATGGTACAGATTATAGATTTTGGTGGTCCGTTGAAGGCAAAATGTGAGGATATTTGGACTGTATTTGAAAAATGTCCATGACTGCCGCAGTGGCAATCGCCTTCGAGACCGACCTCCGACCACCCCTGTTGCATGTACATAATACATTCAACAGGGGTTGCCGCATTGTGTGTGCGTGTGTGTGTGCGCACGCGCACGCTCGTGTGTGTGTGTGTGTGTGTGTGTGTGTGTGTGTGTGTGTGTGTGTGAAAATGAAAAATAGGGATTGAGGATTCATTGGCCAGAAAAGCCACTTCAACCAGCCGTGTGGTGTAGACCAGGCTAACATCAGTGACGGTCAATTCATCAGCATTGCAAGCTGTTGAATGGTGTAATCCCAGCACAAGTTGCTATGTCTAACATAGCTTGTTCGCTATCACCGCTTCAGCGATGGGCAGGAGTATGAGTATGAGTGTGTGTGTGTGTGTGTGTGTGTGTGTGTCCCACCAAAAAGTAGGAATTCACTGGCCAGAAAAAAGCCACTTCAAATAGCTGTGTGGTGTAGACCAGGCTGAATAGTAGCGGTCAATTCTTCCGCCTTGCTAGCTTTTGAATTGTGCAATCCCAGCACAAGTTTCTATGACTTCTGCTGTAGCATCGCCTCTGGCAATGGGCATCAAAATGTGTGTGTGTGTGTGTGCGTGTGCGTGTGTGTGTGTGCTCCTGATTTTTCTTTCATTCTCCTTGGGTGGTTACCAACAGCCAGTGCATACCGGAGTATGTGGTGTGATGTGTGTGCGGGAAAAAAATGAAAAAGCCACTTCATAGCTGTGTGATGTAGACCAGGCTGAATAGTGGCGGTCAATTCTTCAGCCTTGCAAGCTGTTGAATGATGCAATCCCAGCACAAGTTGCTATGGCTTCTGCTATAGCATCGCTATCATCGCCTCTGGCGATGTGCGTGAAGAAAAAAAGGTCAAAGGTGTGTGTGCGTGCGCGTGCCCCTGCATGCGTGTGTGTGATGTGTACTTGTATGTGGGCATGTGGGCATGCATGTGTTTGTGGGTGGGTAGAGGGGGTATGTGTGTGTTGTGGGTGGGTAGAGGGGGGTATGTGTGTTTGTGGGTGGGTAGAGGGGGGTATGTGTGTTTGTGGGTGGGTAGAGGGGGTATGTGTGTTTGTGGGTGGGTAGAGGGGGTATGTGTGTTTGTGGGTGGGTAGAGGGGGGTATGTGTGTTTGTGGGTGGGTAGAGGGAGGTATGTGGCGCTATGTGCATGTATCTCACCAGGGCCTGCTCTAGACATTCAACACAGCCCGGTCAGAGTGTACCTGGCGCATGCAGGCCAGCCGGGTCAAGCCGGGTCAGATCATCCTGCAGAAAAACAACCAAAAAGCCTGCTCAAAACGCAAGAAAACAGAAAGGCGAATGTATTACCGGAACTCGGAAATTTTGGAGAACAAGGCGAACTATCAAAGTCCGCATCGCGACCAAATCCACCGCCGCTCGTCTTCCTTTGGAAATGCGTCTTGCACAAAGCGCATGACATGGATAGACTGGCATGGCCGTAGTCCAGCCAGGGTCGACCTTTCTTCCAAGAGTCTTGGAAAGCGTGAGTTCTTTTTCTCTTCGCTGCGGGCTCCACCGTCCAAATCACCAGTCGGCTGAAAACTTGCAACTGTGTCAAAAGCTATAGCCAAAGTTACGCTTGAAGTTTTGACTGCCTGCCCCATCGACTTTGAATGTCCTGACTTCCTGCTCGCCGCTGGCCAGATCGCGCTCGAACCAGTTGACCCCAGTTGACCCTAGCCGAGTTTCTGTCGCTTGTAGACTGTAGTGTGTAGATCTACGGTTGCGCTAGATTTGCAATAGATGGGGTCCGCGAGTCGTAAAATACCGGTATTTTAGGAATCCATTGTCAGTTTGAGACATTTTTCAGCCGGGTCAGACTGGACCCGGTGTTATCTGTTCAGCCAGGTCGTGCAGTTCCCCAGCCGGGCGCGTGACCCGGCTGACCCGGCTCTCCAGCAGGCCCTGCTCACCAGGTACTTACTCTGTGCGTGTACCTCACCAGGTACTTACTCTGTGCATGTACCTCACCAGGTACTTACTCTGTGCTGTGCCATGTTGTGCTGTGCCATGTTGTGATGCGTTCTTTAGTCACCATGGTTTGCAGGGCCTCATTGATGAAGTATTCATGGACATCAGTCGGATTTCGTATCGCAACTTGGGCAGAGATGACAGGTACAGTACATGTTGAGAGCACAATCAGTACTGCACCTTTGCACCTTCCTTCAATGACACGCGCTACAACTCCAAACGAACAGATTGGCTTTAATCTCTCCTCTCACAACCTCACGAAGGATCAAAAATAACTCCTGGAACTGGGCCTTGATTTCGCTCTCCCACCCAAAAGAGTTCCCAGAGAAGAGATAATTTACCAGAACGGAGATGTGAGCAAACACACTTCCAGAGGATCGCCGTGGCCTGGCAATAGGCACATGCAAGAGAGTACAAGAAGCCCTTGACGCCACCACTACACCTAGCCAGAACTTAACAAAACGACAAGCTTTAGCACTCAGTAGCCTCAGGAAATTACAAACAATCAAGATACTACCAGCTGATAAGGCACGAGCTGTTGTGCTGATGGACCTAGCAGGCTACAACAACAAAATTCAGGACCATTTGAAAGACAGTACGACATATTCCCTCCTCCCGCGGGATCCCACGGATGGGTTAGTAGAAAAATTACATAGAGTCCTACTCCCAATGCAGAGAGGAGAGGAATTACCTCGCTCCCAGAAGCTACCCACGGACGTGCACAGCTCCTCACTTTTACATTCTTCCAAAGATCCATAAAGGCAGCGTTCCACTCAGGCCAATAGTAGCGGTCATTGGTTCGCCGCTCCACCACTTGGCACGTTTCCTGGAAAAAAGTAGTGCGGACACTAACAGGGCAGCGACCGACACACGTCACACATTCTCAGGAATTAGTGAGCAGCAGCAGAGCGGTTTCTCAGTTTTACTAGTAAAGAACAGTCAACGTGTAGCCGGCGTGTTCCGACCTGGTGAATGCCTCCCCATGGCCACGTCAGAACATCACCAACCTCGTCTACAGAGAGCACCTTCTCACAAACAGTGTAATGGTGGTGACAGTAACTGTTGTCAGCTGACGAGCTGAGAGAGGGACGCCATGGGCAGAAGTTGAAAAAATGAAAGGAAAGAGTATAAAATAAAAGGAAGAAGATCAATTCAGAACAAACACGACGGTACAACAACAAGAAGACTTGAACAACTCCCCCTAATAACTCCCCTAGTATAATGAGGGTCAGAAGCGGGTCTAGCACCGGATGGTGCATGGTGGCAAGACCGGGGCTCTACCAACCGTGGATGGTGGCAAGACCGGGGCTCTACCAACCGTGGATGGTGGCAAGACCGAGGCTCTACCAACCGTGCATGGTGGCAAGACCGGGGCTCTACCAACCGTGGATGGTGGCAAGACCAGTGCTCTACCAACCGTGCATGGTGGCAAGACCGGGGCTCTACCAACCGTGCATGGTGGCAAGACCGGGGCTCTACCAACCGTGCATGGTGGCAAGACCGGGGCTCTACCAACCGTGCATGGTGGCAAGACCGGGGCTCTACCAACCGTGGATGGTGGCAAGACCAGTGCTCTACCAACCGTGCATGGTGGCAAGACCGGGGCTCTACCAACCGTGGATGGTTGTAGTAAGGGACACTGTTTCCGAACACGGTGTTCCACAACCTTGTACTATGCTGTAAAATTAAAAACGTGTTTCTACAATACAAGGTTTATCTAATAAGCCTGTACATGTACATGAACTGTTCAAAACAAAGCAAAAATTGACTTCGGCTCGACTTTGGTGCGGGAGGGCCCGGGAAGTTGTTTGGTCTCACCTTAGTTTAACTTAAAAAACTCCCTTTACTGGTTGATGTATTTTTGGTTCGGTACTCTGACACGAGTTTAGGTATTTGCACTTGTTCACCACCTGCATAGGCCATGCTATAATCCTAGTGTCAGCTCATGTTCCCTGTACTACTAAGAGCGGACTCTGAAATTTCAGCAATACACTGTTACCGGATCCCAATGGCACAATAATCCCTGAAAGAACATCATTTTGGCTCACCAAGTTTCAAACTTTGACCTATCTCATAGTCTTTAAATAACCGACGAAGAGACAACAGTCGTAAAATAGCAATGAAAATATCAATTGTGCACTCATAACCATGTATAAAACAATTAAAATGAAACAATTCCAGAACGTTTTCTCGTGACTATCATCAGTGGAACATCGTCACATAGTAAGAATCACTAAAACAACCAGTTATATAGCTAGAATAATATGAAAAAAGCGTGAGAATGCAGCAGCTCGCGGTTATGCATAACGCGTGTAGTGTGAACTTATGCAGTGGATCTGAGAATGGTAGCAGTAGATGAATGTGGCAGCTGTGAGTGCGCGTGTGGACAAAACTGGTGAGTGCGTATTATTTCATCTACTGCTACCATTCTCAGATCCACTGCATAAGTTCCCACTACATGCGTTCTGCATAACCGCGAGCTGCTGCATTCTCACGCTTCTTTTCATATTATTCTAGCTATATAACTGGTTGTTTTAGTGATTCTTACTATGTGACGATGTTCCACTGATGATAGTCACGAGAAAACGTTCTGGAATTGTTTCATTTTAATTGTTTTATACATGGTTATGAGTGCACAATTGATATTTTTCATTGCTATCTCATAGTCCTTATCAATTATAATGCCTTTTGCTGCAAATGTGTTGTTATTGCTTTGACGGCTTTATCGTGTTCCTTGAGTCTAAGATTGAGGTTCCTGTGGTTCCTCCATCTTCCTTCCCTTAGTTTTCGTCTTTTCGTTTTCTTACTATGTTTTTTATAGGTTTGTTGTCCCATCCATGGAATTATCTCCCCGATGGCCTGGATTAGCTTGTCACCTTCAAATAAAGGAGAATAACTCCAAAAATGCTAATACTAAATGCTGGAACTGCTTGAATTCTCCAGGCAGACATAGACATAAAGCATGTGTGACAAGCCCGGCTCGCCATCAGTACAGTAGCCACTGTATGAAGGGAGCACATACCCGTACTACAGTAGCCACTGTATCATGGCTCGGTAGTTCAGTGCCCTCAACTTTGATCCTGTATGATAGTTGTATTGTTTGCTTTTGTCTCTGCGCAGGGTGATTTCTGATCATGGTCGAGAGGCACGTTTTCCCTTCCTTGATGAGAATGTTATGACGTTTCTCAATTCACTTCCTCTTCAGGAAAAGGTGAGACGATGTGGTGTGAAGTAAACTGTATATTATGTATTTGGTATTACGTTCGGGCCTGATTGGAAATTTTTATTTCCATTGCTATCAGGTTCGGCCTCATTTCCTCTGTGCTGCGCTGACGAGTCCACAAAGGACGAAACAGTTCTGTCCGCAGATTGAGTATTTGGTATTACATGTAGTATTGATGCGGGTCCACTGGGGTTGACTTGGCCTTGCTAGGTTTGTAGAGCATTGGACTTTAAAATTTGGAGCAGCACTGTTCAATTCGGACAGCTCTTGTACTGGTGCGCTCGTAGCATGCTCTGGTTGTTCCAGAATTTGCACATACGAGACTCGTACAGTCAAGAGGAATAAGAAACGAGAGAGCTTGGAAGCTCAGGGCCCTGCGCTATGCTTTGTTGCCTAGCTCATCGTGCATGTTGTTAGAACTGATGGAAATGCTTTTTCCTTTGATAAGCTACATCATTGTATTGCAAAAACGTTTCAATGAGATACTGAAGTACAAGTAACGTCTTCTGCATAGCTATGGGACCGGCGCTGACTCTGCCGATCACGGGCGTTCTGGAGTCGACGGGATGTCTGTCCTGACGTTTCCTGGGACCGGCGCTGACTCTGCCGATCACGGGCGTTCTTCTTCTTCTTATTATTATTATACTGACGGCAACTAACATCCATTCTGATTGCATTTACTCGTCTCCCTACTTCGTATTTCTTTCCAGAAAATCTCCCCATACAGCAGGGAGTCGTTTACATAATATGACTCCCTGCTATACATCTACATGACTGTATATACGTTATAATTATTATGCTATCGGCCTATATGCGATTCCCGGGCTGGTCGACAGGCGGCCCAGCCAGCCTGCTAGTGGGATCTCGGCCTCGCACACAAATCCACACAAAATGTTACTGCACTGAATGCATTCCCCCCATACACTTCGCATATATACTCATTCTCTTGATGGTACCGTACTCTTGATGGTACGGGACAGGTACGGGATAGCGCCAGGCATGTCGATGGCACAAACAAACAAAAATATTGTGGCCAGCTGTCTTTGCTGGTACGGTACAGTACGGGACAGATACGGGATAGCGCCAGGCGTGACACAAACAAACACACAAACACCAAATTAAAGCTGTGTGGACCATGGCTAGCGCCAGACGTTACACAAACAAACAAAAATATTGTGGCCAGCTGTCTTTGCTGGTACGGTACAGTACGGGACAGATACGGGATAGCGCCAGGCGTGACACAAACAAACACACAAACACCAAATTAAAGCTGTGTGGACCCTGGCTAGCGCCAGACGTTACTGAAGTAACGTCTTCTGCATAGCTACGGGAACGAGAGAGCTTGGAAGCTCAGGGCCCTACGCTATGCTTTTTTTGCCTTGATGACCTAGACAAAAAAAAGCATAGGGATGTTATAAATTCTTTTAAAAAATCCTTTTTTTTAAGACATAACCTGGGATTCGAACCCGCACTATCGCGCGCCCTGCATGCATCCCCCGATACACTTCGCATACATTTGTTTGTTTGTGTCACGCCTGGCGCTATCCGTATCTACCGGCAAAAAAAGCATAGGATGTTATACATTTTTCAATTCTCCTATTTTTTTTTCAGGCATATCCTGGGATTCGAACCCGCACTATCGCCCTACATGCATTCCCCCATACACTTCGCATTCATACCCATTCTTCCAAGTTGTTTCACATTGTGATCTTGCATTTGAAAGCCCTATTTGAATATGCATTGTGGCCAGCCGTCTTTGATGGCACGGTACGGTAGGGGATAGGTACGGGACAGGTACGATCGAGGGTAATACGACACCGTCTCCCGTACCGTACCGTACCATCAAACACAGCTGGCCACATACAGCTGCCCGCAATATTCAAATAGGGCTTTCAAACGCAAGATAATAACGTGAAGCAACTTGGAAGAATGGGTATGAATGCGAAGTGTATGGGGGAATGCATGTAGGGCGATAGTGCGGGTTCGAATCCCAGGATATGCCTGAAAAAAAATAGGAGAATTGAAAAAATTATAACATCCTATGCTTTTTTGCCGTCAGATACGGATAGCGCCAAGCGTGACACAAACACACAAACAAATACCAAATTAAAGCTGTGTGGACCCTGGCTAGCGCCAGACGTTACTGAAGTAACGTCTTCTGCATAGCTACGGGAATAATGTTATTAGTATTGTATGTTCATTGCTCTGAGGGAAAGACACAAACGGGAATAGTCTGAAGAAACAATTGACTGTCACCACCAGGATTCAAACCAGGGACCTACGCTTGATTAGTGTATGAAAAGAATGCCATGTGTTGAGCATTCTAGCTACAAGATTTCAATAATCAGTCGCGAAAAACACCTTACACTTTTCCATGGCACCGCCCAATACCCTAAAGTACTCGCATCAGTAGCCAGTCCAGCGGACCACCCAAGCATTGTTCAATTTGATAAAGCTGGTGATGCTACCAAGGTACAGGTAATTAATTGTAGCTGGGAATATCAAATGGGTGCCGCTAATTATGACCAAACGTAGACACAGGACTGAGGCTGTTGGTGAACCACAGTGACAATGTTAGCTATGGCACATACCATCCCTGCCATGTATGTTGTGTTCATGTGTGCAGTGTGCTTATTCTCTTTGTCTGTAGGCCGACTTGCAGCTGGAGCGTGGAGTCGGTGAAAAGCTGCTCCTGCGCAATGTAGCTAGATCACTGGGATTGAACAAGGCATCAGGCTTGCCGAAACGAGCCATTCAGTTTGGCTCACGTATTGCGAACAGTGCTGAGAGGGGCAGTGACCACAGTGAGCGTCTCTCTGCATCACCAGCTACTTCGGCTACACTGTAGCCTTTTGTGGTCACATGCTAGCAACCTGCAATGCTAGCAACCTGCAATGCATGATAGCAACCTGAAATGCATGCTAGCAACCTGAAATGCATGCTAGCAACCTGAAATGCATGCTAGCAACCTGAAATGCATGCTAGCAACTTGCAATGCATGCTAGCTAGCGACCTGCACAACTGTTCCCTCTGCTTTACATCCCTCCGGGCATGAGCCCCTACTGGCCCCCTAGCCCCTGGGGCCCTAGCACCACTTTGGATCATGTGACAGTGAGATCCAAACGCTTCATCAAGAAGTTGACTCTCATGGCACATCACTGCAGCCAGCACAGAGTGCGTTGTTGTTCTGAACTTTCACACACAACTATATGTTTACTTCTTGAAATGTTCTCATGCTGATAGCAAATATGTGTACAGTCAAACCTCTTTAGGACGAACACTGATCAGGCGAACTTTCCATTAGTACATGTACGAACTTGGACCAATCCTATCTGGCCAGGCATCAAATCAAGGGGGGCGTTCGTTTTGATCTACAGGTTTGGGTAGAAACTACATTTTTCTACTCAGAAGGGTAGGTTCTACTTTCCTCTACCGGCTCTACCAGGAAAAAGTTGGTAGAAGCCGGTAGAAGTTGGTAGAGGTACGGGATTTCCAGCAAGATCAAGCATTTGTACACAACTCCATACAGAAGAGAAACATTTCACGTACACGTATAACGTTATAATTATCGTGTAAACTACTAAATCCGGTAGAACAGCGTCCGTGCACTTACCGCTACCATCTACTTACCTCTATTGGTAGAGTGACTGTATTCTACTCTACCAGGTAGCTAAAAACGAACGCAGCCTCGGTCAAAATTATTCGTTTACGACGAACTCCTGTATGGCAAACTTTCGCGAAGACTAACTATTTTCAAACGTGATATGAAAAAAAGCGCGTATTACGAACTTTCGATCCCCTTGCGTGTGCTGTGCCTGTGTGTGTGTTTTAATTTCGGCCAGTCGGCTACTATCATTTCGTCTTGGGGGTTAGACAAGGGGAAGTAGCCATGTAGGGATGTGAGCCCGCCTTTCGGCACCGGGAGTTTCGATAGTCGATGCCTCTTGTACGGAACAACGAATTGACAGCATTAGCCTTTCGCACATCGCATCGGTAAATCAGAAGACTTGCATTTTCTTACTTCGAACATCTCACTGCTTTCGTTAAAAAGCCGCAGACCCGGACGTTCCGGTACAGTATTGACTATTGGTGTGTTTCAGGGATGCCCCCCCACTGTGGCCCTGTCCCCGGTACTGTTCAATCAGGGAGTCGTAAAATGGTATTTTACGACTCCCTGTGTTCAATACATGTCATGATTATGACATCACCAAGAGTACATAAAAAACAGAGTGTGCAGCTCGGATGGGTTTTCATGTACTCTTGGTTCAGCTCATCATCAGATTCAGATCAGACTTGCATTCATGCATTCTGTATTGTACTAATAATTGTGTAGGCCAGATTTTTCAGGACCGGCCATACTTGAAACCAACAAAACGTATTAGGCCAAAACAAAAAATAGGCTTGTTTCCGGTCGGCAACCCCTCAAAAAAGAGACTCGGTCGGCCGGAATGAAACTTTTTTTGGATACTTTTTTTTGGTTCCTCAATCGTTGTGGTATTGATGGACAAGAGGACCTACACATGTACATTATCATGGCAAGGGTCAATGTCAAAGTTGACTGACTCACTGTTCTTGTACAGCATGTGGTGTATTCCACCGGCTGCGAGAAAGACCTTCTACTGCTCATTTATTCAAGCACTCCTCGAATATGGTTCTAATGCGTTTGTACACTGCCTTCACACCACACAACATGATAGACTAACTCGTATTGCTAACCGCGCTGTTAGGATTGTTTTTGGTTTCCCTTGGCACTATGATGTTTCAGTCTTACACACCAGATATGGCCTTGCTCCTATTGCACTGCGCTATCAGCTTAAACTGTATATTCTTGTCTTTCGGGCCATACGTGGCATGTGTAGCACTCTGCTCTCTGATTGCTTCTGCCTTCGTTCTGCCACAACACGCACAGCTGCCCATACACGTTCCCAGTCCATAGATTCACTTGCTCTGCCTAAAGCACGCACTCGTTATGGCTTATTCGCTTTGAGCTTTCTGGCTTCTGACCGCTGGAATTCTCTTCCAGCTGACATTCGCTCTTGCTCCTCGCTTTCACTATTCCGCAAATCTATACGTGACCACATAGGGTACCCTGTAAAAAGGCCTTAGGCCTGTGGGGATTGCCCTATTCAAAATTTAAATAATAATAATAATAATAATTCCTGTTTTCGTACATCCTGAGAAATCAAGTAAACAGTTTGAGTCCTTCCAGCTCCGTTATTCTAGCTCGTATCGACCCCGGAGGTTTTCGAGCCCACAGCTGAGAATCTCTGCTACCTTGTAGGTGTTTCGATTGTGGAATTCGGTTGAGATTTGACTGAGTTATGACTCGTTGAGTGCACTTGCGCACATGGCATTCCCACCGTTTGTATACATTTGGGACCAAAAAAAAGTTTCAGAATTTGGGAAAAAGTGACCCGGTCGGGCGACCGGAAACAAGGTCATTATTTGTTTTGGCCTTATCTAGCCGTGAACACCTTACACTTATAGTCTTTTACTACAATCATGTCTCTTATACCGGTTACTACATGCCTCGTAAATACCGGGTACATGTATTTGATCAGAAGAGGTGTAAGGCCTCATTTACACGACAACGATTGAAAAACGTTTTCAATCGTTTTCGAAACGTTTTTGCTGTTTACACGAAAAGGTACGCTTTCCAACGGCCAAAGAGAGTTGGAAAGCTTGTGTCTTTGTGGGTAACCTGAACATTTGGGCTCATGCAAAATCGCACCGATTTTGGGATTTCCCCACAACTTTTGGCGTCCGCAAAAATGTTGTGCTGGACCGCATTCCTGTCACTTCGCAGTGGCTTTTCGTTGGTGCAGTTTGTATCCCACCCTCCCACCCCTGACTTCTGGGTGTGTATTGCCAAGCCACCGTGCTCACAGCAGAGACGACTTCTGTGTGTGTTATTGTTGTGAAGTGGACCACAAAGACCGATAATCGTGTACACAGTCCGTGCGGCGTGCGCCAAGGGGTACTCAAGGGCTGATTTTATTTGCAACCGCGGGAAACGAAGTCACCAAGACGCCTTCATTTGAGGCTTTTGGAATTGGAGAATTTATTGAATTTAGGTATGGCTCTCGTCCCTTCTAGAGAACTAACCAAGACCCTGTGGGGGCAGAAGGAGACTTCTTTGGCTCCGTGAATACACTAGCTATGCGGTGGTCTAGTTCGTTTGAGTGTGTGGTTCGTATTCAAAGTGTTCCAAGCCGCAGTTCACTCGAAGGTCATCGTGGATACGTCTGCACTTGAAAATCAAGGCTGGAAAGGACTGCCTGGTGTGTCCGAACGGTATGTTTTGCACTGAAGGCATTTTTTGTATGAATTGTTGAAAGTGTCTACTTGTTCGAAATGCAAAAGAGATGGTCGTAGATCCTTGGCCCACAACACCCCACTAAATAAACTATGACCTGTCGTGAAATTATGTGAAATTGATCAACACAATCATCCACAAATTATCCTATGCCAAAGTACTGCAAATGCAAATAATGGCATCCCTTTACCTAGGTCATGTTTGTAGGGCCTTATGCCACATCTTTGCATGATTTCCTCATGCAAATCGTGTGCCTAGCTTCGAAAACGCATTGCGCTAATGGCCGAATATATACCTGTGAATCAGAACAACAGCACTCACTATTGCTTTCATGAGTGGTAATGGTCAGCTGAAAGGAAACTTCTATCCATCAACTCATAAGTAAAGTAATGACTAATCTCCTTGCTGCGCATGTGGTTCCTTCGTATTTACATGTACCGTAAAGTACCGCCAGACGGCGCCCCACCATCTCGTCCTTTCGGGGTCGTATTGTGGAGGTGGTCTCCTGTCTGTAGGTTATACGACACGAACTTTGTACACATATTGCACGTTCTGCAGATAATCCGTACCTTCGAGCGGACACGAGCTCCACACAAAAACCTGCTTAGTGTGACCTTAGTACACTAAGTTGCTCACACCGTACGAACTTCGTTGCACTCTGCTATACGATTTTCCTTTCCCTGGCTGTAAAATCTGTCGCGGCAAAATCAAGGCGGGGCGCTCTCGCGGTACTTTACGGTATGTGCGCCTCTCTGTGTTCGGTGAATGTTTTTGAATATTTGCGCACGACGTCAGGATAGTGCACATTGTGTGGATGTACCTGCGTATGTAATCCTTTCATGATTTAAAAATTAGGAGCCGTGCTTCTCATCACCGTGGACAAGTAAATGTTGGCCAATTACGTAGCGTTTGGAGACTTGCACAAGTACAGCTGCGTGTCAATTATGCGGCACCCGCAGAATAAAATGAATATTCTGGACGACTGAAGCTAGAAAGCCATCTTGTGTTAACAGATCAAAAAGACAGTACTTCGAAGTACCTGTATTTATCACTAGTATTACCCTGAGACAGTCGTGCTCATCTCTAGAGACTGGCTTGTATTTAACTCTACGTAATGACAACTTTCATGATGCTGACTGTCTACATTTACTTGAAGTACATGTAGGACTATAAATACTAAATATAAGGTCTATAAGCTGTCAGTGCGGTGCTGTTGGATACCCGACATGCCATGTTAACGACATGCGATTGTACCGGTCACAGTGTAGCTGGGTTTTCACGAAAAAATGAAACTTATACGATTGTGAGAAAAGTTCAGAAACCACACTTACACATACACGCACGCACGCACATACACACATGTGCGCACGCGCACACACACACACACACCTGTCCTGTTCTGTTGAGCCACTACCACAAATTGGCACAAGGATCACATCGGCCCCAAAGGGGCAGTAGAGCGAAAGTGAGAGGTGTTGGCTTCGAGTTCACCTATCTCTACAGTGAACGCAACCTCGATCGAAAGTCATGCCAAACGGATTTATCTACCACGCGCGCGCGCGCGTGCGCGTATACAAAACGGAGGAAGGATTACTTTCTCTCCCTGTATGATGTATCTGTTGTATTCGTGAACAATGTCATTGATGTTTTTCCATGCATGTTTTCGAATATGCGAGCATAACTTCCAACATCAAGCACATTCTTGCTTCTCATCAGCATGTACAAGTTTATGTTGGGCAGTTATGTAGCGTTTGTTTTACCGGCTGCGTTTGTTGGTGCTTGCAGGTCATTGGCATGCTGTCTGTTTCACAGAAGCTCGTGTACCAGGTTCACCGTACAGCTATGAATGCAATGTAGCGTGTCGAAGCCACTTCGGTGTGACGTGATGCCTAATGTCCTGGTTGTACCAAAATTGCGAGTATGCAAGTGATCGTCAAGCCTGTCCCCTGTACTCGTACAGTAGCCGTCTTGCCTTGTTACGCCTGGTTCTGATTCTGCGTTCTCGTATACTCCATGCAATGTTACAAGGAATACTGCTCCCTTCTCAAGCAATTCATTGGCAACAAAACGCTCGGCTATGCCCTGTATCTTTGCTGTGCGGTTTGTGCTTTGTCAATGTTGTGTACCAGTTCATGATCTGTGCTTGCTGGTCTGTTTGTTTTCTCTCGAACAATTGAGGCGCTGTAGCACCGTGTACAGTGTCAATCATTCTGCCCAGGCTCTGATCTCACGTACCACAGTACGGTTTCTCTTGTTGCTCACTGTAATGTGCATGATACAAGCTCCTTGGTACTCCATCATCACCTGGTGCTGTTGCTGCCATTGTTGGACCCTGCTGATATCCTTCTCGCAATGCCCGAACGTTGTTCCAACAAATGCACAACTCGCTCTTGGTTTGGTCTCGTTCCAGTCTTTCGAATTGAGTGAGTGCGTAAACTTGTATGAAGTGGTGAAGCAAAAGCCATGCGCCGGCAAACATTCAATGTCCGGATGTAATGACGCACCAAGGCCCCCGGGACTTGCGTCCAATTCCTGAGTGATTTTTTGTGTTCCTAGCCTCTAGGTATCATACCATACTTGTTTGGTTCAACCGTTTTGGATGCCCACTGCAATACCATTCACTGTATTATCAATTTATGTGTGTATGTTATCCAAGAAATCTCCCATATTTTTGGGTGGACAAACCTCGCCAGAAGTCAGTAACCTGGCATTTTGCACCAACAGAACTCCTAGGATATCAGCGCTGTCTCAGTACCTGGGGGCAGTTGTAAAGAAAAAGAAAAAATACCCTTGGCCCACAATGCCCCACTAAATAATCCGAAGGGTGTCGCGAAGACGACAATTTCCTTACCTTTCTTTCGTGGACGAAAAAAGACACTTCGCTTCGTCCGTTGCGCATGAAACGAAACATGAGGGTAGTGTTTATCAATTAGAATGGGTATCATGCACGAAGGAATGGCGAAAAGGTACTATGCTCGAGCGCTGGTCGTCGTCTTGTTTGTCAATTTTGAGTCCCATTGAGAATTTTCTTCTCCAAACCTCTCAAATTTCCCGCGGTTGCAAATAAAAGTGCAACTTCTAGACACGGACTGGATCTAGGAACACTGGAACACTTTTTTCGGCGCGCAATGGTCACGTGCAAAAAGTTGGCCTGGCGGCGGCGCAGGCCGGCGGGCGGCGGCGGCATGTTTTGAGTACAAGGCTCGTACTAGAAAAACGTTTTTGCCGAAACGGAACGAAAACGATTGAAAAACACTTTGAGGCCGTTTTTCGTTTGAAACGTTTTTGAAACGTTTTTCAGCGTTGTCGTGTAAACGCTCTTATCAAAATCTGTGGAAGCGTATTCTTTTGAAAACGTTTTTCAATCGTTGTCGTGTATAACGAGGCCTAAAAAGGAAGAATTTTGCAAAATTATGCGAAAATTGCCGAATTTGCAAAATGCATGGAAACAAATTCAAAAAAATTAATAATACTGTAATTCCAAAGATCCAAAAAAGCACGGCCATGCATGCCCATATGCCCATAGCATTTTATTCAAAAAGATAATCTGGACGAACGAAAGAAGTCTGAGACTTTTTTGAAGTGCTAGTATAGTAAGCAGTAGCTGGCCTAGTACAGCATTGAGTATTTTATAATTCATTGTAACTGACTATTCACCAGATCGCAGCCGGCAGGGCAGATTTTCAACATGAACGTCTTTGCTCGAACAATCTGTCGAGAAAGTGGAGCTGGAAGGCAATTGCGATGTATTTTCACTAAGTCTAAGTCTAAGTCTCAACCTGCTCTGTTGCGTAAAGGTATATCGGACGACCCTTCGGTTGAAGATTTTGTCTTCAAATCGTACTTGTAAGTACTGTATAGAATGCACACAAGTACACATCATAATCATTGATTTGAGGGCGTTGTAAAGGAAGAAACCATATTGTGTGTAAAAATTATGCAAAAGGCAGAACGAGGTTTACAGCACATTTCAAAAGTATAGTCCTCTAGACTTTTCCAATTTGGATTGTGATTTTCAATACTTTTCTCTGGGACTTTTAATACATGCCGTGTACTCTAGCGAGAGAGCTGCTAAGCTCAGGGCACTTGCCTTTCCTTTTTTTTTAACCTACATTGTACAGTCCATTCATAAAAAAATGGGTCCTGGCTCTGGCGAGCTCCCGTATTTGGCGATTTTTCGTGATTTCATCGTACACAGTGCAGTGCTGCGAACTTTGAAATTTGAAAAAGGGTCCAAAAAGGGTGCCTGAACTGGGGTTCGAACCGCAGAATGCACTGTTGCAGGCGGGGTCAAACGGCCTGGATTTTGATGGTTTTTCCCAATTCAGTGCTTTTGGGGCAAAACCTGGCCGAAATCCTATTCTTGCTATGGCTTGCTTTTTGGACAAAAAAACTTCAGAAACATAATTGGAAGAGGATTCCATATGGGATTGCAGAAAAAAATTCTAAAAAAACTCAACGTTTGACCCATTTATGGCCAAAAGCTAGAAGTTCATTTTTTTCTGAATGGACTGTAGGTAATCATGCATGTTATTCAAACTGCTAGAAACGTCTGCAATACAAGAACATGTACATGATAATCGTATCGCAAAGATGTTCTAGCAGTCCGAATAACACGCTCGATGACCTAAGTACAAGAAAGCGTAGCCAGGGCACTGAGCTTGGCAGCTCTCTCGGTTCACGCTATAGAGATTATTCGATAAACGTCACAATCATGTGAACCGGGGTTCCGGGAACCAGGGAGTGGCAAGAGACCTGCACTCAGTGCACAGTGGACTCTGCGTGCGAACATGGGAGTAGAAAATACCGGTATTTTACTACTCCCTTGTACAAACTGGGCCTTTCTTGCCACTCCTTTCTCGTACGCGTGTCCTAGCTTACGACAAATCCCTGGAGGCGAGTCCAAAAATCACGTTATCGAATAAGGTCTATTGCCATAGCTTTCTTTCTTAAAAAAATGTTTTTCTACACATAACATGGGATTCGAACCTGCGCTATCGCCCTGCATGCATTCCCGCGATACGCTTCGCATACATACACATGTAGCAAGAAGGACCCATGAGTGTGTGTGATCCCCGGTAGCCTAATCGGCCTTCTTTTGCAACACACATTCCACCAGGTTGCTTCACGTCATGACCCTGCTGTTGAAAGCCCTATTTAAATATGTGGATGAGCGCTGGTGGCCAGTTATCTTCGACGGCACGGTACGGGACATGTACTGGGTAGCGCACCAGGCATGCCGCGTCGCGTGACGACGGCCGTCCGCACACAGATACAAAATAAAGCACTGTGGATCCTGGCTAGCGCCAGATGCTGCTGATGTAACATCTTTTGCCTAGCTTCAGGAATAAAGCGCTGTGGACCCTGGCTAGCAGCAGACGCTACTAATATAACATCTTTTGCATAGCTTTGGGTATAAAGCGCTGTGGACCCTGGCTAGTTCCAGACGCAATGCTAATCGTAACACGATTCATCACGCTTTCACATGTACTCCTGTGTCGAATGTACCCCTGTGTCACATGTACCCCTGTGTTGCATGTACCCCTGTGTCACACATACACCTGTGTCACATGTACCCCTGTGTGGCATGTACCCCTGTGTCACATGTACCCCTGTGTGGCATGTACCCCTGTGTCACATGTACCCCTGTGTGGCATGTACCCCTGTGTCACATGTACCCCTGTGTCACATGTACCCCTGTGTCACATGTACCCCTGTGTGGCATGTGCCCCTGTGTTGCATGTACCCCTGTGTCACATGTACCCCTGTGTCGCATGTACCCCTGTGTGGCATGTACCCCTGTGTCACATGTACCCCTGTGTCGCATGTACCCCTGTGTCACACATACACCTGTGTCACATGTACCCCTGTGTCACATGTACCCCTGTGTCGCATGTACCCCTGTGTCGCATGTACCCCTGTGTCACACATACACCTGTGTTGCATGCAGTCCATGCTGTACAGACTGCAATTGTAGGGTAGCCCCGCGGCCTGCTAAAAGCTTCTGTGCGTGTGAAAGTGTGTACGGTATGGTACGGAGGGGTTCTCTTGTGACTGGTAAGAACTGGATTTGGTGCACGCAATCTGCAATCTGTCCTGCTTTCCGCGCTTGACAGTATTCCGCTTGTTGCGGTGAGTTTTCTATTGCAGCCCACCTGTGCATAAAAATTGGTCCTATCTGCACAGGAGTCCGCTTGATGCAGGGTCCAGTAAAAGCAAGTTTCACTGTAGTTAAAATCAGCCAGGTCTTGGTGTGTCTTTGTGCATATGCAGAGATAAACGGTACCGGAAACCTCAGCACATGGTGTGCCCAGACTTTGTCAGTTACAAGCAAGTTGCAGCTATCAAGGCACCTCCAGATGATCCTGAGATTGTCGTTGCCAAACCGACTCGAGATCGTGCGTATCTAGGTCACTTGTCTGCATGTTGTGCTTTGTGTACTTACTTGACTGGATGTGTTTATCAGCACTGACACTGAAAACTGCAGCTTCAGCATGCTGCAATGATGTTTGCAAGACATCTTTGTTCCTACATTCAATGTCAGGGCTCACCATGACTGTGCAACGCGTCAATTACGGTCATTCGGATTTGACCACCAGTGCACGGCAAAACGGTCCGTTTCTTGCAATTGTGGGATTTTTTGAGCTTACCTTAGCTGTATTCGTGGTTTTAGACATGAGGCCATTGTGGATTCGCGTTCAGAAGGTGTGTAGGTTACCGTCTCGAATTTTTTCGGTTTGGCCTTCGTTTGGCTGAGATCTGATGGTGAAATCACTCAAACTCGAAGACGTGCGAACAAGTGAATGAATAGAAAATTAGAAATTGGGGACGGTAAACCGATAGAGAATTCCAAGACCGAGAAAATGAGCCATCGACGGTGAGAATCGGCCAAGTAGAACCGCGGTTCGACTTTTTTGAAGACATCAAGGTAGCCATGCGTTCCCGCGCGCACCAACAAAACCTGGCAGCCGTGCGCAGATCTGCAAGTGCAGCAAGAAAGGACCGAGGAGACAGCAAGCGTTCCAATTGAAGAGTTTACTTTCGTGTTGACTCAAGCTAAGGACTCAGGCCAGCCAGGGATCATACCAGTCACTTGTGATCATGGTCATGACTGAAGAATTCATTTGTGGCTAGGAAACTCCCCACTCGCAGCATCTCGCAGCATGAAAGCTGCTAGGCCAAATAGAAAAGAGTGTGCCGAGTCGCCATTAGGAAACGCTGAGTTCTTCTGACAACCGATTGGCTAGTTAGGCGCGGCAAATTACTAGTATTGTAGATGCCAGGACTCGAGTTCACCAGTACCTCACGAACATATCTCGGTCGACACGCATCAGCGGATTGAGAAATATGACGAAGATGGCTTGGAGAAAGGACGTCTTCTCCGCGTGTCTTTCCCCAGCATCAAACAAGATTCACTTCGGCACTGGCCCTTCGCTGTACGGACTACTAGTAGACCAGGGAGTCGCAAAATACCAGTATTTTACGACTCCCTGGACTAGACTGTACATTGCTGTACATCGATCAGCATGAAGTCGGGTGCGTAGCAGTAGTAGAAACTCTGGCCTCCGCAGCCGTCGCCATTTTTTCAAAATGGTGGTAGACGATTTTTGAATTTTGTATGTTCGTGGTGAGCCCTGACTGTTACTGTCCCAGGATGGGGGTAGCATGTTTCTTGTTTTGATTTTTGTTCATGTTGTCATTGTATCGTTTTGTTTGTGTGTCCATGTGGTGGTGGTGGGAGAGAGAAAAGCAGAGGCTTTTGCAAGTGCCATTCATAGGCCGTTGCATCCCATGCGATGCCTTATTACCGTAAAGTCCGCTGCAAACGCCCACCCCATTTTTGCAAGATCTGCTGGCCTATACGCACTGACCCCATGCACTTTCACCCCTACTGTACGAAAGTGCATCTCGTACCGTAACGCGAGGAGTGCTTTGCTACGGTAAACTATGTACATTTTCCGGGTTTCGAAATGTTTTTGGGCACTAGTTACGAGCTAGCTCCTAGTGATTTTATGATGTTGGTTGTTAAATTTCGCAAATCCAAACGGGAGTTACTTCGGAAGAACCAGGTAGAGAAGAACAGGCTATTGCAGGAACCAAATACACTTCTGACGGTGTTTCAAGCCATCATTTCCAAATCACGCAAAGCGCAATGGCAAGGGTTTTTCTCGAGCACTTCAGAGTTTTCAACAAGTTAGCAGCGACTTTGTAGGTGTAGCTTCTGTGACATCCCCTCTGTTCGACTTGCAACTGCAATACTGCGACCGGTCAAGTCGTTGAATGACGCTTCGTCAGAACAATCACCGTTCCATTCTGAAAGCGCGGCATCGTGGCACTGCAGAAATTTCATGATTTGAAAACCAGATGGATTCTATGGCATTACTTCATGAAGAACGAACTAATAACAAAGACGACTCATTCATCATATGAAAGGAAATCTCGACCGAAGTTTTTTTCTTTGCAGCAAGATAATGACAATCGCTTTTGCAGAGCCTCTTGGTAAGACATAGCCAGTTTGTAGGCATTATAGTCGTTCTCGTACGCATTCGACCTCAATGCCAGTTTTCTACAACTATATTGACCTGAAAAAGACGAAAATAGTATGGACCCGCTGGGGTGGGCGTTTGCAGCGAAGTGGGCGTTTGCAGCGGGGGGGGGGGGGTTACGGTACTTGTAAATCTATGTATATTTGTGCTGGGGAGGGGGGGGGGGTAGTGACATACACATACTGGGGAGGGGGGTAGTGACATACACATACTTGAAAAATAAGCTTTTAATTAAGTTCATTGGACCTTGACCTTTGCCTCCTGCAGGATCTGGTAACACCATTAGCACCATTCAAACCAACTATTACGCTGCGCGCCTCAATGCTATCTTTGGATATTGCAGCTGGGTCCTGTTGCCAATGTCCTCTGTGGTAGGTTGCTGGCTATATGCTTGCCAAGCACTTAGTTCTGTTCTTTTTTTCTATAGAATTTGTGACACTGATTCTAATGATGCAGGCCCCCTCCTTAGCCAATTAGATAAAAGAGAGAAAGGACTAATGGATACCATTTGTGAACAGCCATCCTTGAATTAAACTATATTGTGAACGGTCAGCTACTGCAGTGCAACAATTTAGCACAACTAAGACATGAAGTACAGAGAGAGAGAGAGAGAGAGAGAGACAGACAGACAGACAGACAGACAGACAGACAGACAGACAGAGAGACAGAGACAGGGAGAGGGAGAGGGAGAGGGACATTGTTCATACAGGGCAGTTCTTGAATTTTTGAAAAAATCGCTGAAAGGCCTTGAGAAGCCTTGAAAAACGCTTTTTTGGTCCAAAAATGACATCTCAGACCGCGGTCACACATGCACTTGGCGGGGCTGCCAGAGTGGGACTTCCACATCTGCCATTATTGTGTGTGACCGCGGCCTTAGCTGCCCAAAACCGCCTAAAACTATTACTTTCCTTCGCGCCTGTCGAACATTGAAAACGGCTTCTGGTCGACTTGGGCTTCTGCCTACAGTATCACTTCAAGGCCGTCACAGCTGGGACTTTTGTGGCCGATTTTTTTTTTTTTGGAGCACACTGCAACAAAGCGCAATGATCGCAGCTCAGCGCAAACGTGGTGAATAATGAAGATTCCTTGTCCCGATCATAGCGTCTTCTTGGTTTGTTGCAGAATCTTAATCAGGATCTGCAGAATCTGTTTTTTTGCAGAATCTTAACGAGCTTTCCTATGGAAATCCGCAGAGAGATTTATAGGCTATTCATACTACGTTACAATACGCGTCACGTTTTCGAATACGACGTACTGGCAGACGTCGTTTTCATGCAGGTGCATTCACACAGGCATGTACACGCTGCTCGTACAGCTGTGTGTACAGCTTCTTTTGGACACAAACTGCTGGGAACGACAGAACGAAGCTCGGTACAGGGGTCTGGATACGTCGTCTACGTTTTCGTATCTGGGGTACGATTTTCCCGCCACGTTCCATGTTGTCATGGCTATCCGGACGAAAACGTCACGTACGCCACGTTTTGGGCTTAGTGTGAATGGCCCATTACGTGTGAAAGTTACCCTCGCTCCCCGGCGCATGATTTTCATACGTAATTATGTAGAGTGAAACCTCCCTATTATGTTCTCAAGGTGAAGTGAATTGCAGTACTTAATTAAATGGTGAAGGTGGGGGTGGGGGGGGGGGGTGGGTGTGGGGGGGGGGGGGGGTGGGTGTGGGGGTGGGGGGGGGGGTGTGGGGGGGGGGGGGTGTGGGTGTGGGCGGTGTTGGCAGTGTGTCACAGTTATAGGGTACGTGAATATGAACGAAAACACGTTTGTGTAAAAGTGGACAAGCTGCCCATCGGATTCACACAGAAAACAGACTCGGCCAAAACTCGCATGCGTCTGTGTACTCATGTAACTTGAGTACCATATTCAAGTACATTCGCTGTTTTTACACGCGCGCAAAGGACTAGCGTGGGCCTAGGACTCCCCGAGCAAGTAACAGTTTATCAAGATTTTGCACGTGCTTGGGTCACACGAGGAAAAAGAGTACCACACACGTGAGTTTGCGCGTCGTGTGAATCCCCTATTAAGGTAACCCTGAGCAATCAATGGAGTAGGTCAATGGAGTAGGTGGGTTGTAGAGATGACCAGTGCTGCAGTGCGTATTGCCTATAGGGTTGCCGGCTATAGTAGTATATCGACTATAATGATCAATTGGTCAAATTCATTTTCATTTGCCATACCTAAGTACGAACTGAGATGTTGCGACTTCTCCATAACTAAGTATACACAGTTATAGCGTATAGTAATAGTCGTCTATAGTAATACATAGCCTATAGTAATACATCGCCTATATAATAGTGATCAGATTCATTTTCGAAAGACATCTATTCCATCTATTCCATTATTTTTCACATCTTTTCTTCTAATTTCTTTCGTCTTCTCTCCCACTTTAGTTTTTTTTCACACCTTACCTTGTATACTTCCCACTATCCATTAACCTATAAGTAGTTTGTTTCTCCGTATAGCCTCTATTGTGAGACGATTTTCCCTGATGATAGTCTCAAGAAAATCGATTAGGAACAACCATTTTAGATACATGTATTCTCATTCATCATTTTGTAATGTCCGCTTCACTTATACTATTAATCGCATTAATAACATTATTTTTCCATTAGGTAAAGTTCTTGTTGTGGTTTCAAGTGTTGTCAGAGGTCTTGTAGAGAGAAAGAACTGCGTCCATTTCACTTGAAAGTCAATCTTGTACAAGTACATGTACTGTGTATGCATGTGTCATGTACTGTGCATGCATGTGTCATACATGTGCACTTGGCGTAGATCTATGCCGTAATCAAGTACAGGAGAATGCAGATTATCTGCACCCTTTGGGGCGGAGGGGTTTTCCAGGGGGGGGGGGTTCAGATAAGACAACAAGCAGATATGCATCTGAAACAAGCATGTTCACACCATTTTTTTTAAACCTTTGTGTACGGACTGTACAACTTTCAATATCCTGGGATCGAAACTTTTCCAATTTCGATCAATCGTAACTCAGTCATTTATGGGTTATTTCCGAAAACCTAAAATATGTAGGTCGAAGAAAAAACTGCCAGCTGTCCATTGAAACAATCACGGAAGCGTTTCGATGTGCGGTTCCCGGGTTACGAAGCTCGAAAGTCGAGTCACGGCAAAAGTCACTCAATAGCCATGTGCGCAGATTTGAATGAGGGATTTCCCCATCTTTCTGTGGATGCAGTGATGTGGAAACACTTTAAAAATAGCAAACATACTCGTGGCAGTTCATAAAAATGAAGTTGTTACGAGCAAGGAGAGCGAAATGGCTGACACAAAAGGACTTTTGTCAGAATACTGGCATTGCAACTAAGACACTGGCCTGTACCGCTGGTGCTTTGACCTTCGTGGTGGAAAGTGTGGGCTCAGTTTGTTCCTCTTGCGACGAGGTTTCCAGGAAGCCCAAAATTGAAAATCGGCAAAAGGAGACTAAAGTTATGACTCGGAGAATTGTGCAATTTGAGGTGAGTCGAGGTCGAATTCAGTCTGCGTACATTTTTCCGTACATAAAAGGTTTAATCAGTTGCCATGTTTCTCATTATATTGTTCTTTCTGAGAGTGTATATATCTATAGCCATGGCTGAACATGCTGAACATGCTGATAATGTATATGTGAAACGTATGTTATCATTGTTATGATATTAGCCAAATCAGCAGCATACATTAAAACGTTTCCTTGGAGACAACAACACATCTATAACACTTGATATTAGTACAAACTACTCAGGATGGGATGAACACAACATGGTTTTCAACTTTTCACAAGTAAACATTCGAAACTTTACTTGTGAAAACCATGTTGTTTTTAAAAGAGCCTGAAGTTTGTAGTACTATTGAGAGTCATCATGTTTTATTTTGGTTGACAGCATGTTATAAGGCGGAGGACGCACTGTATTGGAGAGAAAAAAACAGTGCTGACCACAACAATTTGTTCAACACAGTGCGTCCTCCGCCTTGTAACATGCTGTCAACCAAAATAAACATGTCTAAGACTAGTCATATGGATAGGCTCTTACAACGTTTTCTTTTCTCTTCTTGTGTTTGCTTTGGTTTTGCCATGTGAAGCATGCCTTTCATGATACAGTGGAGGGAACCATTTTGATGCAAGATTTTGGACTCTTCGTAAAGGGTGCGTGCATCTCGACTGGAGTTGGCGTGCATTTCATGAAAACCCCTATTTCATCTGTGGAAGCTTGCAGAGCAAGTGGCTTGAAAGCTTGCTGCAAACGCATGGGCATGTTTGCAACTATATGATACGTAAGTGTGACCTGTTTTTCCTCTTTCTTTCTTGCCATTTTTTTAAATGGTTCTCATAGGGTTGAAACGATCATTTCTTAACATCCTAATAATCTACGTGGAGATAAACGTTTAATAATAGCTATGAAAAGTATGAATGCCGCAGACATCACCACGCAACATGACAATTTGTTCAAGGTTTGGTTTTGTGTGTTTCCAAAATCGATTTTCACGCTCCGATCATCAGTGGAAATACGGAACTAAAGAGATCAAGGGAAAAAACAAAGGTTAAAAATCCAAAGAAGTGTGACACATGACGGGTAACTTGTGGTAAGTATTACAAAAAGTGAGAACTAAAATAAAGAGTAAGTGTGACAACCGGGCATGAACAGTGCAGAAACAGCTCATGAACACGGGGTGCAAACTCACGAAAATAACCTAAGTGCTAAAACATGTTCTTTTTGCTTACACAAATCGGGCTTATGCGTACGAATACAAACAGCTTCAAGGACCTTCAACTGCTGGGCATAACGGGCACTTGAAGGTCCTTGAAGCTGTTTGTATTCGTACGCATAAGCCCGATTTGTGTAAGCAAAAAGAACATGTTTTAGCACTTAGGTTATTTTCGTGAGTTTGCACCCCGTGTTCATGAGCTGTTTCTGCACTGTTCATGCCCGGTTGTCACACTTACTCTTTATTTTAGTTCTCACTTTTTGTAATACTTACCACAAGTTACCCGTCATGTGTCACACTTCTTTGGATTTTTAACCTTTGTTTTTTCCCTTGATCTCTTTAGTTCCGTATTTCCACTGATGATCGGAGCGTGAAAATCGATTTTGGAAACACACAAAACCAAACCTTGAACAAATTGTCATGTTGCGTGGTGATGTCTGCGGCATTCATACTTTTCATAGCTATTCTTAACATCCTAACGATGTTTTTGGGGAAATTTCGCAGGCTTCTACACAAGACAGGCTTATGTGTGAATTGTAGTGTACTGGTTTTCTGGCTCGTCAAATACTAGCATCATACCCCTTTCATCACAATTGGGGTTGTTTACAGATCTTTTTCTACACATTTCTTCTGTTGATATCTGATCTACGTCACGAGTTCACGTGCAGTTTGGATTGGGGAACCCCGACACAACACAACTTCACACAGTTCTAAAAGGTATAAAATTCATCTTCATCTAAAGATCTTTTTCTACACATTTCTTCTGTTGCTGTCTGATCTACGTCACGAGTTCACATGCATGTGCGGCTTATACAGTGGAACTCGGATAAGATGTACCCCCTCGGGGAACTCGGGGAAAGTATGTACCGTATTTCCCCGATTATAAATCACACTCAATTATAAGTCGCACCTCCTTTTTCAGGTTTGAGCCACATTGATTTATTGACTTCAATAGTAAGTCATGCTCGATTGTAAGTCGCACCCCCCCCCCCCCCTTTTGCCCTTGAATTTTAGTGTACAAAGGTGCGACTTATATTCGGGGAAATACGATAGTTTATTGCATGTCACGTGAGGGTTGCCTGTACTACAGCCAATGAGCGCTCTTGCTCAGCGGTCTGTATTTCTCGGTATTGCCCGGCAAGTTATTGCCCGCTCAGTTACATGTACGCGCATGCGGACTGTCATTCTTGTACTTTGTGGTTCGTGATCAGATCAAGTTTCTACTGTTCGGATTTTCAAATTTGAAACACCAAACAGCAACTTGATCTGACTACAAACTACAAAGCACGAGAATGACAGACCACACACACGCGCATGTAACTGAGCGGACAATAACTTACTTGTTCCAGCCACCTCAGCAGGTGAATGCAACCTTGACATTGATATCGATGCGTTGGTGGGCAGCCGACGAACTACATGTACTTGACGAACTGAATGCGTTCGAGATGAAGTCGTGGAGCCCATCCCAGTTTCAGTTCCTGTTCCTACACGCAGTGCTCAATCACGAACAACAACACCATCGATATCGTAAAGAAATAGAGAATTTCAAAACCACAAACGACGTTTACCACTGAACAAGTGTGTCGGGAGACTGAGAAAGTCGGAAAGGTTTCTCTCCATTTTCTGGAATGTTTGAGTCAAGCTTACAATAAATGAGCTACTGCACGAGTACAAGGGCAATACTGGCTGATACATGACCGAACGGCGTCAGCCGTGAGGTCATGTATCAAGCCGGTATTGCCCGCGTACGAGTGAGTACGAGTACATCCGAGGCACTTCTTATCCGAAGTTGACTCCTGCGGCCCCACTAATACGATGCATGTGCAGTAAATTATTATTGAAATTATTAATTTTATTGCACTCAGAAATGTATGTGCTTAGTGCCACCAAACCAGGCTTCCCTCCCTGCAAACAGCCTCCTCCACGCTGTCAACCTACTGAAGTACCTGTCAAGCGAACAAGTCCTGTGTAAACATGTATGAAAACTAGGACGCAAAGTATGTGAGCCCGAGCGCGCTAAAACATGACCACAGCTTTTTTTGAAAAAGTCGAGATAATCGTGATTTGAATTCCGCGGCAAAAAATACGAAGTGCAGTGCAACGCGAGTCGCTGTTGTTGTTCTCCTCGCGGAGCTCGGTCGACTGGACTGTTCCGGATGCAATTCTTTGTTGCAAGTAAGTTTATTTGTTTGAGTTTGTATTCCATGTTGCGCTGAGTCGCCTAAAACTGATCGTCATCGATGTATCGACAGAAGAGCCTAGTAGTAGTAATGTACTGCGGAGCGGAAGAAGACGACATCATCGCACTCCATGCGCAGGATAAACTATTTTGAGGATTCGGGTCGGAAACAGAAGGAAGACGATGATGGCTACAGCGACGAGTCATTTGAGGGCGACACTTTCATCGAGCGTAAAAAGAATTGATGCTGGTAGTCCCACGATCTGCAGTGACGAGGAATTCTACTCTGATGACAGCCTGGCAAGCGATTGGCATCGACACTGACTTGGGAGGTGAGTCGGCCGATGATTTGGCCAGAATGGACATCGCTGCACATATCCGGGACAATGCCAGTATTGGTTGCAAGTGCAAAAACAATCAATGGACTCTGCTGCTCCCTCAACTTGCTCAAGTCGATAATTTGAGTACCCTTATGCGGAACATCGCTAGCATGAGCAGTATGCAGCGAAAGCAGTACTCTCTGGCGAGCGGAGAAACCGTGTGCAGATGGGCTTTGGTGTGGGGAATATGAGTGCGACGTCTAGTATGTTGAGGAAGACTGTGTGCAGCAGTGTACACTGTATATCTGAAAGTACAGGTGGAGTGTGATGGAGAGGACATGGAGTACCAACTTCTTCCGCCAGCTACAGATGTTGACCGTGTTTTCGCTGGCGGTTCTCCAGTGGTGCTCCAAACAGGAGGCATTCCGGACAAGCAGCTCAGCTGCCTATAGACAATTTGGATGTGGCTGAGTACCTGTCAGCTCATGCTATAAGACCCTGGACAGAGGAATTGACCCGGAAAGGATGAACCAAGGGGCATATCAACTGTGTGCAAAAATGACAATCCCATTGCTGTACATAGAATTTCGCCATTTCAACAGTGCTGCATATAATACCATTGTAGCAACACTTAGACATGTCCGATCAATCCAAAACTTTCAGACACTGAACATTAGGTGTGTTAGATCATTTTTAAACAAAAAACTGAAAATCGAATTTTTGGTCTGTGGTCATATTTTAGCGTGCTCTGGCTCATGTAGTATGCGAGGCTAGCTCTGTTGGGACCTGCTGAAGAGTCTGTCATACACGAGTTGTACGTCTTACATACAGGCCAACCCTCCCATTGGCCCGGGGACATCCCGGGAAATCAACAATACTCCCGGGGATTTCAAGCAAGCTCCTGGAAAAGTCACATTTTTTGTCTGGTCCAGGTTGTTCCTGAAAACTCCAGGGACTCGCATCCAATGTCCAAGTTTTTTTTCCTAAAAATATGTACGGTGCGCACTCGCACTTCGAACTGTGCACAGCACTTTCAAGGCCTGACCAGCCTGCATGATCTGCACCGACAGGCCGACTGATGGAACTGCACTGCACGGTCGAACTGAGCTGTACGCGGAGTCTAGAATTCCTGTGCCATCGAATGTTTTTTGGCGGGAAAAGCTCTTTTTCACTTGTTTTTGTGCCATCCGCGGATTATGAGAGAAATCCAGGGATTTTCCAGGTCTTATGTCTTGTCAAGGGATTGAGATTTAGGTGCTTGGTCAGTATGGTCCTATCAGAGTACATGTACCGTAAAGTACCGCCAGAGCGCCCCACCATCTCATCCTTTCGTGGTCGTATTGTGGAGGTGGTCTGCAGTCTGTAGGTCATACGACATGAACCTTGTACACATATTGCACGTTTTGCAGTCAATCCGTACCTTCGAGCGGACACAAGCTCCACACAAAACCCTGCCAAGCGTGACCTTAGTACACAAGGTTCTCACATCGTACAAACTCCGTTGCACTCTGCCATACGATTTTCCTTTCTCTGGCTGTAAAATCAAGGTGGGGCGCTCTCGCGAGACGGGGCGCTCTCGCGTTACTTTACGGTACATGTATGGCGTATCCGTACACATTTGTATGTGCGCTTATTAGTCCATCAGCCAGTGGTGCGAAAGTGAGTCCCCGTGCAACAGCACTTACAAATCGAACACCTGGAACCAAGAGTACATAACCCCCCAGAGTGTGCAACGCCTGATCCAGCTCTGTGTAGGGTCTTGGTCGAGCGGAATCGGATCTTCTGATGTCATGCGTACACTTCACACCAGCGCAAGGCCGGTCTCGAGGCAGGGCACCATTGTTTTTGATCCAAGAGCACCCGCGACTCCCCGGGTTCCCCTCAGATGTGTACGGTATTATGACGCAAAGATCCGATTCCGCTCGACCAAGACCCTATGCAGAGCTGGATCAGGCGTTGCACACTCTGGGGGGTTATGTACTCTTGCTGGAACTGACGTCAATCGACAGCAAAAGCATCACTGAATCCGACCTGCCTACTTTCCCTGGGGAAGCTCTTGCACTCCTTTTGCAGTGCGCGTTGGAAGTTCGACAATTTTCTTCTTCTTCGTCAGCCATTACGAGGTTTTCTATCCGTTTTATTAGGACATCCAATGCGTCTTCAGTGAAAAACGTGGAGTTTTGTGAACGTTTGGTGTGGTTTTCCGTGGCGATCGACCTATTCCTGAAATGCGCATGGCAGTGATTGGAGATTGGGTTTAGGTCACAACAATGGCTGTTGATGAAATGCCTAAAAAAGGGTCACTTTGTCGGCTTCCCTCTGCAGAGCATGCAAGTCGTTTACTCTTTTTATTTGCGGATTCGGTTTGCAGGGTACCTAAACTCCCCATTGAGGCCAAAATCAAGTATTCGATTTCTAAGTGCAACAGGCTGCTTGAATTTGACGACTTCTGAATTCTTGGCTGATGAGCTTTATGGAGAATGTTAGAGAAGTTCGTTCGTTCGTTCGTTAACATCAAAAACGTTTGAATACTACAGTCCGGCATTTCAAGCCCTATAGACGCGTACCTAGGCAAAAACCGGTATGCCAGCATCTATACCACATAACATCTGTGATCACTTTGTGCATAATTTTCCCCCCACCCCCACCAAATTGGGCGTCTGTTATCCAATCGTTTAGAAACTATATGAGAGTAATTGTGGAGCGGTCCTGAGCAATATTCCGAAAACTATTCTCAAAAAGGTCCAGCCAAATTGGAAATAATTATTTCAAAAACCCTACGCGTCTATAGTTTTGAAATGGACTGTAGTACTCAATTTTTATGTTCGTTTCAGCCCTACATATTCTGCACCGCATAAGCATATTCATTATCAAAAAGGTGAGTTTCTGTACATTTACGAATATTCCTATTCCACCTAAACAAAGAATATTCTTTTTCCGGTGTGCATTAAGAACTCAGATGGTGAGCCAAGGAAAAAATGTGTAACATGGAAATTTTGGTCACAAGTTATGACTGTTCAAAATCTGGTTTACAGATTTGTAGTTGGTGGACTCTATCGCATAACTTGTGACCACAATTTCTATGTTACAAATTCTTTATCCGGTCTGCATATTTCGAATATTCGAATAATTCGAAAATTCCTTTCAGCCCTAGTAACCACCAGAACTCGAACCAGGGACCCTTGCTTGAGGCCAGTGATGCTCTAACTACTGAGCTATGGTGTAGCCGTCATCCCAGCCGAGACCGTTCAACATTTTCTTCAGACTTCTTAACTCACACTTCCTGTGAATCCACACTTCCTGTGAATCCACACTTCCTGTGAATCCACACTTCCTGCGAATCCACACAGGCAGCAGGAGGGTGGGACTCAGCCCTCACTGTACCCACACACTTCATGTACAAACTAGCACGCGGGAGCCCCAAGTCATAAAATATTCACTGGTTTGAGGGAAAGATTCGAACGGGAAAAGTCTGAAGAAAAAATTGACTGTCAGCACCAGGACTCGAACCAGGGACCCTTGCTTGAGGCCAGCGATGCTCTAACTTCTGAGCTATGGTGTAGCCGTCATCCCAGCCGAGACCGTTCAACATTAAATTTTTCTTCAAACTTCGTAACTCACACTTCTTGTGAATCCACACAGGCGGGTGGGATGCAGCCCTCTCACTGTAACCCACACTTCACGTACAAACTAGCACGCGGGGAGCCCCAAGTCATAGAATAGTCACTGGTTTGAAGACAAAAATTGACTGTTACCACCAGGACTCGAACCAGGGACCTTCGCTTGAGGCCAGCGATGCTCTAACCACTGAGCTAAGGTGTAGCGGTCATCCCAGCAGAGACCATTCAACATTTTCTTCAGACTTCGTAATAATATTAATAATAATTCGCATCTTTCCCTCAAACCAGTGAATATTTCATGACTTGGGGCTCCCTGCATGCTAGTTTGTATGTGAAGTGTGTGGGTTACAGTGAGGGCTGCGTCCCACCCGCCTGTGTGGATTCACAGGAAGTGTGAGTTACGAAGTCTGAAGAAAATGTTGAACGGTCTCTGCTGGGATGACAGCTACACCATAGCTCAGTGGTTAGAGCATCGCTGGCCTCAAGCGAAGGTCCCTGGTTCGAGTCCTGGTGGTGACAGTCAATGTTTTTCTTCAGACTTTTTTTACTGCAGACTGTGTAGTTGCTGAGGCTGCTGTTGTGTATGGGGGTGCCTTACATGTCCTTCATACTGGTGTACAGAATAGATATGGGTGACCTCCCGCTAAACCGGAAACGCCCAAGTTGTTGGTTCGAAAAATGTTCTCCCGCACATAAACAGCTTCAGCTACCAGTCACTGCCAGATTTGCTTTCCTGTTTGGCGCTCTTCAGAGCCTCGGGGTGGCAAATGGGGCTTGCCCAGAGCGAGACAACTTGGGTAAGTCCATTTGTCATATCGCTCAAACTACAACACGATGATGTAAAGCAACATGCCACCCAGATTTTCCTTTCTCTTCTCTATGTTATTTTGTATCCTTTCCCTGCATTGCTCCTCAAAGGAAGGTGTGGAGAATCTGGAGACCATTAAACCGCTTTTCATTACATGTACGTTTAAAAAAAATTAAATAACTGGTTCTGTGTCTCTCAACTCTTGTGTTTGTATGCTTTCATGTTTGATACAGTGCCATACTGTGAGGTGATGCTCTTACGTAACTTCTTGGTTGGGGACCAACGGAGCCATTGTCGACTGTCTAGGGCATGGCGGTGGCGATACGATAACGCTCTCTGATCATGTGCAGATGTCAGCAGTCGGTAAACTCAACGTCCCTTCCCTTCCCTAGTTGTGTTATACGCTTTTCGCTGATCCAGCGTGCAGTCCATACATTCTCGTATCTTTTCTCTTGTCATTTAGGCTACTTTGTGTTGCTGGCTCAGTTGTATTTGTCCAGCTTCGTTATTAGATGTCACGCTTGTCAAGTTAGTACTTCCTTACATGAATACATGACATAACCAGTTGTGGAAAGTGAAATCTAACCCATTGAGTATAATATCAACCACAGGCCATTGTGCTGCAAACAACACAGTTTCGTTCATCAAGTCGGATTTGATTTTCTGTGTGTGGGTACATGTTTTTGACGAACATGGCTGAATTCACCCGTTTGTGTAGACACATTTTAGCTATTAGAGAGGTTCTGCACAACTAAAATTCGCCCTAAGTTTCGCGACGGACCTTGCGAAAATGTGTGCAAAATCTCGCGCGATCTTTGTGTTCTGCAAATTTTCGTAGTTTTGCACTTGCCCGAGTGCACGTACGCGGTGAACCCGTTGACCTGACTGATCTCACGAATCTTCTCACGAAAGTTCATTTCGCATTCCCTGCAAGTTTCGCATCCAAAGTTGCGAAAGTTCGTGCGAAGTTTCTCACTTCATGACGTAGAGCGAAAGTTTGTACGCATTTTCGTTTTGCAGAACTTCTCTATTATCTACTTTGCCCGCTTTGTTGCCCCATCAATTTGCACGGTGGTTTCCGCTTAGTGTTAGGCAGGCGCTCATATCATTCTGTGTTCGTCCCTTTTTCTCAGTTCTCATATTGCTGCTTCATGATTCATATTCCTATGGTTTGTGTTAGCACTTAGTACTCTCAACTTAAGCCGTAGTAGCATTCTGTGTTCGCCGTGTTTTCACCTTTTGTGACTGTGTTCATTTAGTTCTGCTACCTGCATACATGACTGCAGCGTCTTTATAGGGGTTGAAACATAAAGGTAATTTTTGACCTGCTTCAGTGGATGTGGCCAATGGTACTTTTGGGTGCTTGGGCCAGCAGTCGCGTAAGCCTTTGTGGAGACTCTCCATTCACCCTGACTGTTACAGTGAAACCTATCTAAGATGACCACTCAAGGGACCTTCAAAAGGTGATCTCTGTAACCAGGTGGTCTCCTTATGCAGGGTGATTTGACTGGAAATAGCATCCCTTGGTCCTGGTTGCAATGGTCTTCTTGGACAGGTGGTCGCCTTATCCGAGTGGTCGCCTTATCCGAGTGGTCGCCTTATCCGAGTGGTCGCCTTGACATGTTTCACTGTACATGCACGGTCCCTATCTACCGCTGGATCATTTCAGATGCATGCAGTGACTGTCATGCACAGTCCCTCCCGGGTCAGCAAAAATATTGTGTTTTCTGTGCAATACATCCGGTGTGCAAGGGTGGAGATGGCCCCATCGAAACATTTTCAGTTTATCATAATGATCACGATGATCATCATGATCATCATTACCATCATCATCGATAAGGCGGATTATAGCTAACTTCAATACCTGTATGTAGACCGTGAACTAGACGTAAAAATTTAATGTACTCAGTTTCTTTTCAAATAACGGTACGTAAATCTATGGATGGATTCTAGGAGCATGAGCATCAGGGAATAGTACAATACCGGTATTCATGGTATTGTACTACCCCCTGGCCTGATGAGTATATCAATGTTGCACAGTACTGGTATGTACTGGTATGTACTGGTATGTACTGGTATGTACTGGTATGTACTGCTACTTCTGAAGTGCATGTACAGCATGCATGTCAGAAGAAAAAACAATCCTAAATGGCAAGTGTACTGTGCAGTGTGTTCCTGTTCGTCACATGGCACTGCTGATTTTGCGATGCGATACGTTACAGGTACATGTACAAGGGGCAAGGGTGTATCTAGCATCTGCCCATAGCTTGCTTGATCCAGTCTAGGTGATGAAGGACGTTGACCAAGTGCTCCTGTGGCTGAAGAGCCGGATTCCAGCAGGGTGTAGGATGACCAATGACTCCCACTAAGGCAACTGTGTCAGTGCTATTCTTGTACACCACTGCAGGTCCCCCTTGATCCCCATCCACAGCTGGGCAAGCACTGAGGCTGCTATCAGCAACACATATGCCACTTGCACCGACTTCTCCACACGTATCCTGCGGTAAGATTTGAAGAGAACGCTCAAGTGGGATTGCTACTTCGTCATCGTCAAACGGGGCGCGGATCGATGGCCCCCATCCAGCCACTCGTACATTGACACCGGCATTGTACAGATCCCGGTCGGTTTCAGTGGGAAGGCAAGCGCATCTGACATTCAAGTTTTGCCTGTAGTCTGGGCAGTTGAGCTTAATCAGGGCAAGGTTACCTTCAGTACTACTCAGATCATAGGCAGTATGCGACGTGACACTAATGACAGTGCAGTCTCGTTGGCTGACCTGGTCCGATTGGTCAAGGTTGTGATTGCCAAGACGCACCAGTAGGTTGTCGCGGAGTTGTTGCACATTCTGAGTGCACTGAGCGGACGTCAAGACATACCTTGTCTCTGATCTTGAGTGTCTTGAGCAGCATAGCAGAGTGGCAGCACAGTGAGGTCGACCATTCCTATACAGCATAGCCAACCATGGCCAGCTGTGGCTAAGCACTTGACGATTCTGCTGCTCTATATCAGCCAGTGGTGGCAATGGTCCCGGTAGCTTGCCACAAGACTGATCACGGGCTGGTATATCTGTATGAGCAAGCAAGGTAAACATGTCACAATGCAATACGGCGATGAAGGCAAGCGATACGGGTGTGTGGGTACTACTGTTGTGTTCTAATCAGTAATCACTGAGTGATCGTGCAACATAGTACACAGCAGATACGAGTACATGCACAGAGTACAGTTGATTTTCAAAACTGAAATAGGCTTATAGATCCTGCACCCCTATGGAGTTTATATCTCACGCCATCCCGTGATCATTTAGACAGATCCCTATCATCCCAGTTTCGTTTCATTTCACCGTCAGGACAAGCGCCGCAGAACATAGTCATGCTTACGTGTGCACCGCTGCAAGTCACAGTCCGTCACCTCTTGGTCTAAGCCAGTACAATAATCACCACCAAACTCGGGTGCAGGACTATCGCACAGTCGACTTCTGGTGCGTGTTCCGCGGCCGCATATCGTATTGCATTGCGACCATGCAGTCCATCCACCCCAACCACCGTCAACTGCATTAGGAAGCAAACAATGTGAATCCCTACTTTTAGGTCTTTTCCTGAACCCCGCACACACATCACACCACATACTCCGACACACACACGCGCGCGCGCACGCACACACACACACACATCACATGTAACTACAACACGCAGCTGCCTGCGGTACAGGGGGTGCTCGCCAGCGGAGTGAGAGGCTATGGAGAGAGATCAAGGGATTGGCCAGGTAGTCACTGCTGGAGCAGGAGTCTTGGCGGAGCCAAGACTCAAGAAGGTTTGGGCCTTGTGCTCTTTGATCATACACTATGCATCTAGCAGAGAACATTCGGGATTAAAGGGGGAATCCTGATAATTCGAACCTCCAAATACCAGGAAAAAACTTCTAATTATCCGGACATTCTAATTATCCAAACATGAACCCGCAACACAACATGTACAGTGCGTATCAGTTATAGTGTGGTAGTGTAAAAGAATATACTGCCTACAAGAATGAACTCTCCTATTTTCATAATCATAACATGGGTTTCATGTGTCTATTTATTCTTACAAGCAATGTTATCGTGTAATAGAATATATCGGTCCTAAGAATGGACTTTGTGTAGCAAAACATGCCAGATTAGTACAAAGTGTATCGCCTGTAGTAATAACATCTCCCCGATACAGTTCTGAACCGACTCGAATTGCATCATAATGCTGCAAGTGCATCTGTTGTGGTCATGTAACTCATGTTAACAACCACACAAGCCGACCTGTTTGGGAGCTATTACGCGTTGTATTATCAGGGCATAGGCAACAATTGCCGCATGCAGTATGCAATACTATGGACCAATGCCGTAGTATCGCAGGCAACAATTGCCGCATGCAGTATGCAATACTATGGACCAATGCCGTAGTATCGCAGGCAACAATTGCCGCATGCAGTATGCAATACTATGGACCAATGCCGTAGTATCGCAAGCACCAATGTGCGTTAGACTGGCCAATGCCAGGGCTAATGGGGGCAACAATTGCCCGGCGTGTCAATACACGCATACGGTAGGGATGCACTTGTGAGCACATGTAGGCGCACTTGGCTCAATGCCGGCCTGACCCACGATCCCTACCGTTCTCCCTTCCGGGATGGCTTAGAATAGAATGATGGTTAGAGATGATGGGGTGGGTGGTGGTGCTCAAAAACTGGCCAAGGTTGTCAAGCGATCTGACTGTTGGCGCAGCAACGATGAAGAAGAAGCAGCATCGAGAGCCGGAGTAATGCGCATGCTCCGCGTGGTCCCGTGCCGGGGCGCGGGAGTTCGGAGTGCGTGTTCTGCACGGGCACGTGATGCGCTATGGCAAGTACGTGCAAATTATGTTAGGAATGTAATTGTTGGTGGGTTGCTAACTTCACTTACCGTGCCATGCACGGAAACTTATATTTAACAACCACACAAGCCGACCTGTTTGGGAGCTATTACGCGTTGTATTATCAGGGCATAGGCAACAATTGCCGCATGCAGTATGCAATACTATGGACCAATGCCGTAGTATCGCAGGCAACAATTGCCGCATGCAGTATGCAATACTATGGACCAATGCCGTAGTATCGCAGGCAACAATTGCCGCATGCAGTATGCAATACTATGGACCAATGCCGTAGTATCGCAAGCACCAATGTGCGTTAGACTGGCCAATGCCAGGGCTAATGGGGGCAACAATTGCCCGGCGTGTCAATACACGCATACGGTAGGGATGCACTTGTGAGCACATGTAGGCGCACTTGGCTCAATGCCGGCCTGACCCACGATCCCTACCGTTCTCCCAAAATACAACATGACCCAAACAGGAATTATCGGCATTACTATAGTTATAGTAGCGTTACTATAGTTATAGTATAATAGGTATATCATATGTACACTACAGCTGTTGCTAGGGCCGTCCAATGCGGCTACCCATTAGCATAACGGGCAGAGACTAGAACAATGCCGCTGGCAATGCTCTGTCTGCGACAGGGGTGCGGACATAGCGGAGGTAGGCAGAGCTTTGCCACCTGCCGGCGGTCTTCAGCACGTACTCAGGCACGCCAGCTTTGCCTGCCAGCGTTGCAGCGCCTCGTCTGAGGCTGTGGCTGCGCACGTCTTTGTTAGGCAAGGCTGTTTGTAGTAGCCTGTTGATGTTATGCGGCTTCAGGGGCGTGCCGTCATCATAGCGATAGAGCGGGCCAGGTGCCGAGCCACGGGCTGCTAGGTAGCTGGTGGCTGCCGTGTGCGGGCATGTCGGCGAGCCTGTCCTCCTGACGCTAATGTCCTGGCCGCTGCCGTATTGGCTCGTCTTTGTCACACGCAGGCGCAGCTCCACGCGGTCTGGGTACATGGTCGCATCGCTGTACTCAAGGCCGGCGCCCCGTGCCGTGAAGGTGTACTCGTTGACTCTGAGCAGCCCGTGGAAGGCCAGAGTCACGGCGCTCCAGAGCATGGCGCGGTTGTGCGGGCTAGGCACGGTGGACTGCAGGTAGTGCTGTACGCCAGCCAGATCGTCCAAAGTTGCGGCCCGCGTCGTCAACTGCTGAAGGGTGGACTGCGCTGGTTGTGTCGGCACTGCGTCGGCAGTTGGGCTGCGAGTCCAGAAGCGTCGACAACCTGACCCAAACAGGATTTATCTACATTACTATTACACTACAATTGATGTGAGTGCCGTCCAATGCGGCTGCCCATTAGCATAGTGGGCAATGCGCTCAACGTACCGGATAGGGAACAATGCTGCTGGCACTGATCAGTCACTGGGTATGGCTTGCCCTAGTGCGGGGTGACAAGCGTTCGGAGCGCTGCAGCGAAGCGTATGTTGTGCTGGAGCTGCCCGCCAGGCCCTGGCGGATGAGGTCCATGGTTGCGTCATCAACTGCTGAAGGGTGGACTGCGCTGGTTGTGCCGGCACCGCTTCGGCAGTTGGGCTGCAAGTCCAGACGCGCTGACAACCGGACCCAGACAGGATTTATCTGCATTACTATTACACTGCAATTTATGTGAGTGCCGTCCAATGCGGCTGCCCATTAGCGTAGTGGGCGATGTGCTCGAAGTACAGGATCTGGAACAATGCTGCCGGCACTGATCAGTCCCTGAGGTTGGCTTGCCCTGGCGCAGGGCGACAAGCGTTCGGAGTGCTGCGGCGAAGCGCATGCCATGCTTGAGCTGTCCGCCAGGCCCTGGCGGATGAGGTCCATGGTTGCGTCGTCAACTGCTGGAGGGTGGACTGCGCTGGTTGTGTCGGCACCACTTCGGCAGTTGGGATGCGAGTCCGGCAGCGCTGACAACCTGACCCAAACAGGATTTATCTGCATTACTATTACGCTGCATTTGATGTGAGTGCCGTCCAATGCGGCTAGCCATTAGCACAGTGGGCAATGCACTCAAAGTACAGGATCTGGAACAATGCTGCCGGCACTGATCAGTCCCTGAGTGTGGCTTGCCCTGGCGCAGGGCGACAAGTGTTCGGAGCGCGGCAGCGAAGCGCATGTTATGCTGGAACTGGCCGCCAGGCCCTGGCGGGTGAGGTCCATGGTTGCGTCGTCAACTGCTGGAGGGTGGACTGTGCAGGGTGTGTCAGCACTGCGTCGGTAGATGGGCTGAGAGTCCGGAAGCGCTGTACTCGAAGACGAGTAAGAGACTTAGCAGGATCATTGCAGAGTCGCCGTTGGGCTGAGAGTCCACATCAGCCGGTCTGTTGAACGGAAGGGGGAGGATCTAAGGCCAAATGGTGGTGCCTTATCTACATGGTACGAACCTTCCAAAAAATGCCAAGCCGGGGCCAGACATGAGGGGAAACAGACCAAAGCCGCCAGGCATACTTCGTGTCAGCTTTAGAGAGGAGAGCTCAGCATCAGGGACCTAAATTTCCGAGCCATCTTCAAGATTATGGGCTGGTGCGAAAACAGCTCCGGGGGCCCTGGAGGGGTGTGCTGCTGCGTCAGTCGCACAATACGTGCTCCAAGCGTCGCGAACCTCCTCCCGACTAAAGTCTCCCAGGCCAGGGATGGGGCTGCAGTTGCCTCGGCTAGGTTCTGCTCCGCTGCCGGAGCGGCCAAGTCCTCGCGTACAGTAGTCTGGAGCCAACTTCAACTCGAGCAGGCGAGTCCGCGGAGTAGGTTTTGTTCCTGTCGGGTCTAAATAATTGCGGGATGCCAGTGCGTTTCGCAGCTCAGCAGAGCGCATTTTGGCTGGACATCGCTCACTGACAGACACATGGTTGATCGGATATTGATCAGAAACTGGCCGCGATTGTCAAACAATTTGACCGTCAAGGCAGCAAAGCAAAGAGCGTTATGGCTGGACATCGCTCACTGACAGAGACATGGTTGATCGAATATTGATCAGAAACTGGCCGCGATTGTCAAACAATTTGACCGTCGCTGCGTCAGCGCAGCAAAGCAAACGGAGCGTTTTGGCTGGACATCGCTCACTGACAGAGACCTGGTTGATCGGATATTGATCAGAAACTGGCCGCGATAGTCAAACAATTTGACCGTCAGCACAGCAAAGCGAAGAGCAAGCTCAAAAACTGGCCAAGGTTGTCAAGCGATCTGACTGTTGGCGCAGCAAGGATGAAGAAGAAGCAGCATCGAGAGCCGGAGTAATGCGCATGCTCCGCGTGGTCCCGTGCCGGGGCGCGGGAGTTCGGAGTGCGTGTTCTGCACGGGCACGTGATGCGCTATGGCAAGTACGTGCAAATTATGTTAGGAATGTAATTGTTGGTGGGTTGCTAACTTCACTTACCGTGCCATGCACGGAAACTTATATTTGCTCAACCACATGGTGAACCTATGGCCCAGTATGGGACTACTTTGGAAGTATGAGCAACCGCATACACAGCAGCACTACGTAACATGTATGATGATCTTCCTGGCTATGCGCACATGCATATGATACGTCACACTATATTTATCGTGTGTAAGAAATATCGGAAATAAGAATAGAAAGTCGTTTTTCAAACACCCACACTATAACCGATCCCTACTGTATGTCAAAATGCTCCCATGCAGATCAATCTTGAGGAACGCTTGCAGAGTTGCGCTATGGACCTTAGATACAGATGTCACGGATACTGAACTGACCAGCACAGCCTGCTCATGCAAACTGACCTGACCAGTACAGTGTACAGGGAACTTCGAATCATACACTTTGCTTACTTCGAATTATCAGCACAAATCCCACACATTTTCTATGTAAGTGGAATCCGTGGAACTTCAAATTAACCGGACATGTCCGGTTCGAGGTTCGAATTATCAGAAAAAGCTTATGTGGGAATCGTATTGACAGAATCGGTCCTGTAAAAACTTTAAATTAAGCGGTATGTTCGAATTAAGCCATATTCGAATTATCAAGATTCCACCTGTATCTGACACTTCCCTTGCAGCAGGATTGCACACGGGAACCGGGAAGAAGCAAAGCTTACCTATCTCCAAGACGGGTTCAATGAAAGCTGTGAACCCTTTCAGGCCTGTCATGCCTTTGCAGTCTCTTCTCCGTCTGATGTAGTCAAACGCGCCTGGGAAGCGTTTGAAGACCTTCAGCCGAATGAAGCGAGCATCAATGGTTAGAGTCTGCCTCTGTTGACCATTTACAAGTTCGCGGAAGACCGTCCAGACTCCATCATCATGCCTGCCAACACCATTCATATGACGGAATCAGAAAACAATTCACAGTTTAAAAACAAAATGAACCTAGGGTTGCCGCATCATGCTGAGGCACTGTGACCAGCAGAACTACCAGCAGCACAGCATGTACATCCGGCAAGGCGGCAACTAACAATCAGTCAACCTGTCATAATACCAATATTCAATTGGGTTCAGATGAGCTAAAACCAATATACTGAATACACGGCCAGGTTGTTTCAACTCTGAACATAAAGTGGAAAGCCGAGGTACACAAGTTGATTACTGACTTGTAAGTCACACCGATGTATGTTTTGAAAGTATGCGGCAGGATTCAGATCGGTACAGTCGGCGCAACTCAAACCAATCTCATTTCACTCTTCAACCATTTCCAGTGTATCTTTACAATACACGCACTGTACATTGCGTTGTTTACGATGACAAGGATACACGCACCGTACACTGCGTTGTTTACGATGACAAGGATACTTAACACATACAGTTAGGCGGTGTTTACATGAAGCGTTTCAACCCGGGTTGAGTTCGACCCGGGTCAGATTTCAACCCGCCATGTGCACAAAATGAATGGCGCGTTTACATGACGCATGGCGCTTGACCCGGGTTGAAATTTCGCCCCGGGTTGATTTCAACCCTCCCCCCAAGGGGAGGGTTGAAATCAACCCGGGTCAAGAAAATCGTACAAACGTACTTCTGTGCGTATCTCGCGCCAGGTTTGAACAGCACTGTACATGCAAATTTCGCGCGAACGGATTCACGTGACTATGCGGAACTGTAGAAGTGGACTTTTGGCGGCATATCAGTATTTGACCCGGGTCAACTGTCTTCGTGTAAACGCTCACCTCTTTTGTCTATCGTACAGACTTTCAACCCGGGCTGAACTCGACCCGGGTTGAAATTTCTCATGTAAACACAGCCTAAAACCTGCTTTCAACGACTATTTTTTCCATGCACGAACAGTTAGTTCTACACAGAAACTGCACCGGGTACAGCGGCCACCTGCCTTGCGCGACCAGCGCCGGGCTTAGACCTCACCGGGCATAGACACCCCGGAAAATGTGGTACGGTGTATAACAATGGCATTTTTGTGAATCCAGAGGTCGAAGGGTCAGAAAGGTGGCCGGTAGAAAGGGAGTTTCCTTGTGTGTGCCATATTCCGTACCTCTTTCTCTCAATCTTCAGGGCATAGGTTGAGTTAAGCAGCACTTGGCTCAGATCAAGACGCAGGTGAGTGAAGTTAACCTGTCGCTGGTAGCTATCCAGAGTGGGAGTGAAGGCAAAGTTCTCACAGTATCCGTCGTTGCACTTCCTGTCTGGAAAGCGCAGCGTAGCACACGCTCCCACGCGGTCCTTGGCACAAGTCAGTTTGACACCTGCATACAGGTTTCGGTAAAAGTGCAAAACAACAATGAACCCCAGCAACACATTGCAGCACATTGCAGCAGTTCGCAGCAGATTATGCAAGGAATGTTGCAGCAGATATTGCGGCACTGCTTGCACAACAACATCGCGCGAACATCTGTCGTGAACACCTGCCATCACGGAAGGTGTTGCAGCACTTTGCACCACTTTCCAAAAGTGACATTGCAACGTGACATTTCAGTACATGAACAAAACGCAACTGGAAGCAAGCAACAGCAGTGTGATGGATGAGTTCTGTGCTGCACCGTCAACGTGTCGCAAACTGAACATGTTTTGCAGGACATGACAGTCACAGGGAAAATGGCTGCAGTCATCACGTGCACAGCAGAGAAATACCATACGGTGTTTGTTGTCCACTGCTCCAGAGCCTACTAGTACTAGTATCTCCTGTCCAGTGATATCTCTTAGTACATGCCCTAGCATAGGAGTACAAGTTGGTGTACAGCGTGACCCTGCCAAGCTCACTTCCCTGGCACATACCTCCTCCGAGGCTCCAACATGCAGGGTCCCTTACCAGCTTCTGGCACTACTTATGTCTCATCATCGGCAGTATGTAGGTCCGGCAGAATGTAACCAGCAGCAGCATGTACTAGTGTAACCCCCAGCACTATGTAGCCCCAGCACTATGTAGCCCCCAGCACTATGTAACCCCCAACACTATGTAGCCCCCAGCACTATGTAGCCCCCAGCACTATGTAACCCCCAGCACTATGTAGCCCCCAGCACTATGTAGCCCCCAGCACTATGTAACCCCAGCACTATGTAACCCCCAGAACTATGTGGCCCCCAGCACTATGTAGCCCCCAGCACTATGTAACCCCCAGCACTATGTAGCCCCCAGCACTATGTAACCCCCAGCACTATGTAGCCACCAGCACTATGTAGCCACCAGCACTATGTAGCCCCCAGCACTATGTAGCCCCCAGCACTATGTAACCCCCAGCACTATGTAACCCCCAGCACTATGTAACCCCCAGCACTATGTAACCCCCAGCACTATGTAACCCCCAGCACTATGTAACCCCCAGCACTATGTAACCCCCAGCACTATGTAACCCCCAGCACTATGTAACCCCCAGCACTATGTAACCCCCAGCACTATGTAACCCCCAGCACTATGTAACCCCCAGCACTATGTAACCCCCAGCACTATGTAACCCCCAGCACTATGTAACCCCCAGCACTATGTAACCCCCAGCACTATGTAACCCCCAGCACTATGTAGCCACCAGCACTATGTAACCCCCAGCACTATGTAACCCCCAGCACTATGTAACCCCCAGCACTATGTAACCCCCAGCACTATGTAACCCCCAGCACTATGTAACCCCCAGCACTATGTAACCCCCAGCACTATGTAACCCCCAGCACTATGTAACCCCCAGCCCCCAGCAGTATGTACATGTAGGTTCGGCATCATATCACCACCAGCAGCATATCACCACCAGCAGCATATCACCACCAGCAGCATATCACCACCAGCAGCATATCACCACCAGGAGCATATCACCACCAGCAGCATATCACCACCAGCAGCATAATCACCACCAGCAGCATATCACCACCAGCAGCATAATCACCACCAGCAGCATATCACCACCAGCAGCATATATCCACCAGCAGTATGTAGCCCGTATTTTAAGGACATCGCCTTTGCTCTAGTCCTACTCTCTTCTGTCATGTCACTCATCTCTGTTTGTTTGTCGTTCCCTTTGCACCTTTCCAGCAGGACCGCTGTGTTTTCATGTATTTAAAAAAAAAAAAAGAGAATAGAGAATGTGTCACTTACATCGCGGCTGAGAAGAGTAGTGATGGTGACAGATACACCGCAGCGCCAGGTCAGAAGAACATTGTCCGAATTGTAGCATGTTATGATATGCAACACACGACACGGGAGAGCACAGCCGCACAGCAACACAACAAGTGCACCACCAACTGTTACAGCAGCCAAACAAGCACCTGTGCACTCTTAGTTTGATAGTGTGTGTTTAAATTAAAAATACAAAAACATTGATCATGCATTGTTGAAAGCTGTGCCGGACCAAGATAGTCTAACTCTAAGTGATCCGTGATGTATTGTTGAAAGCTGTGCCGGACCAAGATAGTCTAACTCTAAGTGATCCGTGATGTATTGTTGAAAGCTGTGCCGGACCAAGATAGTCTAACTCTAAGTGATCCATGATGTATTGTTGAAAGCTGTGGACCAAGATAGTCTAACTCTAAGTGATCCGTGATGTATTGTTGAAAGCTGTGCCGGACCAAGATAGTCTAACTCTAAGTGATCCGTGATGTATTGTTGAAAGCTGTGCCGGACCAAGATAGTCTAACTCTAAGTGATCCGTGATGTATTGTTGAAAGCTGTGCCGGACCAAGATAGTCTAACTCTAAGTGATCCGTGATGTATTGTTGAAAGCTGTGGAAGTCCAAGGCAGTCTCGCTGCTTGCAGATATGTTGAAGATAACAACATACTTGAAGCACATCACTATGTAGTGCAGTGCCATGCATGCGTAGCCCATGCACAGCACATGCACAGCACCTGTATATCACATGCGTAGCCCATGCACAGCACATGCACAGCACCTGTATATCACATGCGTAGCCCATGCACAGCACATGCACAGCACCTGTATATCACATGCGTAGCCCATGCACAGCACATGCACTGCACCTGTATATCACATGCGTAGCCCATGCACAGCACATGCACAGCACCTGTATATCACATGCACAGCACCTGTATATCACATGCACAGCACATGCACAGCACATGCACAGCACATGCACAGCACCTGTATATCACATGCGTAGCCCATGCACAGCACATGCACAGCACCTGTATATCACATGCGTAGCCCATGCACAGCACATGCACAGCACCTGCATATCACATGCGTGGCCCATGCACAGCGCATGAGCAGCACACTGATGCACAGAAGACTGCACACCGTGCCGGGCATGTACTTACCAGGATGGATACGCTGGGGTTGGTGTGTCGCCACGTGAAGCCACCTGCACTGACGGAGCAAGACAAGGCACCAGCTCCACCACTGGTTGCTGTGACTTCAAACACAATCTCATGTCGGCCTGCAAGCAATATGTTGACGGACTTGCTGCGCGCAGAAATTCTCATGGGGATGTTTGAAGGGTTTTCCAGTTGCACTGTAGCCTTCAGCAAAGAACACATGAATAGCAAGGCAGCACCAGTGCAGCATGCAGTAAAGAACACATGGATAGCAAAGTAACACGAGCATGCAGCAGATTGAAATACTCTTTTTTAAATGTAGAAATCAGCAGAAGAATCTATACAAGACTCTAGGCTGTGCACCGGAAAAGCTAAAACATACTAGAAAAGTGGCTTCCAGTTCAAGTGGCAGTGGCAGTCACGAACTAAACAGCAGATATACAGTGACTATACACACACATGCACATACGAGCACATATGCTTGCACACATCCTCAGACCTCAGACCCGCACATCGCGGAAGCGATGTCATAGCAACTTGTGCTGGGATTACACCATTCAACAGCTTGCAAGGCTGATGAATCGACCGCCACTAATTTTAGCCTGGTCTACACCAGGGAGACGTCAATTTATATTTGTCGACTCCTTGGTCTACACCATACGGCTGATTGAAGCGGCTTTTTCTGGCCAGTGAATCCCTTTTTTTCATTTTTTTTCATTCCTTCTTCATTTTTTGACACACACCCACACCACACCACATACTCATGCATGCACTGGGCTCTTGGTAACCAGTTAACCACCCATGAGAATGAAAGAAGAGCTAGGAGAATGAGAAAGAGAAAAAAGACGTGTGTGACCATACTCGTCTGGAATACGTACGTACGTACACACACACACACCTCAGACCTCAGACCTGCCCATTGCGGAAGCGATGATAGCGAACAGCTATGTTAGACATAGCAACTTGTGCTGGGATTACACCATTCAACAGCTTGCAAGGCTGATGAATTGACCGCCACTATTTTTAGCCTGGTATCCACCACACAGCTGATTGAAGTGACTTTTTCTGGCCAGTGAATCCCTATTTTTCATTTTTCCATTTTTTTCTTTTTTCTTTTTTTCTACACACACACCACACCACATACTCCGGCATACACTGGCTGTTGGTAACCACCCAGGAGAATGAAAGAAAAGTCAGGAAGAGACCGAGAAAGAGAAGAAAGACGTGTGCGACCATAATCGTCGGGAATTGAACCCGCAACCTCTCGATTGGAAATCGACTGCACGTACCACTGCACCATATGGGACACACACACACACACACACGCACGCACACACACACACACACACACACACACACACACACACACACACACACACACACACACACACATGCACATACACACATACAAACATACACACATACATACAAACATACACACATACATACATACAAACATACACACATACACACATACACACACACACACACACACACACACACACACACACACACACATACACACACACACACACACACACACACACACACACACACACACACACACACACACACATACACATATACACACACACACACACACACACACACACACACACACACACACACTAAAAACTTCACCATGAGCAAATCAGTGCACTGCCAGCGCAAAATTGTCAAAACCTTACCCGCAGTCCATGAAGATTGACCACCTTGGTTTGTACATTACAGGTCACCAGTCCCTGTACACCTCCACGCAGTGTCTGTTGTGGCAAGTCCAATCTCACCAGGATATCAGCAGGTGCGGGCAGTTTACCTTGAACGCTGACCAAGTTACTAAACTTGACACCGGCTGTAGTTCGTGCCACTGCTTGTAATACGAATGACCCAAACACCATTGGGAAGCTGGCGTTGATCGTAGCTTCACCGCTGCTCCTGTCACCGTTGCACCAGCGCAGAAGTGCAAACATAGAACATACGCAAGTCATACCAAGTTTTCATGATGCCAGAAGAGAAAAAGGAACAGTCAGGTCACACTGATTTTGTAATGCATCTCCACTGATGCCGAGAACCAAGAGTACGTAACGATGCCGAGAACCAAGAGTACGTAACGATGCCGAGACTGACCAAGAGTACGTAACGATGCCGAGAACCAAGAGTACGTAACCATGGTAACGCAAAGAATGTGCGATTGCCTGTACATCCTGCAGCCAGTGCTGGAACTGCGGAGTTTTACATCACATGACATGGTTCAAATCGTTACACCGGCAAACAACTTGAAACAATGCAAATGCAAAGTGCACAGTGAACAGTCCACCACTCTGTAGCTGGTCTATACACAGTGAACAGTCCACCACTCTGCAGCTGATCTATATCCAATACACAGTGAACAGTCTACCACTCTGTAGCTGATCTATACACAGTGAACAATCTACCACTCTGTAGCTGGTCTATATCCAGTACACAGTGAACAGTCCACCACTCTGTAGCTGGTCTATAGACAATGAACAGTCCACCACTCTGTAGCCGGTATATACACAGTGAACAGTCTACCACTCTGTAGCTGGTCTATATCCAGTACACAGTGAACAGTGCATACTATGTGTACACAATGCACTGGTAAAATTCCCCTATGTACTAGAGATGCATATGACTGAGTCAAACAACACATTGCCAAACACATACCCTAGTTTCACAGCTCTGGGGAACCAGGAGTTATCTGCAGGTGATGACACATCCCAGGTTGGCTTCATCTCATCTTCAACAGACCAAAACAGACAGCAAATATCGACACCGCAAAAGATGTGTCATTTCAATAGTAACATGATTGTGTGCCTATGATACGAAATAAGGGTGAAGGAGTATAATATTTGGTCGCTCTCCACACTGGAGCTCGCGCTTTCCCCGCTGACTTGACTTGACACTTGACTGACTCACAACTGCCATCCAGAACACATGACAAGTCCATCGAACCTCGGACTTGGCAAACCTGCAAGAAAGCACTATTCCCTGCTCAATACACAGTGTTTCGGAGGAATTAGCCCTTCAGCAGCTGAGATTGAGTAGGCTGAGGAAGATTGTGTCTGAAGAGCACCACTTATAGTGCTCTCCAGGCCAAACAATCTCCAGGGATACAAACTTACAGAGACACTCTATTTCCAGAGCGACAAAACCTCGCAAAACACCAGATAGCAGCGTGAGTCAGTGTCACGCATGGCTTGCTAGAACAAGCACAAGCTCCAGTGTGGGGAGCAACTACCTTTCCTCGGAGACTATTTCCGAAGAATTTGCTACCACCGCAGTATTTCGTGAATGAGTACGTACATTAAATGCCCAAATGCTCGATAAAGAATTTGAAATGAGTGAGTACTTATTTCGAAAACACTTTGAAGTACTCAACGCCGCAATGACTATGTGTGCACACATACACGGCGAATACACTGGTAAGTAGATATAATACACTGGTAAGTAGATATAATCTATTCAGTACGATAGCGAGAGTTCCCAGATTACCTAGAGTGCTTAATCCACAAGGATGGAGCAACACAACAAAGGCAGAAGAGAACAAAGACAACCGGCTAGGACATTGTTGTAACGCTGGGTTTCATGGACAGAGCAATACAAAGGCAATCCTCAGACAACTGATAACCTGCACATCATCTCGGTCCAAATTTATACCCAGCCAGGTAGCAAAGCAAGGCGCGCAAAGGTACTAAAGCGCGCAAAGCAGGTAGCAAGGCTTGCAAAGGTAGCAAAGCGCGACCATTAGTGAGACATTTCAAGTAACACGTTAGTTAGGGAGACATGTAAAAACTGACACCATCCACACCATGTCTCACTAACTAACGTGTTACTTGAAATGTTACACTAACTAACGTGTTACTTGAAATGTTACACTAATGTCGCGCTTTGCTACCTGCTTTGCGCGCCTTGCTACCTGCTTTGCGCGCTTTGCTTTGCTACATGCCTGGGACTGGGTATAAATTTGGACCCAGATGATGTACTTGAACAGATTATCAGTTGTCTGAGGATTGAGCCTGGTTGATTCCTCCCTGTCTGAGCCTGGTTGACTCCTCCCTGTCTGAGCCTGGTTGACTCCTCCCTGTCTGAGCCTGGTTGACTACTCCCTGTCTGAGCCTGGTTGACTCATCCCTGTCTGAGCCTGGTTGACTCCTCCCTGTCTGAGCCTGGTTGACTCCTCCCTGTCTGAGCCTGGTTGACTCTTCCCTGTCTGAGCCTGGTTGACTCCGCCCTGCCTGAGCCTGGTTGACTCCTCCCTGTCTGAGCCTGGTTGACTCCTCCATGTCTGAGCCTGGTTGACTCCTCTCTGCCTGAGCCTGGTTCACTGCTCCCTGCCTGAGCCTGGTTCACTACTCCATATCTCTGCCTGGTTGACTACTCCCTGGCTGACCCTGGTTGACTACTCCCTGCCTAGCCTGGTTCACAACTCCCTGCCTAGCCTGGTTCACTACTCCCTGCCTGAGCCTGGTTCACTACTCCCTGCCTGAGCCTGGTTGACTCCTCCCTGTCTGAGCCTGGTTGACTCCTCCCTGTCTGAGCCTGGTTCACTACTCCCTGCCTAGCCTGGTTCACTACTCCCTGCCTAGCCTGGTTCACCACTCCCTGCGTAGCCTGGTTCACTACTCCCTGGCTGACCCTGGTTCCGTTTGACTTGAAGTGGAGAACAAGTACAACATTGTGGGCTGTGAACAAGAGTAAAAGAAATGTTGTCAGGAGGTGATGGTTGTTGTACCACGAAGCATGAAACGAGTAGTCTCCGTTAGTTCCATTCCACCAATATTCCTTTCAAAGCAAGCAAAACATCATCCGTTTGTGTGCGCGTCATTTCCGTCCAGCTGTCGGCAAGTCTGCTACTTGCAAAGTTTGCAAGCCGAACTGGGCGTCTCTTACACGGGTATGACTAATCAGTGCAAAGCTATCCGAGAGATGGACATGGGATAGTCAGCGGCAGCCTCCCTTCTCATTGTCATCATCGAAAGACCAGTGAGTGAGTGAGCATGGGCGCAATACACGGTACGGTCACTACGGTATTGACCACACCACATTTTGCCCCAGGTACCCCTAGAGACTCGGCATTCGCCTGGGCACGCTTAGAGGCCTTAATCAGCTGCGGCAGTTGGCAGGGGATAAGTCACAGTGGAATGGCACCCCGCGGCACTCATCTTCCTCTGCCGAGCCGCGTCCTTGACTTATCCCCTGCAGCGTGAACATCACGAACAGTCTACCGTCTTTCTGACATTGCCACTCGAACTTGACAATAGAAGCAGCTTTCCGTATGTGCAGTTACATTGAGCCATGGTGTTTTTATTCCCGTAGCTATGCAGAAGACGTTACTTCAGTAACGTCTGGCGCTAGCCAGGGTCCACACAGCTTTAATTTGGTGTTTGTTTGTTTGTGTGTTTGTGTGTTTGTGTCACGCCTGGCGCTATCCCGTATCTGTCCCGTACCGTACCGTACCATCAAACACAGCTGGCCACATACAGCTGGCCGCACTATTCAAATAGGGCTTTCAAACGCAAGATCATAACGAGAAGCAACTTGGAAGAATGAGTATGAATGCGAAGTGTATGGGGGAATGCATGTAGGGCGATAATGCGGGTTCGAATCCCAGGTAGTGCCTGAAAAAAAAGAAAATTGAAAAATTTATAACATCCCTATTCTTTTTTTTGCCGTCATCAAGGCGGTAGATGGTGTCGTATTACCCTCGACCGTTCCTGTCCTGTACCTGGCCCGTACATGTCCCGTACCTGTCCCGTACCGTACCGTGCAATCAAAGACGGCTGGCCACAATGCATATTCAAATAGGGCTTTCAAATACAAGATCATAACGTGAAGCAACTTGGAAGAATTAGTATGTATGCGAAGTGTATCGGGGGATGCATGCAGGGCGATAGTGCGGGTTCGAATCCCAGGTTATGTCTAAAACAAAAAGTAGAAATTTATAAGAATTTATAACATCCCTATGCTTTTTTTTGTCTAGGTCATCAAGGCAAAAAAGCATAGCGTAGGGCCCTGAGCTTCCAAGCTCTCTCGTCTTATTTTTGTGAATCCTTCCCGGAAGCAAATGCTGGTTTTTATACATTCGTGTGATTACTCAGCGTTATTTGCAATAATAATGACCCCTAGAACCAATAATTATAATACACTGATTTGGGCTCTAAAGTACCAACATTTTCGTCTCAGCCACCCTCTCCCACGAGTAAATTATACTTACAGTTGTTTGACCGTCCACCCTAAAATACCTTCCGACGCCCCTGGACTGAGTGAATGAGTAAATGAGTAGTGACCTGATCGTGACTACGTGGAACTCAGAGTTGCAACACAGCTTCCCCCCTCTCTCTCTCTCTCTCTCTCTCTCTCTCTCTCTCTCTTGTGTGGAAGGCTCTGCCCAATATAAGTATTGAGCACTCTTCGAACAGTGGAGCATGCTACTTAATTACGTATGAGAAGTGACAATGATATTAACACAGCATTCAACACACTACTGAATGCAACATGCAGTGCCGCACTAGACCACAGTGCCGCACTAGACCACAGTGCCGCACTAGACCACAGTGCCGCACTAGACCGCAGTGCTGTACTCACCTTCAGCTAGGCTCGGTTGTAGAGCACAGCTGCCACCTGAGCAAAACAGCACAGGGCATTTGACAAGAGCACACCTCAGTGGTATGGTAAGTACACGTCACCTGTATTGTGTGCAGAGCATTGCAACCATACCTAGCATGCAAAGCATGCCAGTCTGACAGTCTAGCCCAGTAGTGAGATGTCCATGGCATGCTGATCAGAGCAGCTTCAGTCACGACAGGAAGCTGCACCTCACACCGCCCTATTGTCACTGTTTTACGCTTTGTTATTATCTTACAGCTACTTCGAAGTAACACTCTGGTCACAATGCAGGGAACACATGGACACTGGTGCCTCTTGTAATAGTCAGAAATTCAACAAGAAAGATAGAAGACTAATCCAGATCCAAAGAAAAGCAGGACAAAAGCCGAAAAAGCCGCAGAAGTGGTGATGGTCGTGGCAGCAGCAGTAGCAGCCGCCACAACAGCAGCAGCAGCAGCAGCAGCAGCAGCAGCAACAGCAGCAGCGGCGGCGGCATCAGCAACAGTAGAATGCAACATAGGTGTAATACCTTTGTGACTGGCTTGGTTGCCTTCCACTCTCACAGCATAGTCGGATGTATGTGCATACACAATCTTTGTATTCTATAATCACAAAGTGTTAACACCAGCATAATGGTCAAGTCAGGTAGACCTCCACTCCTCCCCCTCCTCCCTCATCGCTCTCCCTTTCTCTCCCCACTCAGGCATACCAGGCTGGTAAAGTAAGCAGCAAATGGGCAAACAGTTGAACTGCTCTGACCTTTGCAAGACACACCAGCTCACTGGATAAGGGGCGTCGGATACACTGCGGTCACTGTTATTGACTGTACCCCTTTGTTTGCCCCAGCATGCATGCAATGCATTAATCCGGACTCTAAATTTCTGAATTTTCCAGCAGAGCCCCCCCCCCCCAGCACTTCAGACGGTTAACCGTAAAATATGTTCCAGCACCCTCAGGGTTATCCCTACTTGTAGTATAAAATATGTTCCAGCACCCTCAGGGTTATCCCTACTTGTAGTATAAAATATGTTCCAGCACCCTCAGGGTTATCCCTACTTGTAGTATGAAGCTACATGTACCAACCACGCATGCCGGCGTTGTGCAGCGTTATGCAGGATTGTGCCGGGTCATGGTTAGAAGTTAGAACAATCATGCTCATGTACACATAGTAGATCGGGAAGAAAACAGTGTGCATGTCATATGTGCATGTCATACGTGTATGTCATATGTGTATGTCATTATGTGTATGTCATAATGTGTATGTTTTCAAAGAAAATCACAGTCTATGTAGCATTGCTCTCCACTCTACTGGGATCATTGCTCTCTACTGGAATCATTGCTCTCCACTGGGATCATTGCTCTCTACTGGAATCATTGCTCTCTACTGGGATCATTGCTCTCTACTGGGATCATTGCTCTCCACTGGGATCATTGCTCTCCACTGGGATCATTGCTCTCTACTGGGATCATTGCTCTCCACTGGGATCATTGCTCTCCACTGGGATCATTGCTCTCCACTGGGATCATTGCTCTCCACTGGGATCATTGCTCTCCACTGGGATCATTGCTCTCCACTGGGATCATTGCTCTCCACTGGGATCATTGCTCTCTACTGGGATCATTGCTCTCTACTGGGATCATTGCTCTCCACTGGAATCATTGCTCTCCACTGGAATCATTGCTCTCCACTGGGATCATTGCTCTCTACTGGGATCATTGCTCTCCACTGGGATCATTGCTCTCCACTGGGATCATTGCTCTCCACTGGGATCATTGCTCTCTACTGGGATCATTGCTCTCCACTGGGATCATTGCTCTCCACTGGGATCATTGCTCTCCACTGGGATCATTGCTCTCCACTGGGATCATTGCTCTCCACTGGGATCATTGCTCTCCACTGGGATCATTGCTCTCCACTGGGATCATTGCTCTCCACTGGGATCATTGCTCTCCACTGGGATCATTGCTCTCCACTCGGATCATTGTTCTCTACTGGGATCATTGCTCTCTACTGGGATCATTGCTCTCCACTGGGATCATTGCTCTCCACTGGGATCATTGCTCTACACTGGGATCATTGCTCTCCACTGGGATCATTGCTCTCTACTGGGATCATTGCTCTCTACTGGGATCATTGCTCTCCACTGGGATCATTGCTCTCCACTGGGATCATTGCTCTCCACTGGGATCATTGCTCTCCACTGGGATCATTGCTCTCTACTGGGATCATTGCTCTCCACTGGGATCATTGCTCTCTACTGGGATCATTGCTCTCTACTGGGATCATTGCTCTCTACTGGGATCATTGCTCTCCACTGGGATCATTGCTCTCCACTGGGATCATTGCTCTCCACTGGGATCATTGCTCTCTACTGGGATCATTGCTCTCTACTGGGATCATTGCTCTCTACTGGGATCATTGCTCTCTACTGGGATCATTGCTCTCCACTGGAATCATTGCTCTCCACTGGAATCATTGCTCTCCACTGGGATCATTGCTCTCTACTGGGATCATTGCTCTCTACTGGGATCATTGCTCTCTACTGGGATCATTGCTCTCTACTGGGATCATTGCTCTCCACTGGGATCATTGCTCTCCACTAGGATCATTGCTCTCCACTGGGATCATTGCTCTCCACTGGGATCATTGCTGTCTACTGGGATCATTGCTCTCCACTGGGATCATTGCTCTCCACTGGGATCATTGCTCTCTACTGGAATCATTGCTCTCTACTGGGATCATTGCTCTCCACTGGGATCATTGCTCTCTACTGGGATCATTGCCCTCCACTGGGATCATTGCTCTCTACTGGGATCATTGCTCTCCACTGGGATCATTGCTCTCCACTGGGATCATTGCTCTCTACTGGGATCATTGCTCTCCACTGGGATCATTGCTCTCCACTGGGATCATTGCTCTCCACTGGGATCATTGCTCTCCACTGGGATCATTGCTCAGTCTCTACTGGGATCATTGCTCTCCACTGGGATCATTGCTCTCCACTGGGATCATTGCTCTCCACTGGGATCATTGCTCCCTACTGGGACTGATCATTGCTCTCTACTGGGATCATTGCTCTCTACTGGGATCATTGCACTCCACTGGGATCATTGCTCTCTACTGGGATCATTGCTCTCCACTGGAATCATTGCTCTCTACTGGGATCATTGCTCTCCACTGGGATCATTGCTCTCTACTGGGATCATTGCTCTCTACTGGGATCATTGCTCTCTACTGGGATCATTGCTCTCCACTGGGATCATTGCTCTCCACTGGGATCATTGCTCTCCACTGGGATCATTGCTCTCCACTGGGATCATTGCTCTCTACTGGGATCATTGCTCTCTACTGGGATCATTGCTCTCCACTGGGATCATTGCTCTCTACTGGGATCATTGCTCTCCTCTGGAATCATTGCTCTCTACTGGGATCATTGCTCTCCACTGGGATCATTGGTCTCTACTGGGATCATTGGTCTCTACTGGGATCATTGCTCTCCACTGGGATCATTGCTCTCTACTGGGATCATTGCTCTCCACTGGGATCATTGCTCTCTACTGGGATCATTGCTCTCTACTGGGATCATTGCTCTCTACTGGGATCATTGCTCTCTACTGGGATCATTGCTCTCTACTGGGATCATTGCTCTCCACTGGGATCATTGCTCTCTACTGGGATCATTGCTCTCTACTGGGATCATTGCTCTCCACTGGGATCATTGCTCTCCACTGGGATCATTGCTCTCTACTGGGATCATTGCTCTCCACTGGGATCATTGCTCTCCACTGGGATCATTGCTCTCCACTGGGATCATTGCTCTCTACTGGGATCATTGCTCTCTACTGGGATCATTCTACCAATGACCAACCCACTAACAGCATACTTCTAAACTTACCAAACAGTTTGCTTCCCATTGCTGACCATGTACTTGCTAAACAGAACACAAACAGCAAAAGCAAACACCTGTACTCTAAAGTGTGAGGTTCAAAGCTCCATGCAACCGCGGCATACTTAGTTTAGAGTCATAGTGTAAACTAAAGGGAAGATTTAATGTTGTCCCTGTACATTAGGGAGGGTGCAAGGTGGAGGAGGGGGGGGGGGGGGTGATAGTTCAGAAGACAATTGAAAATGGATAGTATGGCGAACATAAGCTGAGGAAATACATTTTTGAGGCAAAACCTTGGCATTATTTTGAGTAGGATAGTACTGAGTTAGGATAGTGTACGAACGGCACAATGTGTACTAGTATTTCGAGAATGGGAACGGCATAACACGATTGCGATGACCCCTTACGCTGCGTTTAGGAGTTACACTTAGCACACACACTTAGCACACATCCCACTACACTGTACTGGCAGGGCAGGCCCGATGGCAGGGCAGGGCAGGGCCGAGGGCAGGGCAGGGCAGGGCAGGGCAGGGCAGGGCAGGGCAGGGCAGGGCAGGGCAGGGCAGGGCAGGGCAGGGCAGGGCAGGGCAGGTAGAATGCAGTGCCAAGCAACAAAGCAGAGCTGTCACTATCTCTCACCTGCTGACGTAGATCCATGCAGCTGTCATCACCCCGCAAAACGCAGTCTTGCGCAACAGGTCTTGCCGTCACGTAGACATCTGCTCCCTGCGGGGCATGAAGCTTGATATCCACATTACTGCTGGGATAGAACTGAGCTGTATCACCAGAACTCTCCAGCACCACAAAGTTCTGTGGTGTTTAGAACAAGCCACACACACACACACACACGTGCACACACATGAATACACGCATGCATGCACATACTCGCACACATGCGCGCGGACACACGCACACACACACACACATGTGCACACACACAAACACACATGCACATGGGTGCAAACACACACATACACACACACACACACACACACACACATACACACACACATACGCACAGACACACATACGCATACATACACACACCTCAGACCTCAGACATGCCCATCGCGGAAGCGATGATAGCGAACAGCTATGTTAGACATAGCAACTTGTGCTGGGATTACACCATTCAACAGCTTGCAAGGCTGATGAATTGACCGCCACTATTTTTAGCCTGGTATCCACCACACAGCTGTTTGAAGTGACTTTTTCTGGCCAGTGAATCCCTATTTTTCACACACACACACACACACACACACACACACACACACACACACACACACACACACACACACACACACACACATACACACATACACACATACACCTTTGACCTTGACCTTTGACGCCCATCGCCGGAGGCGATGATAGCAATGCTACGGCAGAAGCCATAGCAACTTGTGCTGGGATTGCACCATTCAACAGCTTGCAAGGCTGAAGAACTGACCGTCACTATTCAGCCTGGTCTACACCATACAGCTATTTGAAGTGACTTTTTCTGGACAGTGAATCCCTATTTTTGGTCTTTCTTTTTTTTCCCCGCACACACATCACACCACATACTCCGGCATGCACTGGCTGTTGGTAACCACCCAGGAGAATGAAAGAAAAGTCAGGAAGAGTCTGAGAAAGAGAAGAAAGACGTGTGTGACCATAATCGTCGGGAATCGAACCCGCAACCTATCGATTGGAAATCGATGCACATACACACACACACACACACACACACACACACACACACACACACACACACACACACACACACACAAACATATACACACACACACAAACATATACACATACTAGTAGGCTATATTCCTAGTAGTCGTAACGTCTAAACACTGCGATGCAGCAACATGGAGGGGATGCATGGAAATGCTATCCCAATCCGCTTCCCGCAATTATTGTCTATGTGTTGAGTGGTGCTTGGGGAGCAGGAACAGCAGGCTGCATGGCGCAATCCTTTCACCGTGATAAACTGATAATTATGAGGATTGATATCATATCAACATGATACCAGCTGCAGGCAAAACTCAATTTGTGGACATAGAGAAGTGGCAGTATGTGTGGGACGGGTGTAAACGGCGGGTAGCTAGCAGCATGAGCAAGTCCAGCAATACCACACTGCCGGTCTGTGACCCACCAAATTTTCAGGCCACCTAGCATAGGGTTGCACAACACTCAATCAGGCTTTTCGACGTTTTTCTATGATTTGATCACCGGCCAGGTGCTTACACTGGTACATGCACATGATGGGTAACTTGGTACCCGACTAGATAGTACGCAACCAGCCTATCTCCAATGCATGCAGAATGTGCCATGTGTGTGTGTGGGTGAGGGGGGGGGGGGGGTCCATGCTACAGTGGAGATTGGATATAACGACCTTGGGTATAACAACAAATCGAGTTTAGCGACACAATTCTGCTGCCCAAGTCGTTTAGCAAGTCCTTGCTGTACATTATAGATCGGGTATAACGACCTCGAAAATAACGACAGATCGAATTTACTGACACTTTTCTTGCCCGAAGACCTGAAAAACAGTGAAAATACATCGGATATAACGACTTTCCTCTTGTATCAGGCAGACTGGCATGTCTGGAACATGGTATATGGCTGTGCCACGTGCCCGGACCTCCGGGTCACTCAATTATGTGTGCTTTACATTGCACGTTAACGCGTTGTAGCCGCAGTGCAACGGTGCGGGAAGATCGGGTTTAGTGACAGATTGAATATAGCAACATTTTGCTTTCTCCCGAAGGAGTGTCGTTTTTTCCAATCTCCACTGTATTATTATTAGTTTTAGGTGTCCAACTGGGCCTCATTCCCAAAGTGGTCCGATAAGTGCTTTGACCTTAGCTGCAAGATAATGATGCCCAGCAGGGCATGTACTGGTAGCGCTGGTAGCACTGACCTTACGGACAAGTGACCTGCTATGTGAGCGTGAAACTGTGATTGTACGGTGTGCAAAGGCCATTTCCGACAAGCGCAAACCATGAAGCTGAGCTGCTACTCTTAGAGTGTCCGGGTTGCCTGCCCTCACAGGTATCTTCAGAGCGATTTGTCCGGCTGCATTGAGTTGAACACGACCACTTGATGCATGGATCAAGGAAGGCCCAGAGGAGACCTGTGGATAGGACAATACAAAGGTGAAGTACAGCATCATAAAAACAATAGGCATGTACAATTTCATGAGAGGAAGGTGACCAGCAAGTCAGAAAATGGACCAAACCTAAGTAGGAAGGTGACCAGCAAGTCAGAAAATGGACCAAACCTAAGTAGGAAGGTGACCAGCAAGTCAGAAAATGGACCAAACCTAAGTAGGAAGGTGACCAGCAAGTCAGAAAATGGACCAAACCTAAGTAGGAAGGTGACCAGCAAGTCAGAAAATGGACCAAACCTAAGTAGGAAGGTGACCAGCAAGTCAGAAAATGGACCAAACCTAAGAAGAAAGGTGACCAGCAAGTCAGAAAATGGACCAAACCTAAGTAGGAAGGTGACCAGCAAGTCAGAAAATGGACCAAACCTAAGTAGGAAGGTGACCAGCAAGTCAGAAAATGGACCAAACCTAAGTAGCCTTACACTGTCACAAGGTATAGGGCTACAACCATGGATGCACTGTAGACTGAGATACCTTATACTTACTCCGGAAACACAAAGCGTCGTAACTTTGATTGACTTCTCAGTTCTGGAGCATTTACCTCTGAGGAATCAAGCTATGGTGACTCTGAGTGAGACTCAAACCAATGCCTTTTGTATAATTGTGTGCATATATCCACTCGTTGTTTTGAAGTGTATTTTGTTCCTCTGAACCAAAGCCATGGAGCAAAGGAACTCAGTGAGTCCTTAGAATGTGAAACAAAAGTCACGAAGTTTTTGCTTCTGGAGGGTATAATAAAACTCATTCGTCATGGTCCATCATAAAGCAGGTCATACTGCATCACCATTGTAAGACACAAAAATTAATCAATGATTCAGGAGGACATTGATGACAAAAACGAACCAGACGGTACCTACCTGATAGACAATGTAGCCAAGGAACGGATTGTGACTGACATGAAGCCAAACTACACACGAAGAGCTCCTCTAGATCACAGGTAAAAAGAAAGAGAGCATCAAATCCAAGTCTACACCCGGCTGTGCCAGTCCACATGCCAGTGTTACACACAGGTCTAGGGATGCACAGGCGCGCTGCCCAGCATTGCTGCCCAGCATTGCTGCCCAGCATTGCTGCCCAGCATTGCTGCCCAGCATTGCTGCCCAGCATTGCTGCCCAGCATTGCTGCCCAGCAGTGCTGCCCAGCATTGCTGCCCAGCATTGCTGCCCAGCATTGCTGCATTTGCTGCATTGACTCACTTGATCAGGTTTCACTATCACAGTGTGTTCCGCATGCGTGTTACCAAACACTAACCGTTATGTCACAATGCACAAACTATTAGTTTATAAACTAGTTTATACTCCGATCACTTTCACATGACATCTACCACAACAGGCAGGTGCAGAACTCATAGATGAACTCATAGATGAACTCATAGATGAACTCATAGATACACTCATAGATACACTCATAGATGAACTCATAGATGAACTCATAGATGAACTCATAGATGAACTCATAGATGAACTCATAGATGAACTCATAGATGAACTCATAGATGAACTCATAGATACACTCATAGATGAACTCATAGATGAACTCATAGATGGTTAATAAATGCCGACTGAAAGTGTCATAACAGTGAAGCTGCACACACTGGCCGCACACCGTGACACAACTATCTGAGCCTACTCTGCACTCTGCACTGTATATAACAACTCAGTGTAAACACTGATACCAAGTACTGAAGTACAGTTTTGCCAACGTACACTTACCATGTGTCTGGTGCAGTTCGTCCTGCCAAAATGAATCTGCACCGGTGCATCACCGTTGACTAAAGTGGCCCGTTGAGCTTGCACGGCGTGTCCTAGTGCAGTTACAGACACCTGCATGTAGCCATAAACAAGATATCCACATGACATTCACTTGCGGCTCAGACCGACACGAAGCTGCATGCAGAGTACAGTAGAATAAGCGGGATACCGACACGTTAGCGGGATACCGACATGTTAGCGGGATACCGACACGTTAGCGGGATACCGACACGTTAGCGGGATACCGCCACGTTAGCGGGATACCGACACGTTCGCAGGATACCGACACGTTAGCGGGATGCCGACACATTAGCGGGATGCCGACACGTTAGCGGGATACCGGGACGTTAGCGGGATACCGACACGTTAGCGGGATACCGACATGTTAGCAGGATACCGGCACGTTAGCAAGGCATCGACACGATAGCGAGATACTGACACGTTAGCAGGATACCGACACGTTAGCAAGGCACCGACACGATAGCGGGATACCGACACGTTAGCAAGGCACTGGCACGTTAGTGGTATACCGACACGTTAGCGGGATACCGCCACGTTAGCGGGATACCGACACGTTAGCGGGATACCGACACGTTAGCGGGATACCGACACGTTAGCGGGATACCGACACGTAAGCGGGATACCGACACGTTAGCGGGATACCGACACGTTAGCGGGATACCGACACGTTAGCGGGATACCGACACGTTAGCGGGATACCGACACGTTAGCGGGATATCGACACGTTAGCGGGATATCGACACGTTAGCGGGATACCGACACGTTAGCGGGATACCGACACGTTAGCGGGATACTGACACTTGGCGGGATACCGACACGTTAGCAGGATACAGACACTTTAGCAGGATACTGACACGTTAGCAGGATACCGACACGTTAGCAAGGCACCGACACGATAGCGGGATACCGACACATTAGCAAGGCACCGACACGTTAGCGGGATACCGACATGTTAGCAAGGCACCGACAGGATAGCGGGATACTGACACGTTAGTGGGATACCGACACGTTAGCGGGATACCGACACGTTAGCGGGATACCGACACGTTAGCGGGATACCGACACGTTAGCGGGATACCGACACGTTAGCGGGATACCGACACGTAAGCGGGATACCGACACGTTAGCGGGATACCGACACGTTAGCGGGATACCGACACGTTAGCGGGATACCGACACGTTAGCGGGATACCGACACGTTAGCGGGATATCGACACGTTAGCGGGATATCGACACGTTAGCGGGATACCGACACGTTAGCGGGATACCGACACGTTAGCGGGATACTGACACTTGGCGGGATACCGACACGTTAGCAGGATACAGACACTTTAGCAGGATACTGACACGTTAGCAGGATACCGACACGTTAGCAAGGCACCGACACGATAGCGGGATACCGACACATTAGCAAGGCACCGACACGTTAGCGGGATACCGACATGTTAGCAAGGCACCGACAGGATAGCGGGATACTGACACGTTAGTGGGATACCGACACGTTAACAAGGCACCGCCACGGTAGCGGGGTACTGACACGTTAGCGGGATACCGACACGTTAGCAGGATCCCGAAACAATAGCGGGATACTGACACGTTAGCGGGATACTGACACTTGGCGGGATACCGACACATTAGCAAGGCACCGACACGTTAGCGGGATACCGACACGTTAGCAAGGCACCGACACGTTAGCGGGATACCGACACGTTAGTGCGATACCGACACGTTAACAAGGCACCGACACGATAGCGGGATACTGACACGTTAGCGGGATACTGACACGTTAGCAGGATCCCGACACAATAGCGGGATACTGAGACGTTAGCAGGATACTGACACGTTAGCAGGATACCGACACGTTAGCAAGGCACCGACACGAGAGCGGGATACTGACACGTTAGTGGGATACCGACACGTTAACAAGGCACCGCCACGATAGCGGGATACTGACACGTTAGCGGGATACCGACACGTTAGCGGGATACCGACACGTTAGCAGGATCCCGAAACAATAGCGGGATACTGACACGTTAGCGGGATACTGACACGTTAGCGGGATACCGACACGTTAGCAAGGCACCGACACGTTAGCGGGATACCGACATGTTAGTGGGATACCGACACATTAACAAGGCACCGGCACGATAGCGGGATACTGACACGTTAGCGGGATACCGACACGTTAGCAGGATCCCGACACAATAGCGGGATACTGAGACGTTAGCAGGATACTGACACGTTAGCAGGATACCGACACGTTAGCAAGGCACCGACACGATAGCGGGATACTGACAAGTTACTGTAAGACATGTATATATAACGAGGAAGTAAATCTAACGTTTTAACGGATGACATTTCTTCGTTATAATAAGATTCGTTCAGGCTGTAATGCTTCATATATGTTGTGCGTGGATATGCTTGAATACTGCAAGAGCGTTAACATATCGTCTCGTTAACCTATGAATTTTGGACGATCGTTAAATTTGCGACTCGTTATAATAACATGTCTTACAGTATCAGGATACCGACACGATAGCGGGATACTGACACGCTAGCAGGATACCGACACGTTAGCAGGATACCGACACGTTAGCGGGATACCGACACGTTAGCGGGATACCAATATGCTAGCAGGATACCGGCACGTTAGCGGGGTATCGACACATTCGGACGAGAAATCATTGATAAGGTATCAAGGTAAAACCTACTATTAAAAGTGTTGAATTGATGGACAAATTACAGTCACATAATGTAGTGGAAAAATCTGATAGTCTGAACTGTGCAAGTCTGCCAGTTTGAGAAGGACTTCAGTGTGGTACATGTGCGCATATATGTACCAGGTATTCACAGGTGATAATTGCTTCTAACTGTTTGTCTAACTAAGACAAACCGGAGGACCGAGTCAACGGCATAAGTTACATTTGCATTTTGCAACAATGGACAAGACACTCGGGAACAATGTTTTGATGCACATGGTGTAACTGCAATCATGTTGCTACCAAGACAGTGAGATGTTTGAAATTACCTGAAGAGAATGAGCAGTTCCTGTGCCTTGCTGCGTGATGTAGCAATTTTGTGCGTCAAAGTCACGCGTCGGAATCGTCCGCTGTCTCCTAGCAAACTCAAGGCCATCTCTGAATGCCACAATTCGCAAGGCTGCAACCTGTGGAGCATCCGAGCAACTGCTTGCACATACCTGCAACACCATAAACAAATTGATGAGACTGGAGAGCGCATATTTGCAACCTACTGTATGGTTGAAGACCAAACAATAATCCCCAAGCAATCCCCAAGCTTCAATGCAACGTAATCCAGTTAAAGGGGAAGTAAAGGCTAAAATCTAATTTTCACCAGTTGTACTTTGGGGTGCTGAATCGAATGGTCTTCGTCCAAGGAAGCTGAGACGCACCCTTCCGCCTTTATTCCCAATCAAACACACCACTTCCACCGAAACTGGGTGACTGTGCCCTACTAGATGGGGATTTGTATGCAAAATGTCGCTAAAAGCACCATTTTGTTCTTATAAACGCACGGATGACCGTGATTGGCCCATATGTTGTAGTCTTTTGGACGCCGAGTCGACTGGTTATGGTCCGAGAATGCTGCGATGCAGCGTTCGGCCCTTATTCCCAATCGAACATGGTTGAATAGGCAGTCACCTGGTCACCGTGCCTGCAGGCTACAACTCACTTTGAACTTTCACACCAAGGTTCAACTCGAGTGACAGGAAAGCGCCCAAAGAGGCTGTAAGTTGTACCCTGCAGGCACGGTGACCAGGTGACCGGTGTACGCATGAGCACGTGACCGCTTATTCAACCATGTTCGATTGGGAGTAAGGACCGAACGCTGCATCGCAGCCTTCTCGGATCAAAACCAGTCGACTCGGCGTCCAAAAGACTACAACATATGGGCCAATCGCGATGTTCCGTGCTTTTATAAGAACGAAATGGCGCTTTTAGTGACATTTTGCATACAAATCCCCATCTAGTAGGGCGCAGTCACCCAGTTTCGGTGGAAGTGGCGAGTTCGATTGGGAATAAAGGAGGAAGGGAGCGTCTCAGCTTCCTCGGACCAAGATCATTCGACTCTGCACCCCGAAGACTACAACTGGTGAAAATTCGATTTTAGCCTTTACTTCCCCTCTAAACAATGCAGTGGAGATAAGCTGGTGCTAACTCTCACACCCAGTAGTGTGTCCGGACGTTGGCAAGGACCGACACCATCAGAAGCTCCCAGGGGCGTACATAGGGCGGTTCCCGGGATGCCCGGGAACCAGTAAAAAAACTTCGATATGGCCCATTATGGGTACAGAGAAATTTTTGATCCAGGCCCAGCGCTCGCAGTGCAAGTGCACTAGCGCTATACTATAGCAGCGCAAGTGCATGCAGTGCGAGTCCGCCTGACGGTCCGAGGACGGTGACTGTAGCCCAGGTGTGAAAGTCGTAACAGCGTACTGAACTGGGTTCAACTAGGTACATCGCCGGATTCCTCGATCTCAGTCAGAGTCAAATTTTCCTTTGCAGTTTGTTTTGACAAAGTTGGTCGTGTTTCGGACGATGCTTTCGCTTTGTGGAAAAGAAAAATGAAGCGTCGACATCCAGAGGGCCGGAGCTCTATTCAGAGCTATTTTGAGCAGCAGGCCGAAAGCATGTAGCCAGTGCTAGTGGCGAAGGTCACGCGATAGATGAGAATGCAGACGCACCGGACTTGCAAGCGAAGTCTGCATGCAACGAGCAGCGCTGCGGAAGAAATTGTCGGCGAAGCTGTAGAGCGACCGCTGTTGGAAGCTGCTGGATCATCCAAAACTTACTTTAGTGACATGGGAGTGTGTTGGAAGGGATATTCTGAACGTCGACGTCCACAGTGGAATCCAGTCCCCCGAAATTTGCCGGACACGGAAAAGATCTCCGTCATCGATAATCATTGTGCGCCACCGAAGGCGAAGGATTTCATTTCCTGTGCGTGTCCAGACGGATGGGAAACAGCGCCACTTTCAACTATCCTTGCTATTAGAGGAGTTACCCTGGGTAGTCTTTTGACCGACGTGCAATGGTGGCTTCTGCTTGCCCAGTGTGATGTTTGCTCCAGATGATTCGAAACCTGTAGGCAGCTTTCAAAACTGCATGCAATCGTCATGCTGAACAAAACATCCATAAAACGTAAAATCAAAAGTGCGTAGCAATGACATCGTCCAGCAGCTTGTGGATGTTAATTTCACCCAGTCTGAGGAGAAGATGCAGAAACTCCGGCCGTGGGATACGAAAAATAGCACTTCAATTGAATTTGTGTGGAATTTTGGTTCATCAGGTGGCATGGGAACCACTCCTGGAGGCGAGCGGCGTACGCCCCTGTACAGTGCATACAGTGCATACAGTGCATACAGTGCATACAGTGCATACAGTGCATACAGTACATACAGTGCATACAGTACATACAGTACATACAGTACATACAGTGCATACAGTACATACAGTGCATACAGTACATACAGTGCATACAGTACATACAGTACATACAGTACATACAGTGCATACAGTGCATACAGTACATACAGTACATACAGTACATACAGTACATACAGTACATACAGTACATACAGTACATACAGTGCATACAGTGCATACAGTACATACAGTACATACAGTGCATACAGTACATACAGTACATACAGTACATACAGTACATACAGTACATACAGTGCATACAGTGCATACAGTACATACAGTACATACAGTACATACAGTACATACAGTACATACAGTGCATACAGTGCATACAGTACATACAGTACATACAGTACATACAGTACATACAGTACATACAGTGCATACAGTGCATACAGTACATACAGTGCATACAGTGCATACAGTACATACAGTGCATACAGTGCATACAGTGCATACAGTGCATACAGTGCATACAGTACATACAGTACATACAGTGCATACAGTACATACAGTACATACAGTACATACAGTGCATACAGTGCATACAGTGCATACAGTACATACAGTGCATACAGTACATACAGTGCATACAGTGCATACAGTACATACAGTGCATACAGTGCATACAGTGCATACAGTGCATACAGTGCATACAGTGCATACAGTGTGTCATGCAGGTTCTCACACGCAACGGGAACACTTCGTGGTAGTAAAATAGATATTTCGCAAACAACAAAAAGACAACTCTTTCTCTTCCTTTCGAAGAACCGAACTAATTACTTGCCGAGCCTCATCGAAAAACCAAACGAAACTCTGAAAAAGCCCTACACTACACTAGTACGGGATTCAGCGCAGAGCAAAAAATGATCATGAGTCATTATACAATGCATGCAGTGTAGCCGTGAAAACTGGTGAATAAAGAATGCAGTAGGTTGGCAGCACGTGACCCGTCGTACCGCAGTACGCGACGGCGTCGCGGCTTAGAAATGAAAGGAAACACTGCGAGAAAAGACAAAACGAAAATACATGTCCCTTTGTCAAAACTTAGAAGAAACAAACAAAATGCGACCAAGAATCATTTTGAGAGTCAACGTCAATACTCTTGTGCAGTTGTGCAAATTCTTGTCTTGCACTGTGCAACGCAAGAAACAAACACACCTACGAAATAACTCGTGAACTAACTGTAGGCTAAATCACTACATGTACGCGAAATTGCGTTCCAAAATAAACTGAATTTCTGAGACATTTCATATTTCACATCCTGAGAGAAATATTGAATAAATAGTAAATACTTCATAAAAAAACACATGGCCACGACGGCCTTCCCAACATACCCCCCTCCTTGATACATCCGTATCAAAGAATGAGTAAAATGAGAAAAGAGATCGAACTGACTAAAGATGGCGATAAGTCCATCTAAAACGTGCGTACGGACTGTCAGCCTTTCACAACCGGACATAGCCGTACAACTGACCTGGTTACCTGCTTGCCTCCGACCTGGAGCTTAGCGACACGCACTCTGCCGTCAGAACCAGGGTAGACCTCCAACACCCGTCCAAGAGGCCACCTGCCACGGGGGGTATCAGCTGACACAACGAGGACGATGTCACCGACACTGAGATCCGGGTACTCTTTCCACCACTTGGAGCGACGATTCAGGGCTGGTATCCACTCCTGCATCCACCTTCGCCAGACATGGGATACAAGCATTTGGACGTGTTGCCAGCGGCGCCGAAGACACGGTGACTCGAGGGCAAGATGATAGTGCTCAATGCGTCCAACCAGGAAGTGATTCGGTGTGAGTGGCAAGTCATCGCGGCTGTCACTAGAGGGAGGAACAATTGGACGAGAGTTGAGTAGCGCCTCTGCGCTGCAGAATGCTGTTCGCAGCTCCTCATCGGTGATTGATGCCTGCTGTAGAACATGGTAAATAGCCTTCTTTGCTGCTTTTACCATACTTTCGTGAACGCCTCCAAAGTGTGGTGTCTGGGCAGGGATGAAATGCCACTTGATCCTCTTCATGGTAGCGCTGTGCTCCAGGACGTGTTGCTCCTGCTCGGTGAAAATCTCCGATAGCTCACGATTAGCCCCGACGAAGTTCGTACCATTGTCCGAGAGCACTTCAGCAGGAACACCTCGGCGGTTGCACATTCGTTGAAAGGCGTTGAGAAAGCTGTCGGTATCCAAACCTGTGGCCATTTCCAGATGCACAGCACGACAAAGACAGCAGGTGAAGACGCACAAATACCGCTTAGCTCGTCGTTGCCCTCGACCCTGTACCGTTGCGAATGGTCCAGCAAAGTCGACGGCCACGCGACTGAAAGCGTGGAGAGGCTCCTTCAACCGGATCTTGGGCAATGGTGCCATGATCTGCGTGGCTGGTTGTGCTTTCCGAAATTGACACTTCACACAGGAACGTTCGTACTCCCGGATGGCTTCTCGAATCGCCACGATCCAATATTTCCTCATGAGGACTGCCATAGTGTGAGCTGTACCTGCGACGTGATGGTCTGCCTCATGCTGGTCTCTGATCACTAGCTGTGTTATCCAGCAAGACCGCGGCAAGATGATCGGATGCTTGGCGTCTTGACTGAGATACTGTGCCTCTTGGAGCCGTCCTGTCATTCTCATCACACCAACTTCATCCAAGAACGGGGTCAGGCTGCTCAGTGGACTGGTTGCCGGTAATGGTTTGCCCTTCTGCAGTGACGAATATTCAGCAAAGGCGTCCTTCTGGCTTGACCGAATA